GGATCTGGAATACCGGGGCACAAGTCCTGAGGACAAACTCCGGGTCGAGATCATGTCGATGGAAACCGAGGGATTCGACTGGCGCGTTGAGAAGGAACGCGAGCTCATAGGGACGGGCGAGATTGGTGTCATGCGCAAGTTGATTAAAGCTACGCCAGACTTTGTTGCCCTGACGCACTTTAGCACCGTCGCAAGTACCTTTGAGCTATAGGATCCATTAGGTTGTATTCACTATAGACTATTTAACGTTGTATACGGTGCAGCTTGCCTATAGGCGCGTTTATTGTACATGTACGAATGTGTGTAGGAAATGCAAATGAATACCAGCGAAAATGAAAGAAAGGAGATGCAGCAAATATAGTCTGAGAAACTAAGTTCCACGAGGCTTCTTGTTCATAGTGTTCAAAATATCATCAAGCGACGGCGCCGAGGGACGCTTGCTGTAATGTGGTGGAGGCTGGGCTGGTCGAGAAGACCCAGATGAATAGTTTGGTCTAGCGGGATAGCTCTTCCTGATCGGAATCACCTGAGCAGCAAGCCTTTCGCGCGGGTCAGACTGCCGCGATGAACCTGGTGCTGTCCTCATATCCCTGGGCTTGCTCTTCAGGAATAGGCTCGGGGTCGCCTTCGATCGCTTAGGCGAGGGAGGTCTATTTAAGTGGCCAGATTGGCCACCATAACCGCTCTCAGAATCGCTCGGATATGGCGGAAGTCCGTCGCTGGAGTGGTGTTGACGTCTGGGTGAGGGATTGTGCGAGTGATCCTTATTCCCGTCCATGCGACGATGATCATCAAATTCGCGTCGATAATCCTGAGGGGGGTGGGGCTGATAGGAGTCCATTCGACCTGAAGGTCTAGGCGCTCGCCCTCCCTTGTACTCGTCCTCGGGAGGTCCTTGGCCTGTCCAGTATCTGTTATCAGAAGGTCCCATACCTCTCTTGTGATCATTCTCCCTATTCTGCGATTCTCCCTCATCCCCTCTTGAGACGCTATTTTGCAAAAGAGATCGGTCTTGCTGTTCTAGGTTCTTGCCAGGTTCCGGTAGAGTTGGATAAACGGAGACCTCCATGATGTCGTCGATAGTAGCCATCGGCCGTTCAATAGCGGTCGCAAGCCTGGTGTCGGCAACTCGACCATACATCTCGTTCCTGCGATCGGCCGTGATATTGGGCTTTAAGATATTCTGAGGTGATGTGGCTCCTCTTCGTCCAAAGATACCCGGTACAACCTAATAATAAAGTATAATAGCGCCACACAGGTTCGTTGCGTGTGTCAGCAAAAGTGAAGATACGAATGTGGGGCTCTTGCTCAACTAACAGCACATACCCTGGTGAACAACCCGCGGTCTTCGGCATCCCTCACAAGATCACCCCAAATCTCTTCACGCCGTAGAGTATTAGCATGTCCCAGGATGAACAGGGACTGACGCGCACGCGTTAATGCGACGTTCATGCGCCTGATATCAGCCAAAAACCCTACTGACCCCCTTGCAGAAGCACGGACACATGAGAAGATGATGATGTCCTTTTCTTGACCCTGGAAACCGTCAACTGTGTTGAAATCAACTGCTTCAAGAATGCCCTTGTCGAACACCCTCTGGAAATACTCTTTCAATGTCCGAACTTGCTGCTTGTATGGCGAAATAACACCGACTCGTCTAAAAAACTGCAAAATCGCACAGATACAAGAGACCTAGAGCGTTAGGAATGATAGAAACCTAAATACATCGAAGCTGTACAAGTGCTACTTACGTTCAGCGTTGGATTGCCGTTGCAGAGCCCCTCCAAAAGCGCGACGGCGGCTTCAGCCTCGATAGGGTTGTGCTGAGAATGAGACAATCCGATCTCTTCTCGACCTGCATATACGTCAAAGAAGCGGTATGGGGGGGTAATTGGGTTGCGATGCCACTCTGCCTTGGTTTTGATTTCCATGTCAGGACCGTCCTTCAGAAGTGCCTTGTAAAATTCTCGTGAGGGGAATATACTGATGTCGGGATGCATACGATACTGGATACTGAGCAAGTGAACCGAAGTCGGTGCGAGTCTCTGGATGCGGACGAAAAGACTTTGATTATACGCGTACTGAGCTGCCAATTGGGATATCACTGTGGGCGGAAGCTGGTTAGGGTCTATTCCAGAAAGAAAGAGGTAAAAATAAAGCCATTCGTTAATGTTATGGATCTTCAACTGCAATAGTAAAGCAATAACAGCAGCTCAGCACACTAGAAGCCTACCTCCGACCAAGATACACCGCTTGCAGCCATATTTCAACGGGATCAATGAGCTGATTTCGACTGATTGGGCTGCCTCATCGATAATAACACTCTCAAAGGTGAAAACCGACGTCGTGAGCAGATCGTGGCCACTGGCACTCAGGGTCGAGCAAATGACATCCGCTTCGCCCAGAATCTTGTTTCGTGCGTCCTTCCTTGCCTGATCCTTCTTTTGTGAAGCCTCTTGTTGGTTGGAGCGGGCACTATCTAGTTCCTGACCTAGCTGCCATTTCGACTTGTTGATCGCCTTGACCTTGGACTGTGCATTGGTGATCGACATAGGGTCACTGGCATCTTTGGCCTGCACTAGCTCCAATCGCGCCTTTTCGAGGTCCTGTTGCAGCTGCCGCATCTTCTCGCGCATCGAAACCAATGACTGGGAAACAGATTGAAACTCTTCCTTCGAAGAACTGCTTGATTCTAGTTCTTTTGCAATGAGCGTATCCAGCGCCACATCCCTCACTTCGGCATTGACGGTCTCGAGTGTTCCAACGCGCACGACTTTAGGTATGTAAATCTGCCCAACGGTATTCCGAATACCACCCTTCAGTCGCTTTACAATTTCGTCAATGGCTGCATTCGAAGGAGCACAGACGAGAATGCGGCTAACGGTGCCGGTCTGTAAAGGACGCTCCGATACTCGCGACGATTGAACAACAGGTGCTGCACGCTGGCGAGAGCCGTCGGCTAGAAGCGCTCCAACTAATCCGAGAATCGTCTTCGTCTTTCCTGTACCAGGGGGACTGAAGGGAGAGTGAAAACATATAAATTGTTAAAAATGCATTCTCTTCATGTGGTACCGTCTACCTCCATAAATGGGAAGCCTACCCTTGAATCAACGTAAATCCTATTGGTTTTTCAATTGCTGCGACAATTGCCTGGGCTTGTGGAGTGTTGACCTGGTAAATGTCCATAACCTTCTGGGTGTTCTCGAGTGAGGGCTTCTTGACTGGTGTGTTGGGTGGATTAAGAATGTCGTTGCAGAGCTCATAGTATCGCATGGCGGCCAGAGCGGCGTACTCGCGGTGCGTCGTAGTTAAGCTGAAGGAAAGCAATACCAATAAGGCGAGGGTAAGTGCCAGGTTTACACAGACTAATATATAGGCGAAACTTGAAGAGAAAACAAAGGGGACTTACTTCAGCATCTTGAGCACGGACCAAGTCGTCTTTGGGCGCATAAACATGAGTGGGCTCGATTCTTCGATTTTCAAATACGTTCGGAAGATCACCTCGCATTCGCCCTTGGCCTTTGTGATGGACTGAACTTTGGCGAAAAATGGCTTGGCTCTTGCAGCATTCCCTGTCGCACTAAACACATCCTTGATAACGGGGTCCGAAACCACGACAACATCCTCGACCATTAAGCTACTTGCTCTATCCAGCGGGATCTTCATGTGTATGTCCTGAAAGTTGTCGATGGAGACACGGTTGATAAACTGGGCCAGGACTGAATCGGACGACTGGTTGGCCTCCTCTCGCGCACCCATGAGCTGCTGCCAACACTCGAGTACCAGCAGAGGTTCGAACGCCTTGATGTAGTCGTTGACAGAGTTGAATCTTGATGGAATGGTCGTATACTCCCTGTCACCAGGTGGTCGATCGCCAGCAGAAGAGACATCCCACTTCAAGATTTGAGCGTGCAGCGCGGCAAGGTTGGGCGCCAGCCTATTTTGTCTCTGAGCGTCCTCGATGACCTTCTGGCGACGAATGGCGACTGTGTCCACAAATTTGGCGGGGCCAATTACTTCTTTCAAATCCAAGAGTTTAGTCTTCCTTGGCTCCTGAGCCTTGTTGTTCCTGTTGTTCCACTTCTCCTCCGCATCGACCAAGCTGCTTAGTCCACTATCCATATCATCAGATTCGCTGCCGCTCTCGCTCTCGCTCTCAGATACAGATGGCTTAGATACGATGGCAGCTGCTACAGCAGGGTTAGGGATCGGTGGTCGCTTCGCTATCTCGCGGGCTATTTTAGTGGCGGCTGCCATATCCATGCGCTCCCTTCTGTGATCCGCTCTCATCTGGCTCAGCTTGCTTCCCTTTTTGACCTCCAGTGCCTTCGGGGTAGGTTTGAAGGTAAGTTTCTGAGCGAGGTTGCCGAAGCGGTTCAAAGACGCAGGAAGTCGACGCGCCGTCGTCGAACCTCCTGCAGGAATCCCGCCGCTTGATCCAATGGAGGTGAAGTTCAACTTTGTTTGGTAAGGGTTGTTCTCAGACGTAAGTTGATAAAAGAAATTCGGCCGTGTAGAAGAGGCAGGAGCAACAGAGGGAGTAGTCACCGTCAGTGTCTTGTTCTGATCCTTAGATACCGAAGCCGAGGATTGATTCTCCATATCGTCTTTGTCATCCTCGTCAAAGTCCAGTTCAACCAGATCGACCTCGTTAATATCGTCAAAATCATCATCCGAAATCTCGATAGGTTCATTTTTGGCCGCTGACACGCTTGTTTCCTGCATAAGGGGTGTCTTTTGGAGCGAGGATGGAGCTGCTCCATTTGCGTAGGCGACGTGCCGACTAAGTGTGATCCAGAGAGTCTCGCGCTGTTCCGGCGTAAGCAGGCTCTTAATCTTGGGGTTCCCTTCTGCAATTCCTGTCAAATATGCGTTCGTCTTGTCGCCGATAAAGCTGCTATGGTCGGCTAGCAGATTTAAGACAGCGCAAACCAGCTCGATAGCCGAAGTGCAAAGAGTCGTGTCTTGAGCATAGGTCCAGTCTGCAATGCGCGGTAGTCCGTCTTTCATGGCTTCCAGCGGCATGGTCTCTATTCTAGTAGATGGCTTCTGCTCGTCGAATTCGTCCACCATGTCCTGATCCAGACCATTAGCATCCAACCCCTGCTTTTCAAACTCCAAAAGGCGCTCAAAGTAACGGATCTTTCCGATGATCAAAAGTCCAACATTCGCCACGACCTTCATTGTCCTGATAGTCTCTTGTCGATCCTGTAAATCAGCCCATGTTGTCCTGCCAGCGACAAAAGCGGCCTTGAGCGATAGCCATATCGAATTCCAGAGCGTTTTTATCAAGGATACATGCTGTGCCACGTCCTGTGATGATGTGAGGTCTAAGAAAATTTGAAGATAGAGCCCTCCTTCGCCGTCAATTGAGTTGTTAAGAAAGAGGGTTGTCACAGAGTCCAACAGAAGCTCAAACAGTGCCGGTGGGGTAGCTCCTCCGGGACTGCCTCGGTCGCGAAAATCCGCCAAGATGCTATCCAGCTCCTCCATGCTTCTTTCGCCTCCGAGCTGGTACGCAAGTCTAAGACAGGATGGTCGCGTCACTTCTTGCCAGGCGAACCGCATGATGAACAGAGCCTGTGTTTTCGTCTCAGGGTCAGGGCTACACCACAATTTCAGCAGCTTGACCAAGAATCGCTTGTTATCATGATTGGTGAGTCTCTTAAGCCATTCCTCTCCCTGTGTGGCAAATCCCTGGAGCAGAATCGAGTTGGCCCGAAATACAACGTCCAAGTCGTCGTTGAATAACCCAGACATGCGGAGAGTGTCCTCACTAAAGCGAGGCTTGATCTCCAGCTTGGGTAACAGCGTCAGCTTTGCAAAATGCTCCAGCATGCAGGTTTGCCACTCCATGAGCTGCTCATGATATTCTGGATCCAGTCGGTCCCGATGATCCGGACGTCCGATGGATGATGTCGTTTGTGCCAGACGCAGCCAGAGCACCGGGTTTGCCTTATCTATTCTACCGACCACCTCAGCCTTAGCGGTAATGGTGGCAGTTCCGTAATTTCGCCACATAATCCCCGACTCACGCTCTAGTAATGCGAACGTGAACCTCCTGCCAGCAGCCGACGTGCGCGCTGCTAACCCAGCGATACGTTGTGCGGTATGAGGAGCCAGCCCCGACATATTGAGCGCGCCTGATCCCAGGGCACAAATCGGTCCGAGCCACGTCAAATGCTCCGATAGTGTTTCCACAATTGCTCCCAAGAGACCGTCATCCTGCCGCCCGCTGAGTAGCTGAAAGACAATGCTGATCATCTCGAGGTCGAATTCCAGGTATTCGTTGTTTGGAATGTGGTCCATCTCGGGGGCTGGTGCTGCGTCTGCTGTTCTAATGGCGATGCGTCGGCTAATAACACTCAGAAGATCGCTTGCTGTGGATATCAGAATCTCTGATAGATGAAAGATTCCAGAGAGAGAGTTGATGAAGTGCGATATCCAGGTTGTGTACTCCGCGTATACTCGAGAAAGAGCTTGGGTGGTCAGCGCATCCTTGGTAGCTTGCTCCTTTGTGACAAGTGCTGTGATGTACTCCAGTGTTCCGCGATGCTTAAATGCAGACCGGAGAATTTCCTCCGGCCCCTCTAGACCTTCGGGCATTTGTCCTGCATCATTTCTCCAGAAGTCCTGTTTCAAATTCCCGACTAGATGAAATGCAATGCGACATGTCTCAAGAAATATCGCTGATGGCGTTTCTGAATCTTTGATCGATTTCAAGAGCTGAGTACGAAGTGTCATCCACGAGGCCTTGTCATTTTTGATCGCCAAATGAATCACGTCGCGCCCCATGTTAGATAGCATTGTTCGAATCGCCCTCCAGATGCGAGCCGAATCGGTCGAAAGAGGCATGCTTGTCCTATCGACTCCAATTAGCGATCCACTCGACATGTCCAGGGCTATTTTCCAAACCACCGGAAATTGCTCCCAACCGTTCCACCTCTCAGGAAGTAAGGAATCACCGGCTGCAGCAAGGTTACTCGTATAGATTGCCCAGGATTGGATGGCGACATCACTGTGCAGCATAAGCAGCCAAAGCCCTGGAAGTACAGAAAGGATCTTGATCTTCTTGTGGGCCAACAACTGGCTAATCAAGGCTGCCAATGGCTCCGAGATCCGTTCCGAGTAGTTTGGGAGGAACAATAACGATGGATCGAGCAAGACCTCGCAGACGCATATCTTTTTCCGTTTTTGAGTCTCTGGTGAAGACAAGGCTCCCATCAGGCTTTCCATCCTTTTCTCCAGACGGGTACAATCCCACTCGAGCAGCGTATGAAAGAAGACATTGACCACATCCTCATCATACTGCTTGAGTAACCTAGAAGTTATGAAACTGCAATTAGATACAGAAAAAGTACCACAAAATCGTCTTTTCTGAGAAATGCATGTTACCTAGCCAGATACACCCTCCTATCCTGCTGATACGATTCTGTACAGTCCAAACAGCCGCTGAGAATCCCCTCCATGATTTGTTTGAATTGCTCCAACGAGCTGTTTGTGTCGAGGGAGAAGATGTGTAGCAGCTCAATTGATATCGGCCGTAAGTCGGGATGGCACCACCAATGGAGGGTCGATTGTTGGAGGACTTGCGCCAAGGATTCAGATAGGAGTTCATGCAATGCTTCTGGAGGTGCATTGGGCTGGTTATGCCGCTCCAGAAGGGCATTTAGCTCTCGGACAAGTTCAGAAGAGGGGCCGTCATTACAGGTGGTGAGGAGATGGTTTGACGACGTGGAATTGGCAGTGAATTGCTTGATGTTCCTGTTGTTCACGGTCAATGCATGGTCGTCGTGTTCCATATTTGGCTAGGTGAAGATGAGCAGAATCACCAGAATGGTGAACAGGAAAGACAAAGGAGCAGGGGATGTTAAGGAAAGAGTCGGTGTGGTATTCAACCTCGACGCTTCATTTGCGCCACCATTTTTTGCATTTTTCATTTGCCCAGGGCAGAGGGGTCGAGTGTACGATTACTCACGTACACGTACGTGTTGTGCCCGTCCCCTTTTTCACTACCACGGTCGCGACGACGCTCCCACTTCCCACCCCAAAACGATCATCTCAACCGGAGCATAACTTACCCACAAACAGGACCTTGAAGGGAAACAGAAGCAGCAGTAGCAGCAGCAGCAGCAACCGGGACTCATTCTCACCTACGGGGAAACAGAGCTGCGCAACCACCACGCCATTGCCGACAGACACATAAGACAGAGCAGCCTTTGCCATCCGAAGGTCACATACTGACCTTGTTACATACCATGGCGACGGCACCGCCCCCAGATACCCTATCGAAGCTGACGAACGACCTCAAGTCAAAGTAAGACGTGAGGAGGACTATAGGGATCCATGAATATTGCGTTTTTATTATTATTATTATTATTATTTTTCGCTTCTGTACAAAGGCTGACTTATGTATTGTCCCGTATTACTTGCTCATTCAACTGCTTTCGCTAGAAATGAGGAGGTCAGGTCACTGTCGGCACAGGCCTTGAAGGAATATGTAAGGCTTTTGACAAGCAAAACTGTGGGAATTTTCGTTGCGGTTGAATCTTTACTGGACCTGGTTTACTCATTTATTGAAACAACTGAAATCCTGTGTAGGTCGCTGTCATGTCGAGGGAGCTATCGGGGCAGGACCTGACTAGATTTTACGGCGAGGTCAATAGTATCATCTGGACACTTGTACAGAGCGTTGACAATAATGACAAACTATGCGGTGTCATGATTATTGGTAATTGCATCAATAACCTCCTACAGATCGCACTCATTCTTCAGACATTTGATATGTACGCCTAGATTCACCAAGGCTCTTTACTTTATTTTATTTGTCTTTATTCGATCTAGACAAGTTGATTGGGATTGAAGGCGAGGAAAACACGACGCAGGAAACCCGGTTCGCAAATTACTTGCGACAGCTGTTCCCTGCAGACGTAAAGACTATGACAGTCGCTGCAAGAGCATTAGGTATGTGCATGAATATTTGTTGCCAATGTAGGGCTGATCAAGTTTGTAAGAATGGCACCTGACAACCTTCTATCTGCTCTGGGTCCATAATTAGGAAAATTGGCGCAACAGGGAGGAACATTCACCACAGAGTTTGTCGAGTTTGAGCTGAAAAGGGCAATCGAATGGCTCACAGGTAGAGGCGCAGGGACAAGATAAACTTATAATTTGCTTGAGCTTTGCCGGTTTTCTCTCGTCTAAGTTCTCCGTATTCGCATCACATAGGAGATCGGCAGGAAGCACGACGCCATGCTAGTGTGTTAGTTCTTGCTGAGCTCGTCCGCCATGCAGATGTCATTGTTTATCAATATGTTCCTTCCATATTGGATCATATCTGGGTCGCATTCAGGGATCCAAATGTACGTGTTCGTCATGAGCCTAATAATACGCGGGCAACGCGTCAAAATGCCGCCATATTGAATCTTTCTCGTCTATTATCTATTAGCAAAACATCCGGATTGCAGCCGCAGATGCTCTAAGCGCTGTCCTGCTTATCGTCTCAGACCGCAACAGTACAAAAAAAACCGATTGGTACAACAGGATTAACGAGGAAGCACAGCGTGGCCTACGGATTGCCTCGACCGAAAGTATTCATGGTTCACTCTTGATTTACCGTGAGCTACTGCTCCATGCTGGAATGGTGAGTGGAGAAGCAAACATTTGAGATGTTTAACTCGGCTCATAGATAAAAAAGATTGCTGAACTCCTTCCTTTGAATTGTTCGCGGAACAGTTTATGCATGAGCGATACAAAAGCACCTGTGAGACTGTATTCCAGTACAGGGATCACCGAGATGGTCTTGTTCGCCGAGCGGTAATCTCGCTAATCCCCGATCTGGCATCGTATAACCCTACAGAATTCGCGAGCGTCTATCTGCATCGGTCCATGATTCATATCCTCAGCCAGCTTCGCAAGGACAAGGAGCGCTCAATAATGAAGGAAAAGGATCGGTCGAATGCTTTCATCGCCATCGGAAAGGTTGCGCTCGTAGCTGGAGCGGACATGGGGGAGTTTCTTGACGATATCCTCATCTGCATAAAGGATGGACTCAGGCTAAAGAGGTATGTGCAAGAATATCAGGGTTCCGAGGATAGTAGGTTAAATTCTACAGATGTTACAGCTATAAACTTGACACGCTCGCTCGATCTGCGTTCTTCATTAGCAAAAACCGCATCCAAACAGATACGCCAATATTCAGTTGCATTAGTATGCTGGCTAACGCGGTTGGGTTAGCGCTCACAAAACACGTCCAGGCGCACGAACTGCTGGAGCTGATGTTTGCTACGGGGCTGAGTGAACCACTGCGTCAGTCGCTGGCCGACCTTTCGAACTGTATACCCCCATTGCTACCCGTCATCCAAGGTACGATGGCTACATCATAGCTGGTATTAATGTCCGCAATGCTTCCCTTTGGATCTATGTTCGTAAGGCTGACTCGGCATTTTTATGTCATCAAATTTATAGACCGCCTTCTCAACATGCTCTCTGTGATTCTTGGCGGACAACCGTATAAGCCTCTCGGAGCTCCAAGCTCGGCACGGACAGGGCTGTCGAACTCACCTGTCCGGCGCGATATTCAATCCGCAGAACCGAAGGATGTGGAACTGATCATCCTTGCGCTCACGACACTGGGATCCTTTAACTTCTCTGGACATCCCCTGAACGAGTTTGTGCGTGATTGTTGCATCCCATATCTGGAGGATGACAACCCGGACATCAGAAGATCGGCTGCTCAAACTTGCTGCCAGTTATTTGTTCGGGACCCTATTTGTTTTCAAATCAGTACTCACGCTGTCCAGGTTGTGGGCGAAGTTCTGGAAAAGCTGCTCACTGTGGGCATTGCAGATCCAGATCCTGTTATCCGGCAGACTGTCATGGCGTCCCTGGATGAGAGATTCGATCGCCATCTTGCTCAAGCAGAGAACGTCCGCTCGCTGTTTATTGCCTTGAACGACGAGGTCTTTACGATCCGTGAGTACGCTATCACGACAATCGGTCGACTCTCAGCGCACAACCCCGCCTATGTCATGCCATCGCTGCGAAAGACGCTAATTCAACTCCTGACGGAAATTGAGTACTCGGGTGTGAGTCGTAATAAGGAGGAGAGTGCGCGACTGTTGGCATTGCTGGTGATTGCGTCGCAGCGTCTTGTAAAACCGTATGTCGAGTCCATCATCAAAGTTTTGCTGCCCAAGGCCAAGGACCAAAGCGCAGGAGTTGTCTCAAGCATCTTGGCGGCACTCGGAGAGCTCGCTCGAGTTGGTGGTGAAGACCTTCTTCCTTTCATGGATCAGCTCATGCCATTGATCATTGATACACTCCAAGACCAGAGCTCCTTAACAAAGAGAAGTGCTGCACTGAAGACACTCGGGCAGTTGGCAAGTAACACGGGATATGTGATCGACCCGTATATCAAGTATCCGGGACTTTTGGACACCCTGATGACAATTTTGAAGACAGAACAGTCTGCCAACATTCGGAAGGAGACCATCAAGCTGCTGGGTATCCTCGGAGCCCTCGACCCTTACCGTCACAAGGTATTCATTGATTACAGGCACTTGATTCGGGTCTGCTGCAGTGATGGAATCCGTATCTGACATACTTCCTTTTTTATTTCTCGCTAAACTAGCAAATGATCATCGAATCTGTGGACGATAACCAAGCAGATAAATCGCAGAGCTCAGATGTATCGCTTCTAATGGCGGGACTTGGACCTTCGTCAGAGGACTACTACCCCACAGTTGTGATCAATGCGCTACTGAAGATTTTGAAGGATCCATCTCTGAGCCAGCAGTACCAACCTGCCACTCAAGCCATTTTAAACATCTTCCAGGCGTTACAGCTGAAGATGGTTCCCTTCTTGCCGCAGGTACGGGGTCGACTACTCAAGAGTGTTTTAGCAGGGCGTTGATCATTACACGGAACGCTAACAGCTCAAATAATCTATTGTTTCTATAGATTATGCCAGTGTACCTAAGCATTATGCAGTCCGGCACTCTTCTCAACCTCGACTTTTACTTTGAGAAGATGGGGTTCCTTGTCTTGATTGTCAAGCTTCACATCCGCCCGTACCTTCCGGATTTGCTGCAGCTCGTTAGAGACAACTGGAGCCACACAAGATTGCAGGAGCGCATTATTGGACTGGTGGAGAGCATTGCCGTTGCCCTCGATGGAGAATTCAAGGCATACCTGCCGAACCTTCTGCAATCCTTCCTCGCCGTGTTTGACAACGACATGACAGAAAGACATGATGCATCCCTTCGTGTGCTGCAGGCGTTTGTCAAGTTCGGGTCCAATATTGAGGAGTACATGCATCTTGTCATCCCCGTCCTTGTCAAGACGTTTGAAAAGCCAGATTCGCCCATGCATCTGCGTAGAGCTGCCATCAACACGATCGGCACATTGGCAAAGAGAGTCAACTTTTCTGATTATGCGTCCAGGATCATACATCCATTCGCTCGTATCCTTGCCTTGCCCGGACCTGAACTGAGGATGCCTACTATGGATGCGCTGTGCTCCTTAGTTCTGCAACTTGGACAAGACTACGTGAACTTTATTCCAATGATCAAGAAGGTTAGTCGCTGCTCCATGTTAACACATTCCTTTTGATCCTTGACGCGAAATTAACATTTTGATACATCATAATAGGTTTTGATCCGCGCGAGAATTAGCCATGCAACGTACGATAACTTGGTGTCGAAGCTTTTGAAACGCGAACCGCTGCCCTCGGACTTACCTGGATTGGGTGACGATCGATATGTGGTCATGGCAGATGTGCCTCAGGCTGAATCCGGAATCCGCAAGCTCCCTGTCAACCAGGCCTCACTGCGCAGAGCATGGGACACCCAACCCCGTTCAACCAAGGACGACTGGGCAGACTGGATCCGACGACTTTGCTTGGAGATGCTCAAGGAAACACCTTCACATGCACTCAGAGCGTGCGCGGACATGGCAATTTCGTACCACCCCTTGGCCAGAGAGCTTTTTAATGCTGCGTTCGTTTCGTGCTGGAGTGAGCTATTGGACCAATATCAGGTATATATCGCTCTTTCATTGAGGTGATTCGCGAGCAATGCCAATTGCAATAAGACTGATATATGTTTTATCCTTTATATGTCCCTGAATAACCTATAGGAGGAATTGGCGAGAGCTTTGGTAACAGCATTGACTGCGTCCAACATTTCGCCTGAAATTATTCAGATTCTTCTCAACCTCGCCGAGTTCATGGAACATGACGACAAACCACTTCCGATCGACATTCGGACTTTGGGCGAATATGCTGCCAAGAGCCATGCGTTCGCTAAAGCGTTGCACTACAAGGAGCTCGAATTCTTGACTGAACCCTCAACGAATGCGATTGAGGATCTGATTGGAATCAACAATAATCTTCAGCAACCTGACGCCGCTGCGGGCATTCTCACACATGCTCAGCTGCACCATGACTTTGAGCTCAAGGAGGCGTGGTATGAACGACTCCAGCGGTGGGAGGATGCGCTTGCAGCGTATGAGCGGAAACAGCAGGAGAATCCAGATGATCTTACACTGACGGTCCAGCGCATGCGATGCCTGCATGCACTCGGAGAATGGGATGCTCTTTCGTCTCTAGCTCAGACCAAGTGGGGTAGCTCGCCAACTAAGGTGCGTCAAAGGATGGCGTCCTTTGCTGCTGCGGCTGCATGGGGATTGGGCCAGTGGGAACTCTTGGACGAATACATCTCCGCGATGCAGGATAACTCGGATAGGGCCTTTTTCAAGGCCATTTTGGCGCTTCACCGCAACCAATTTCCAGAGGCGGAGAAATACATCGACAAGACCCGCAACATGTTGGATACAGAGCTGACCGCGCTTGTGGGCGAGAGCTACAACCGAGCGTACGCAACCGTGGTTCGTGTTCAAATGATGGCTGAACTGGAGGAGATTATCACCTACAAGCAGTACCACGACCAGCCCGATCGACAGGCGACTATCCGCCGCACATGGATGAAGCGACTGAAAGGATGCCAGAGAAACGTAGAGGTTTGGCAGAAGTTGATCAAAGTCCATGCAATTGTGATTTCGCCAGCTCAGGACATGGAAATGCGAATCAAGTTTATGAACCTGTGCCGCAAGAACGGTCGACTCAAGTTGGCGGAGAACACGATGAGCACTCTTATGGGACCAGAGACTGCGGACATGAGCTTCACAGCAATGACGCAGGTTACTCCACCACAGATTGTGTACGCCAAATTGAAGTACATGTGGGCAACTGGCGTTCGGGAGCAGACGCTGGATTGTCTGCGCCAGTTCACGGATCGTTTAGCGTCGGATCTCGGTCTTGGAACTGCGGAGGATGTAGGCATCGCAATGACGGGCGCCAACCAGTCAAACGGAAATGTTGCTGATTACTCTAGGTTACTTGCCCGCTGCTATCTCAAGCAGGGAGAATGGCAGTTTGCTCTTCAAGACGGATGGACACATGTAAGCCTAAGAGAATTGCAGAAACATTGCATGTAGGTCATATTGGTAGATCATGTACTGATCTCCCATTTTTATGGTATCAAAATTTAGGATTCCATCGAGAGTATTCTGACACCATATCTCTATGCTACCCACTTGGATAAGGATTGGTACAAAGCATGGCATACCTGGGCCTTAGCGAATTTTGAAGTGATCACTTTCTACGAAAAGAACTCACCGCCCAATCATGTTGGACGCGATCCATGGCTTCAATATGTTATTCCATCGGTCAAGGGCTTCTTTAAGTCGATTGCACTCTCGCGTGGAAACTCGCTACAGGACACATTGCGTCTGCTTACGCTGTGGTTTAAGTTTGGTCATCGCGCTGAGATCAGTGCATCCCTAAGCGACGGGTTTTCGACAGTCAGCATTGATACATGGCTGCAAGTCATTCCACAATTAATCGCGCGTATCCATGCACCCAGCCCGAATGTCCATCGACTCATTCACCAGCTCCTGGCCGATGTCGGAAAGGAGCACCCTCAGGCGCTTGTGTATTCTTTGACAGTTGCATCAAAATCGCCCAGTGTCCTGCGAAAGAATGCAGCGTTGGCAATCATGGAGAAGATGAGACTTCACAGTCCTTTGTTGGTCGAGCAGGCGCTATTAGTCAGTCAGGAGCTGATCCGTGTAGCCATTCTGTGGCACGAGATGTGGCACGAAGGTCTGGAGGAGGCATCTAGGCTTTACTTCGGAGACCGCAACATCAACGGAATGTTGGCACAGCTGGAGCCGCTTCATATGATGTTGCAGAGAGTAAGTTCTGAGTTAACTTGATGGCCAGTATTGCTTCATTCATTCAAACATGGCAAGGACTGAGTTTTAATATTCCGCTATATGATGATCTAGGGCCCTGAGACGCTGCGCGAGATCTCGTTCAATCAGGCATTCGGTCGAGACTTGAAGGAGGCCCAGGAGTGCTGCATTCGTTACGGTCAGACCCAGGATATCAATGACCTTAACCAAGCCTGGGATATTTACTACCAAGTCTTCCGTCGCATCGCCAAACAGCTTCCACAGCTCAGTACTCTGGACTTACCCTACGTCTCACCACAGCTGCAGGGTGCTCGAGATCTGGAGCTCGCTATTCCGGGCACTTACAAGAGTGGCGAGCCCATTGTCAAGATTTCGTCGTTTGTGCCCACACTCACGGTCATGACGTCGAAGCAACGTCCTCGTCGCCTGACTGTCAAGGGAAGTGACGGACGCGATTACCAATATCTGCTGAAGGGCCACGAGGATCTGCGTCAGGATGAGCGCGTGATGCAGCTTTTCGGACTCGTCAATACCTTGCTCTCGATCGACCCCGAAACCTTCAAGCGGTATCTTGGTATTCAGCGCTATCCTGTCATCCCTCTTTCGCCTAACTCAGGTCTAATTGGATGGTTGCCCGACACGGATACGCTCCATACCTTGATCCGCGATTACCGCGAGAGCCGAAGGATCCTTTTGAATATTGAGCACCGCATCATGTTGCAGATGGCGCCTGATTATGACAACTTGACGCTTATGCAGAAGGTTGAGGTGTTTGAGTATGCGCTGAACAACACAGGAGGACAGGATCTATACAAGGTGTTGTGGTTGAAGAGCAGAAATTCGGAGGCATGGTTGGACCGAAGGACGAACTACACGAGGTCCTTGGCGGTGATGTCTATGGTTGGATACATTCTTGGACTGGGTGACAGACATCCATCGAATTTAATGCTAGACAGGAACTCTGGCAAAATTGTGCATATTGATTTCGGCGACTGCTTCGAGGTATATTGACAACGATTGCTTCTGAGTACGTTGGTATATCATGTATTTGAGATTAACCACGCTTCTCTGCTCCTGTTCATAGGTTGCTATGCATCGTGAGAAATTCCCTGAGCAAATTCCCTTCCGATTGACGCGCATGCTCACGAACGCTATGGAGGTCAGTGGTATCGAGGGTAATTTCAGAAACACCTGCGAGAACGTCATGCGCGTTCTTCGCGAGAACAAAGAGAGTTTGATGGCTGTGCTGGAGGCCTTTGTGTATGACCCCCTGATCAACTGGAGAATCTTGACAACTAGTCCCCGACAACGTAAGTAGAGCCTGCTGCGAGCGATGAGTCTTGCCACCTAATGCTTGTGATGTCAGTAAATTCATATTGATACGATGCCTTTTCTTTTCTATCACAGCTATGGAGAATGGGCAAGGAGGCAACCAAGCGAACGGAGCGAATGAGTCTGTGATGGATGAACAGGCCCGTAACATGAGAAGGGTGTTGCCAAGTGAGCGTGAGCTCGTCCGTGATAATATGAAGAGTAAGTTGCTTCTCCAACACGGAGAATGGTGATGGTGATAACTGTGCACGATGATTACTCAGTACCAGCCTAACGCGCCTGATCCGCTTCTCAATGTGTGTGCTACACTTTAGTGGAGAACCAGCCCGAGCAGTTGAACGAGCGTGCAGTGTCGATCATCAACCGTGTCACCAACAAGTTGACAGGAAGGGATTTCAAGCCAGATCGACCGCTCGATGTGCCATCTCAGGTTGAGAAATTGATCCAGCAGGCGTCTTCGTACGAGAACCTGTGTCAATGCTGGATTGGATGGTGCGCTTTCTGGTAGTTTTTTTAGTGCTGGTTTATGGGTGTCTGTTTGTACATAATAAATGATATCTCACTACCGGTGATTTACAAGGGTATATATGGTTTATATTAACCATGCGAATTGTCTATCATTACAATGGTGGGCATGTCATTCTTCAAAAAAGATTGGCGAATGAAGATCCCAGTGCGTGAGGCCGATATTGGCCTCGGTACTGTACAAGTTGCTATGAAGAATCCTTCATGCAGGCATCGATGTCTTGTCTGAAATCACTCAGAAAAGTACGAGCTTAACCATCGTTCCAAAATGGTGATGTAGGTGAGATGATAGGAAGGTCGAATTCCGGGTCCAAGGTTCCGACCTGTTGCGGCTGCAGCAGTAGAAACCGCTGGTGCTCCTCAACCTCCCGTTGCTGCTGCGAGTGCTGTTGTTGCTGTATATGTTGCTGTAGATGTTGCTGTTGTTGTTGTTGTTGTTGTTGTTGTTGTTGTTGTTGCTGCTGCTGTAGTTGTTGTTGTTGCTGCTGCTGTAGTTGTTGTTGTTGCCGGTGCTGCAATACTGCATCGGATACTGTCTCATTCCGACTCTCTGGCATGTGTAGCGATTCCGGTCGTAGAACCATGGCTGCTATGGTCGGTTTGTCGATATTGCTCGGCAGCGACAACCCTCGCTTCCTGTCCTTGCTTTGTTTGCTCTCCTTCTTGAATGCCGCAGGTCGCAGGGCCGCAAACATACTCCTCCGCTTGTCCGGTGATTGCTGAATGATATCCGTCAAGAACTTCAGGTCTTCTGCCTCGGGTAAATCCTTGTACCAGTTGGCATGAAGTGCTTGATAGGCAGTGAGACGACCCTTGGGTTCGTATTGTAGCAATCCTGTGATTAATTCGAGCGCTTCCTCGGGTGCGTTAGGCATAATATCCCGTAATGAGCGCACCGGCGCCTAATTATGAGACGAATAGTGAAAGTCTTTTCAGTTAGTGGTCTTGTCCTTGCGTGAGGCTGAGATAATCATGGTGCGCCGATATTTTCTCTCGACTTACAACAGGAAATGTGAAGCCCATACGGACAGCGAGCTGAACACCGTCTTTCCATTCACCACCAATCTTCCCCGTCTGACCGCAGAGCGTCTCGTTGGTCATATCCACTGGAGAACGAGGAGTAGGGTTGCCAAGGATGTTGCCTATCCGACTCACTTGATCCACATCACTGTTGCCCGGGAAAAGTGGTTTCAAGGTAATCAACTCTGCAGCGATGGTTCCAGCTGCCCACAGATCGACCGCACAAGTATAAGCCGATGATCTCAATAACACCTCTGGAGCTCGATACCTGTAATCGACCGATTGGGATGTGAGCAAAGAGATACAAAAGAAAAATGTTGCAATATGGGGTTTATAAATCGATGTCAGTTGAAGTTGCTTACCACCGCGTGCTGACATAAGTTGTATAGGGTGGCCGACTCTTGAGCTCTCTTGCGAGGCCCAAGTCTGCGACCTTGACCATATCCCCTGAAACCAAGATATTCTCCGGCTTCATATCGCGATGCATAATTCCTTTGGAGTGCATGTGCTGTAGCCCGCGGAGGACTTGGAAACTAAGATCGGAGGGTGAACAGAAATGAATCAAGCCGTTTTGCATTGATGATAGAAAGAAATTGAGCATGGGTCATTATTAAAGCCAAACCATGCGTGCATTTGCATGGGGATAGAAGTTGCATGACAGAACAAACAACAGCAATTGATAGACAAGGATCGACATACACCATGCTCTTGACCCGAGACTCCTCTAACTTGACCCCGTTCCGATCCTTGATCAATTGGTAGAGGTTTCCCTCCATGAGCTCAAAGACCATGTGAAGCTCCTTTTTCTCTAAAAAGAAGTGATGCAGTTTAACGATATTGGGTCCAGAGCGAAGCGCTTCAAGGGCCTAAGAAACAAGAAGAGAAGAGAAACAAGAGAAGAGAAACAAAAAGAGAAGAGAAACAAGAGCGTTAGTCGACTGGGAGCAAGCAAACACAGCGCTCCTCCATCGAATGCCATTATAATGTTTTTAACAGCAATCCCCTTCTCCCCTCCCCCCTCGGTTCAGACGCAATTTCGGGGTTTTTTTTGTTAACTTGCCTTAACCTCCAGTAAAGAGCGACATTCGCTTTGGGACGTGAACCTTTTCTTCATCTTCTTGATGGCAACCTAAGAGAGGAGGATGTTTTGGCATCCATCAGTAACGGACCTATACTACAGTGATGCGTTGTAACCACCGCGAAAACAACAGACAACAATAAATGGCACAGAGCATGCGCATGCACATGCACAAATGCATAGACAACGGCAAGGACAGCAACAAACAAGTGTAGTAACGACGATATAAAGATGTATACGAGTGTGATATGTGAGCATGTCGCGTGGGCAATGCGAGGTGAGGGTTGGGCATTTGTTGTTGTTGTTGTTGTTGTTGTTATTACTATTATTATTATTGTTGTCGAATTATGGCAAACAGGCACGATAATAGGAAACGGAGGTTGTGGGGGGGACATGGGGCCCCTGTTTGTCTGTAATAAGATAACTTTGTCCGACCATACACTGACATGCGGTTTCACACGTACCAGCTCGCCCGACACCTTGTGCCGCGCCTTGAAGACCGACCCAAACGAGCCGTTGCCCAGCTCCTCCAGTACTACAAATTGATCCATCGATCGTGCGACCGGCAGATTGCTGCTCTGATATATTGTGCTTTGTTGACTACTGCTACTATTGTTGATACTGTTGGTGCTTTCGTTTAAAGGGATTGCAGATGCTGCCAGGGCGTAGCCGGGGTTGTCCTGTTGAGGTGTTGGTGGGAGACAGACCTCATGCTTCGGACTACTACCACTACTACTGCTGTTGATGTAGCTGCTGTGTGCACCTGTTATAGGAGACGAAGGGACGAGCGTTGTTGTGGAGGCACAGGAGAGGGATCGTACGTGGGTATGTAGATATGTCTTCGAAGATGAGTTTGAATGAGAGGTGGCAGTAGGGGAGCGTGATGAGAGGTACTGGACAGCGACAGTGGCCTTTGGCCAGGCGTGCTGAACTAAAGACGCGCCCGGGAAGGAGGAGGAGATATTTTTGGTGGTAGTCATGGGCGTTAGCGGTTTGGTGAGGGTGGGCGAAGGAGGCGACGTTGGTGTTGGCGGTGCGGTTGTGCGGGCATGAGGCATGAAGAAGAAAGAGGTCTTTTTGTGGAGGGCCTTGTGCGGTCGCGGTTGCGGTTGCTGTTGCCCCTGAGGTTGTCCCTGTCCTTGAGATACATCGGCCATGGTGGGGATGAAAATGTATATTGATGACTCGCGAAGGGGTTGCGACAACCACGTTTGAATAAAGGTGTAAGGTGCGGAGATGTGAAGTGGAGTAAGAAAAATAAAAAATGTGTGGTGTGCAAGAAAAACCTTTCTTTTTTTCAAGTGTGGTAGAAAGTATCTATTGGCCCATTAGGATGGAATAGCAAAGTAATGTGGATGAGAGTGGAATGAAAGAATGGCGCAATGAGCGTGATGGTCAAAGAGAAGGAAAGGAGGGATGAGCAAGAACAGAAAAAAGAACAGCAATAGTATGAACGATCATCGTGTTTATCTCCTACACTTACACTGGGCACAAAGGCCCCGATGAAAATATATAAACTTGAGCAGCTCTCATTTCGAAGTAGGCACTCTTTGCACACACATTCTATGCACTTACAACAACACTAGGAAAATGATAGACTAGACACCAATGGCTCAATGGCAGGCCACGGCGCACTCTTCCTCGGCTAAAAACAGACACTGGAAACCCAGCTCCACCTCCTACATATCCGATCCTAATCCCCTATCCATCCACATTGCGACTCAGAGGCATGTCCCCGTTGTCACTCTCGGAGCGAGCAACTGTCCGCAGGACGAAACCATTTGTACCCTTAGCCTGCAACGCATGTTGTTGCAGTACTCCAGTCCCATATACCTATTTAGAGCAGCACTGGTGGCGAATCTTATATTCCACGTATATATAATGCGAATGTACGGTAAAATGGGACTGTAACAATAAAAAAAAAAAAAGTGACGTATCCCTGTTTACATTTTTTTTAGCATCATTCTTTATTTCTTTCTTCATCCACCTTCCTTCCTCTTCCCCTCCCCTCTCTGCCCCCTTTTTTTCCCTACTTCCCTCTCCCCCTTTGCTCACTGCTGTCCTCTTATTTCACTTCCACTTCGTCTATTACATCTATTCCTTTAAACAATGTCAAGCTATTACGGTGGTGGATCTTCCTACAGCGGTGCCGGTGCTGGCCACTCCGCTTCTCGCTACGGTAGCTCCAGTCATGGCAGCTCAAGCTACGGCAGCTCCAGTCATGAGCGAGGTAACGACCGCTCCTACGATGACAACAGCAGGCGCGACCGCAAGCCGTACGTATCTCAATGCTCTGGAAGCTATCAGCCCTGATTTATCATCTCAAGCTATTCTTTAATCTCACTGATCGAATTTTTTATTTTCTTCAGATACGACTCGGACAGCCGCGGAGCCTATGGTGGTAGCGGTGGATACAGCGGTAACAGTTATGGTGGTAGCAGCGGTTACGGAAGTAGTAGTTTTGGTGGTGGCGGTGGCGGTGGCGGGGACCGAATGAGCAACCTTGGTAATACCCTGGCTAAACCCCAGTATGATCTGAACACCCTTCCAAAGTTCGAAAAGAACTTTTACCAGGAAGACCCTATCGTCACAGCCAGAAGCCAGGCCGAAGTCGATGCCTTCCGCGCCAAGCACGAGATGACTCTCTATGGACCCAACATTCCCAAGCCGATCGAGACCTTTGAGGAGGCTGGTTTTCCTCCATATGTGTTGAAAGAGGTTATGGAGATGGGCTTTAAGGCGCCCACCGCTATTCAGGCCCAGGGATGGCCCATGGCCCTTTCTGGACGTGATGTCGTTGGTATCGCCGAGACTGGTTCGGGCAAGACCCTGGCTTACTGCTTGCCCTCGATCGTTCATATCAATGCACAGCCCTACCTGGAGCCCGGTGATGGACCCATTGTTCTCATCCTGGCCCCTACTCGTGAATTGGCAGTCCAAATTCAGCAGGAGTGCACGAAGTTCGGAAGTTCGTCGCGCATCAAGAACACTTGCGTCTATGGTGGTGTTCCCCGTGGTCCTCAGATTCGTGATCTGTCTCGCGGTGTGGAAATTTGCATTGCCACCCCTGGACGTTTGATCGACATGCTGGAGTCGCGCAAGACGAACCTCCGCCGTGTGACCTACTTGGTGTTGGATGAGGCTGACCGTATGCTGGATATGGGTTTTGAACCCCAGATTCGCAAGATTGTTGACCAGATTCGTCCCGATCGTCAGACGCTCATGTGGAGCGCCACATGGCCTAAGGATGTCCAAAGGCTTGCCCAGGACTACTTGAAGGACTATATTCAGGTCAACGTCGGATCTCTCAGCCTGTCTGCGTCTCACAACATCTCGCAGGCTGTCGAGGTCTGTGCCGAGCACGAGAAGCGCGGAAAGCTCATCAAGCATCTCGAGCGTATTATGGACGAACGTGAGCACAAGACCCTGATTTTCACTGGAACGAAGCGCACTGCCGATGATATCACCAAGTATCTCCGTCAGGACGGCTGGCCAGCCCTTGCTATTCATGGTGACAAGGCCCAGAACGAGCGTGATTGGGTATTGAACGAGTTCAAAACTGGGAAGTCCCCTATCATGGTTGCCACAGACGTTGCCTCCCGTGGTATCGGTAAGTTTACCTTGTTTTTGATTTCTTGCAGATGCTACAACAATTTGCCGCTATCACCACCACGGTTATCACCGATTTCGCCATTGTTCGCTCCCTACCATCGGAACGCCTTTATTTCAACGTGGACACACCATAGAATATGGAAATGATTATCAGGACTGGGAGCTGAGCACATCTGCATTTGCAATTCGGCGTCACACACTCAAAGGATCCCTATTGCCAATGTTCTCGCCCACATAACATAAGCGTTTGGATGCAGCTTTGTTTGCGCCGGATGGTCTTTTTGAGGAGGATTGCTATGTCATCGAGCGGTGGGTCCTCCCATCGTTCTTACAATGGCTCGAGGCGCCTCTTCCTTCTTCGTCCAGTGCAGCGTCTCTTCCTATTCCATCTGCTGCTGCCATCTACAGCAACGGAACCATCTTCGAAGGCATGATGGGGCTCTGGAACTTCATTTTGGTTGCCATTCTACGGACTCTTCCAATTTTTCTGTTGGTCGCGCATACGATATCTTGATATATACTCGCGCAATCATAGAAAGTAGGGGATTACCTTGGCAATCAAATAAAAAATGAAGTTTTAGAGTTAAAGTAAACAATTGCACTTCTTTCGCGATGCTGTTTACGCAGACAGATGAATGCGTTTTTATTTCTTTCCTTTTGACCCCTTGCCCCCTATGCTTTGACGCTCAACTCGACGCTCAATTCGACGCTCAATTCGACGCCCAACTCGACTCTCAACTCGACGCTCAACTCGATGCTCAACTCGATGCTCAACTCGATTCGATTTACTGAAACGAAGCGTGATATGCCGATCAGCAGACAATAACAGTGACATCGACATCGACAACGAATGCGAATATAAAGGAAGAAAAGGATAGTTCGATGGTCTATTGATGATACTCAGCAACATCGCCAAGCAGATGATAATACACAGCCGATGGACACTGTGTAAAGAGTACTATGTCAATTTGACCTACTGTAAACTATTTCCTTACAGTCTCTTTCTCCTCTCTTGTTTCTCTCTTTCTGTTTCAGATGTCAAGGATGTCAAGTTCGTAATCAACTACGACTTCCCGAACAACGTCGAGGATTATGTTCACCGTATCGGTCGTACAGGCCGTGGAGGCAACACCGGCTCGTCCTTTACGTTCTTCACGATGGAAAACGCTAAGCAGGCCAAGGAGCTTGTCGGCATCCTCAAGGAGGCCAACCAGGAGATCGACCCACGCTTGATCGATATGATGCATATGGGTGGTGGTGGCGGAGGAGGAGGACGCGGTCGTGGTGGTGGACGCGGTGGTGGACGCGGCGGTCGTGGTGGATATGGCGGTGGATATGGTGGTGGTGGTGGTGGTGGTGGGTATGGTGGTGGAGCGTCGTATGGCGGCGGCGGTGGTGGTGGATATGGATCCAGATACTAAGTGCCAAGGAAGAATCCTTGTGAGGGTGTGAGCTTGTATTGGTGGCAGCACCTTGGCGAATTTTTACTTCTAAGTTTCACAATAGACAGACATCCCGCTCCTCAATAAAATAAGTAATGAATAAACAATTGTACAAAAACATCTTTTAGTTGATTATTTGGTTGACGGAGCCATTACGGTCTCCAGTTTTATATCATACAGTCTTTATAATTACACGCGGAGATTAAGAATGGTAGATAATAAGAAGGGTAGTAGTAGTAAAGTGATTAGTTGTGAGAGGATGATGTCTGGCTAAGTTCCCGGCGGGCATGCTCCAACAACGCAAAGAGCTCGACAATCTCGGCCATCAGCAGCTCCTTCTGTGTATTCAATGGGTCCAGTGTCTGCTGGTGCCGGTTCTGCTTCTGCCTTAATTCCTCGACATGAGATCCCATTCGAGACTCAGACTCGTACTGCTCCTGCTCCTGCTCCTCCTCTTGCGGTTGCTCATCTACAGCCGGGCGCTTTGGCGCAGGGAAAGACGAAGGCGAAGGCGAGGACGAGGACGAGGGCGGTGGGCGATCGACAGTATACTTCTGTGCCTCAGGCTCCATATCCATATCTAAGTTCGGTTCGGTATCCAAAAACTCGTACTCAGACGTAGATCTCTGGTTCTGCTCCCAAGTAGCAAGGTCATCGTGTCTCTTCCAGGAATCATCCTCCCGTCGTTGCTGTTGCTGTTGCAAGTAATAATATCGGTTATAGGACTCATAAGGGCCTCGGCGGTCGACGTATCGGTCTCCACATTGAGGAGCGTACCCATGGCGATGGGTCATTTGCAGACGCGAGTGCAGCCGATGTGGATACTGCTGATGGTGATGCTGCGGTAGCTGATGCACGATTAGATCATGCCGTTGCTGCACCACCTCAACCATCGACTCCACGATCGAAAACAAATGCCACGCGTTCAACGTCGTCACCATCATGCCCAGCACCACGAACGCAAAAATCGCTCTCGACAGTAGACGCGACAGAGGGTCGCGCTGCTGCTGCTGCTGCTGCTGCTGGGCCATGTCTTTCGTAAGCGACAACGCAGTAGGCTGCGCCAACGACGATGACTGATACTGCCACTGTTGTTGTTGTGGTTGTTGTCCCTGTAGGCCACGCTGTCCATGTTCCCTGAACGACGAGGCCAACGACGGTACAGATGCGAACGACCTTACTGACGACGAGGTCGACAACCGACTACTTCCATCATCTGTCGACCGCGCAAATGACCGCCTGGACGCCGCTGGAAGAGCAAACTTCACGCGCACAGAATCATTCTGCTTCGACTCCTGGAAGGTTACGGACGACGAGGTTATCGTGGAGAGTGGGCCCGAATCCGTAGCGGCGCGGTCAATAGATGTAGTCGGCGTTGACGGCTCCGAAGCGGCCGTAACGGTCGTCGATCGACCAAAGAACGTCCAGCCGCGGCGCACGAAGCCTCCCCAAAGCGGGCTGCTCGGCGCGCTCGTTGCTATCGCTGTTGCTGTAACCGTTTCTGCGTTTGAAACAGCCATCCTGTTGTCCTTAACTTGCGTCGGCAGCAACGCAGCCTTATTCTCGTGCTGCCAGACTACGTCCGCTGCCGCTGCAACCGTGATGATCGGGGACCCTGGCGGGGCGAACGATTCGAGGAGTACAGACAGAGCTGATTTCTTCTCCGAGGGCAGGAGTGGTGCCAATTGGTCCTTGACCTCCAAGATCGTCGACGGTTCGGACTGCGGGCGTGCAAAGCTCAGAGAGGGGCGAACTGGCGGTTCGGCGGGGGTGGGTTCGCTTATAGGCGGTGAGGTGCTGCGGAAGAACTGTCGTGTAAGAAGAGTGTGTGCTTGAATCATTTCCGAGGCCTGTAAGGAGGACGTTGTCGTCGTTGCTCCTGCTGATGCTCGTGATGGTCCGGGCAACGAGGATGCTGGCAGGGCTGGCGAGGCGGCAGCGGTATGACTGGTAATGGCATTCAGGCTTTTGTCTATAGCGGTTTGCCCACTCTGCTTTGTCAGCCCAAGCGTCGGTACATCCAAAGCGCTGTTCGCTTCTGGCGACACCTCTGGTGCCGAAGCAGCAGCAGCCTCAGCGAGAAGCTGCGTGCCCTGGGTCTCTGCCAGATCCTGCAGCTGTCGAATGAACTCCTTGTAAAACCCGCCCGATCCCTCCAAAGATCCAGCTTCGACCTTGCTACTCCACATGATCGATTTCTTGAACTTGACCTCGGTGAAGCACTTGATTTTGGTCTGACCGGGTGCTTCCCACGTCATACAAATTTGGTTCACGGTCGAGAAGTGCTCGCCGTAGGGGACGTTGGGTGTCCGTGATTCGGAGTGGACGAGGATCATAAAATCGCTGTAGTGAGTGACCTGTTGTATCTCGAAGCATGGTGTCGATGTCTTCGCCACTATTTGAAGCAGATCAGTCATTATGTTAATGGTTGCATTTGAAGATGACAAATCCAGGGAAATAAATAAATAAATAAAAGAGAGAGAGCACTTACGCATAGGAACTTTGAACGAGACTGAGTACTCCAGGTTACGTTTCTGAGATTCCCATAATGCCGATATCGTCTTCTTGCTTCCTGATTTCAGTTCCTTAGCCTCACACTCCTGCCAGGGCATGATCTTGATCTCCGTTGACCCATCCTTGATCCGATGCGTCTCACAGCCCAATTTATCGCCCTGCCCTGCGCCCTTCCCTGAAAACAAGATCTCAAAGCACAGTTCCAGCGGCAAGGGAATCACAGCCGACACAACCGCATTCTTGTAGTGTCGCTGACACCCGCATGACACTGGAGCCGTGGGAAGGAGTGCTGCTGGTTTCTTTTTAGCTGCAGCCGCAACCTCTGCATCGCCTAATGATGGGTCCAGTGATGCGCCCGCACCCTCCTTACGAATATGAACACTCGCGTTTCTGACACTGCTCGGCAGCGCAACACTCTGAACTGCGGACGATGAGTACAACATCTTTGTTGTCATCAAAGATGGCGAAATCAGTACCGGCGGAGGCGTACACGATAGCTTCATATCGTTGTCTCGACTCAATTCTGAGGACAAAGATGCCTGCACCATGATAGGAGAGCTACTCGGTGGAGAAGGATATGCGGCGGTGGCGACAGCATTCAGAGCAATACCTCCCTGTTGCTGTTGCTGCTGGTCAGCTGTGCTGCCGCTGTCGGATTTATTGCGCTTGTTGCCCTGGTTGGACCGCATCTGCAGGAAACCGATCAATCCTGTATTTAACTGCTGCTTTTCTGAAGAAGACCCGGCACTGCTTGCAACAGAGTTCCTCCGACTGTCCGTACGGACGGACGAATCCTCGCTCTTCTGAAGAACCTCTTCCGTAGTAGCGCTGTTCCAGAACTCTGATGAACCCTCGTATCCAGTCCCTTGTATTTGCGTCGGTGTGGATGGACGTGACAGCGCGGACGAGAATCGATTATGCAATGTCGGTCGATCCACATTCTCCGTGCTCGAAAACGTCTCGTCCGTGACCACAGAGTACGTCCTGGGCGCGCCCTTGCGCTGAGCCCTCAGACTGCTCAACTTGCCGCGCGGCTTCAGCGTCAAATTAAAAGCATCCATCGTTTGATTTTCAGCCTCAAGGCCTTCCACTGGCGGGGACTCGAGCCCTGTGTGGACGAGGGTTTGCATGACCTGTCGATGCACCGTCCAGTTTCGTTCCATGATTGAATATGCCTGCTCACGGCTCATCAGACTGGTGAAGACGTAATCCTTAATGGGCTGTTTCCCATCCTTGACGGGTTCCTCTTTCGTGTTGCTGTCATCGCCCGCCGCAGCCGTCGTTGGCGGAACCCTGACGCGGATCCTAATCGAACTCGGGAACACGCCCATCTTCTTCTCCTTCTCGATCGCGACCACATCCATATAATCAACCATGATTCTCACCGTCTTTCCGAAATGCCGTCCATAAAAACACACATGCGTCGCTGTCAGATATAACGTCCCTTGCCACAAGATCTCGCGCTCGAGTGCACACGCAAAGTCATCAAAGTGTCCCGGGCAGCCATTCATGTTGTTATTGTTGGCCAATGTCCAGCTCGACGAGAAATCTGACGACGCCGTCGAAACCGTATTCGCCGTATGCGAAGTCGTCATCGAAGCCGATGGTGAGATGGTCGATACACTTGGTGGTGTCGGCGGAGGAGTCGCCAAACAAGGGGCACAATACGAAGATGGCACCATGACCAAATTTGCCAGTTCCGGAAACGCGCGGATGAAGCGACGCTGGGGTTTTGTGAGACTCGAGCTGAGACCTGAGGAGGAGGTGTTGCTGAAATATTCGGATTGAGGGCGCCAGGGGAGAGTGAGCGAGAAGTTTGAGCGACGAGTCGGGGTAGTGGGAATAGGGGCATGAATAGATGTGGTAGAAGCACGGACTACGGTAGGCTGGGGGGATGAGGGGCGTGTGAATTCGACGTTACTGACGCCTCGATCGTGCATGGCGAACTTCGGTCGCGGGTGCGGCTGAAGGATCTCTTGCTCCAGACTTGTTCTGCTGTCGTCGTCTAAAGAGAAAAAGAGGAAGAAAGAGGGTAGAAGGAGGCTTTTAGCTCGCCGTTGCTCAGCACAGCGCAGCGTGCGAAGAATCCGTTCAGGAACAACTGTGTTCCCCCCTGTCGACTTTTCTGATCGCCGATTTTCCAATCAATCCTTACTGCAGCTATTTGTGTTACCACGCTTGACCCCTGCGCCTGTGCGGTCACCCTCCAGGAGCCGCCCTAGCTCAGCACTCCTGCGCCGAATAATATCCTTAATCGTGTTCCCGCTTCCTCCAGTCAAAGTACGTGGCGATCCAGGCCTCGATACGACCGACGCCCCTGCAGAATTCGATGCCGACGAAGAACTAGACGTCGGACTAGGCAGGGCCGATGCGGATTCGCGTTCGGATTCAGATTTCAAGGGGATGTGCATCGGCTTGGCACGGTCTCTTCCCGAGACCAAAGAAGGAAGAGATGCCGTACCTGATTTCTTCCGCAGGAAGCCAAAGACACGCTGTGTCGGCTTCAGATTTTGGTTATTATCATTGCCGTTGGTTGTGCCATTAGTATCGAAGGTTGGACTCGGACTCGGACTCGCTGCAAGAAGCTGAGATATTCAAAAAAAAAAGGGGGGGGGGGAGGGGGGAGGAAACGGTAAAGAATCAAAGGGTCAGCCACGGTTTATGTAGATGCTTTGCAGTAGGAGGGATAGACATACTTGAGCCAAGAAAAGAGAAAAGGGTCAACATAGAGGGATGCGGTATAATGATGTAAAAGCAGCAGAAGATAAAAATGTCATAAACAAGCGGAAGGAACGGGCCATGGAAGAATGCTTCCTTCATCCGTTGGGGCTGTTGTTGTTGCGGTGCACTGTTTGCTTGTGTTAATTTCGGCGAGAGAGGGGGTAGCCAGGGCGGAAAGTAATGCTTCAAACTGCAATGAGTATGAATGTTTTTTGTTGTTTTGTCCTTACCGCATCCATGCGTGGGTCCATGGTGGCGGCTCTTGGCTACAGCTTTGGGTGAAGAGGGCCCCACTGACTTGGTTACGGTCCTTTCAGGGCAAAATTATAGAGATCCTCTCTAGTGCCCAGTGAGTGGATTTGATTGGAAGGGGAAGAAGGATTCGCCCAATTGGTATGCGTGTGGGCTGTAGTCCAATCAGACGGTTAAGTTGTTTAAGCTGTGGAATAAAGTGTGGATATGAGGTGGAAAAGAGAGAGAGAGAAGTGTGCGGTGGGCTGGAGATAGGTTCTCTGCTTGTGCTACAAAAAGAAAAGACAGGGATCAGGAAGAGGAATGACTGAAGGTGATGGAGCCGTTGCTGTGCTTTGTTATTGTCGTCTGAGGGGAAGCTGAAGGGCGGGAGCTAAAGCGTAATTAAAGTGATGCTAATTCAGAAAAGGAATGAGTAAAGGTGTGCAATGAGGAAGGTATGCAATGAAGAAAGTGTGCAGTGGAGAAGAAAAGTGGGGTGCGTAATGTGTTCTCAATGAAGCAACCCAAGGGGTGCATACCATGGAAAAGAGAGTCGAAAAAAGGGGATCGGTGGCCTGATATTTCAGAGGTGTTTGTGAAGAGAAAGGTGCATTATACAGGAATAGAGGTACAACAGTGAATGAAAGGTTACAGTCGTCATTCCGAAAGGCGAAGAAAGTAGAGAGGAAAAGTGGAGCGAGTAAAACAACAGCGCCCGTCAATGGCAGCAACTCGTGTGCGGATGTGTTTATGTCGGCAAAGCACACAAGCACTCACTCCACCTTTGGTAGATCCCTCACTACATGCGCGATATTCGTGTGCTCACTTTTTTTCCACTGTCCATGCTCTCCGCTCCATGTGGAATAAACAGGTTTCCCTTTTGCGGGCAAGGGTAGACCATGGCATGATTAATTGTAGTCTGATTCCACAGTGCCAATCCGCCCATCTTGCAACTCTACTTGAAATAAGGTGTTCTTAGATGAGAGCACACGACCAGCTCACTGGAGTGCAATAAAGTATCGTATCCTTGTGTCCATTGGCTTGAACAGGACATCTGCTGTTAACACCATAAAGCAATGCCAAACAGGCCACCATCATATGGCGGCTATTGGCTATCGGTACCAGGTCGGCTATCATTTCACACATCTGATAGAACAAAGGCACGCGTGCTGCCTAATAGAACGGACCGTCTAACCCGGGTGTATCTATTTTTATTTGGTGACAGGGATTCCAGGGCGTGGTCGGTAGTATATCTAATGTATCGTAAACTAAAGGCGTACTCCTCTGACTTGAGCAGCGTCCCTAAAAAGAACTTTTGATACATGTACGCCCCGTTCACTGATGTAAACTAGGTCGTCCAATATCTCAAGATCCAGTTGTCAGAGACTTATCTTTTTAAACCATCCCAATTGACTCCCTCCAATCCCAGATTGTACTCAAAAAGCCCTTCAAAAAAAGGAATGCACCATCCTTTGTCAGAACCTCTTGCATGCTAAAGACGGAAGGAAGATGGACTCCCTTGCATAGATAGCAAGCAAGGTAGGATGGACGGGGGTTATATGCAGCAGAATCCTCTCCTGAAGTTCCTTTTATTCCTTCTGGCGAAGATGTATGCAGAGCAAATAGAAGCAGCAAAGAAACAGGGATGCTCTAAATCTCAATTGCTTGAAGGCATGTCAACTAAGCTACGTCGTTGTCCAGGCCACATAGGCCACGCGAGCCATGGATCCAGGTATCCCCTACTACAACATAAAAATGCGTAGAAAAATAGGAGTCGAATCCTGCCATTTGATTGGCTGACGCGTGGTGGCCTGAGAAATTTCCTAGACCAAGCTGCGAGTGTAACCACACGTCCATCAGGAAAACAAGTGGAGGGGGAAACAAGAGGAGTGTAAGTATTCCCGTAAACACATAAACATGAATCGAGCACGGACAACACAAACCAGTTTTCGTCATCGTAGTTACCAAGGAGGGTCAAGTCTCCTGAGAGGAAGCTCGTTGCCGAGGTCTCTGCTGCCAGGAAACAGCAGAGATTAGGGGCATTCTTTTGGCCATGTGATAAAAGAGGTCATATTTGACCTGCAGTTGTCGTGTACGGAATGGTCTACGTGTGCGCAGTGTGTGGGTTTGGGTATGTCTGCCTGGTAGACTGGGCTCTGCTCAACTGCCTGCGGAGACATGAAACAAGAGTAACCGGAGTTTACCCCTGAATTTCATATTGCAGTGATTGATTGATATTAAACCTTCTTTTCTCGTTGCTGGTGGTCATTTTCACCATGGAACAATACTGTCCTCGCGTGCGAAGGACCTCGGAAGAAATCAACTTCTGTCCCTGTTGGTTCATTTCATTCGAGAGAGTCCAAGCTGTCCCGGTATCCATCAACCAGTCTATGCCGATTATGATGACCATAGTAACATGATTGAGCCAATCATCTTCAGGCGTTCAGTACTTCATGACTATTAGTATATTCCTCTAGGGTTTCTTTGTGCTTTTGTAAGCATCTGGCGCTAGCGTACATGAGCGCACGGTTTTTTTCTTGCGATTGAACTAGCTATCGCGTCCCCTATCTAGTGGCTCTTGACTATTCGATCTCGGTACAATTATACTCGTTTTACTCCAAGCGAAAGGAGTGGCTCTTTTCCCACCTACCTTAATTTTCGTTAAATCATTATCCGAAGCTAACACAATATTTCTTCCTGCTGACGCGCTTTGGTCCAGACGGGCCGAGATACATCTGAGGATCCCATACGATCACCCGTGGAATGCACGTCTAAACCTTCTGCATGCGGACTTCGCCAGTTATCGATTTGTCGAGTAGTTATGGTCCTTTCGCAGGACTAATCGCCAGCCGATTGGTGAGTTCGAAGATCTTTGACAGTCCAAAGATGGTTCTACACAGTACATTATCCGGTAATCAGGAGCCACCAAACAACAGGAATTTCTTGCACTTATTGGCGAGTGGTGAGTTAAAGAAGGGTGGGTTGGTGAACTTATATTTACATCGGGCTCAGCAAAGGACTCCACCAATGTCGCACAGGCTAAACCATTCGTCTACAGCTAGAGACAAAAGAGAAGTGATTAGAGCTGGATGTGGTTATTTCATCAGGCTAATACGTACTTCTTCCCCTCACTCCGAGTTGGGCGTCAAGGAGCAGTAATGATAGACATGGCGTTCAACAAGAGCAGGAGCAAAAGCGATCCTCGGGTTGCGAAAATAGCATAGATGTCTATATGCAGGAACAGGGCGCTGACCAAGCAAGGTTGAGGAACGCCTGGACGAAGAAAATAAAATAAAAAATAGAAATGAATACAAAAGAGGTTATGCGAACGAGCTCAGAACAGCCAGGGGAATGAACAACGAACAACACGACTACGAACAAAAAAAGTGAAAATATGCTGACGAATAGATAGTTTGTGTAAAAGAGCCCTTTCAGTGTTGGCAGGCAGATTACTTTTGCTGTTGATGTCGTTGTTGTTGTGTTTTTGAATTACTTTTGTTTTGGCATCTTTGGTCCCAATTGTTGCAAAGCTGCCTGCAATTGCCCTGATGAGGATGGGTATGGAGAAAGAAGGACCTGAATGCCACCCTCGGTAGCAGGCAGCCCTGTCTTAAGTGGTTGTGCATTTCGCGATCTTTTACAAATTGCATCACAAGCATCTTTGTGCGAGGTACAAAATCCATGCGAGCAAGTAGTCCATGCATGCGACCATTGTCACCATGCCAGAGGAAGAGGATGGTGGGAGATGGTGCGGGTATTTTCCTACAAGTCCTTAGAACTCGTCGTAGAGCGTTGTTGGTAGAACACGCGCTCAGGTCGCACCTCATCTTCGTTAGGGTTTATTCGTCTTCTGCTCTCATTTTTTTTTTGTTGCTCCTTTTCCTCTCTCCTTTCAGCGGAGCAATCTCTTTCCTCATCCGTCTCATCTTGCCCATCCCTTCCTTCCTTCATCATCCCTTTATCCACTTGTCCTCATCCTCACCTTCATATTTCACTTGTACCTGCGTAACACTAGCCCTTTCTCTTGTCGCCAGTGACGAAACCACAAAGACTTGACTGACCCATTCAATCTCTACCACCCCTTCTAGCGCACTCTCCTTCTCACTCGCTCGCTCACTCCTTCTCGACCAAACTGCATGAACACTCCCCATTCGTTTCTCGAGCTCTTATTTCCTCTCGATTACCAATTTTTTAATACTCCGTCTCACCTTGTCATCAGTACATTGCGCACTTTCTCATTCGAACCCATCATCCAATGGAAGATCAGGATCCCGTCTGTCTGGGCTGTCACAGCTCTATTGAAGAGGGCAGCGTAGTCGCCTTTGGAGAGGGACTATGGCATGTTCAATGGCAAGTAAAATGAAAGCTACAACATCAAGAACACAGGCTATTTGGCCCGAGGAGAATATGCGAAGGGTCCATTTCACTTCTGCCTTCAATTGCTGCTTGTGCATGTGTGCAGCCAGGAACACGCATTTACATACGTTTATTTTATAAGCAAATCCGACCACCCTCCTCTCTCCTCATCTCATCAGCGGCAAGTGCGCTTACAGTTGCGGGCTTTCCTCCAATTGCTTCGCGGTCTTTCTTTGTGATCGACAGAAGGAATTATTTTTTCAGCAAAAAAAGGTGTTACCAGGATGGTACCTGAATTATAAAAAAAAAAAAAAAAAATGAAACAAATTGCCAACACTAACCAAGGACGTGCTGCTCAATTTTTTTCTTTAATGCACCCCTCGTGGTACCTCTCTCCTGCACTCTTTAATGCATTCAAATCTATTCACGATGGCCTCCTCCACATCCAACTATGGTCCTGCGGATTATAAACCATCCACAACAGCTTCCGGTGCGCAAAATGCAAGCTCAGGGTCGAGTGCGACAGCAACCTGCTCTTGCTCTCAGATGGCAGCCCCATCTGTGAGCAGTGCTCGTACAGCTGCAGCTTCTGTCGGAGGCCTATCCTCGACGAGGCTATCATGACTGGTAAGAGCTTTCTCCGCGGCATTGTACTAGGCTAACGAGAAGAATTTCGCTCTTCACGTATTTATTCCACTTTTATGTTCATCCATATCATACAGGCGACGAGGCATACCATGCTGACTGTTTCCGATGCACACAATGCGACTCCAAGATCGAAGACCTGGTGTTTGCAAAGACATCACAGGGTATATACTGTATGAAATGTCATCAGGAACGCAAGGAAGCTAAACGCCAGCGAGAGCGAGAAGAGCGCGAACGCATGGAGCGCGCCGAGAGGGCAATGGAGAAATCACTGCCAACAATCCCTGAATCAGAGGTATGTGCCAACGGCGAAGGAATGTTATCTGAAACAGCATTTTTGATGACGATTGATACATCCGCCCTGGGCTTTGCTTCTCCGCGGATAAGCATCCATTCTACCTTCTGTTGCCTGTAACAGATAATATGATTCTTACCCGCTACATCCGGCCCTTTGTATCCTCTTCAGCACAAGCAGCCTCATGAATCCCAATCCCCAAGGCCAAACAGTAATCCGGCCAGCCGGTATCACCAACCAGAACCGGTCCCCGACAGACGCGCTCAACCCGACATGACACGACCTCAACAGCCCATACAGTCCAATCGCTATGGCACTAATGGCTACAATAATGCACAATCTGGGCCTACGCCTCGCTCAGATAGTCGTCCAAAGCCAAACGGTACTGGCCTTCCCTCTCTCGATGTTGGACCACCATTCCTTCCACCGCTTCTTTTCGGATTGGATGAAGCTGTAACCAGTGGATTTGATTTGGGAGACATGCTGAGCGAATCTGAAAAGGATAGCAAGGGCTCATCCCCTTCAACACCCTCGTCCAAGGATGTGGAGCTGGTCAATGGACAGGACCGCGGCTCGTACAGGTTGAGCATCGCCCGCGCAGATGCGCGTTTGAGTACATCAACTTTGACCTTAACCGAGAAGCCTAGCTTTGGAGACGGACTCAAGCCTCTCTCCTCTTCGTCTTCTTCCATGTCTGAGGTCTCGGGATCTACATCTATCACTGCTCCCAAACGCATATCTGATCGCTTCCTTAACCCGATGCCCCATTCACCAGCGACCTCCGAGCCATCAGAGGTAAGTTGAATGTTTCATGCCTTTGCACACTGACAAATATTCTGCACATCCATGTTCGGAATGGTGTATCTAATTCTTTGCATTCGTTTTATGGGATCATCGATCAGGAGAATATGAACCCAGCAGAAGCTGCTGTACTAATCCGAGAGCTGCGCGTTGAGCTGGCCAAGTATAACCCTATGAGCCCTCTGATCCATGGAACGCCCCAGCAAGAATATGGACTTTTGCACGAAAAGATTGAGAAACTGACGCAGAAACATACACAGCTTGAGAAAGCTGTACGAGACCTGTACATCGAAAAGGATTTGCTGGGAATGGATCTTGAGGCAATGAATGAGGAGCTCAGGTAAGTCGCCAGTGCCATTGGTCGCATCATCGACAGAGCGGAAATCACTGGCGGATTGGCTGACAAATCAACTTGTTTTTATCTACAGAACGAAAGAGGAGGCCATTGCAAGTAACGACCTAGACAAATTGCAGCCCTCAATGCCCCTAACTTCCAACCCTCGCATGAGCACCAGCCATGATTTCATGAAGCAAGCCTATCAGTCAGAGGTGAAGGCGCTTCAGGAGCAGAAGGAGCGTCTGCAGCGTGAGATTCAGACGTACGTCGAGCAGCGCGATGGTGTTCTTGATGAAATGCAGATCCTCAGTGTTCGCAACGCCGAGCTATCGACCATGAACAATGACATGATGAGGGAAATGTATGAGCGCAAAGACAACAAGCCAACACCTCCGGCAGCACCATCCTCAACTGCCAACGCCGGCGGGGGCTGGTTCTCCTCAGGCAAAAGGAGGCAGCGGCAGGTGAGCGGAGGCAGCCAACAGGAACTCAAGGCGCCTCAGCTGGCAGTTGCACGCAGCAGCGATTCGACCTATTCGTTCAACTCGACCAATTCGGACGATCCATTGCGTAGCATCAGGAATAAAAGGGAAGAGATCCAAGAGGACATCTTTGGCGAAGAGATCATCTCACCCAAAAAGTTCAACTGGAAGAAAGGCGCAATGAACACTCTCGGCGCGGGTGCCAGCACGGTGAAGTCGGTTGGCGCCATGTTCGGAAAGCTGATGGTCGAGGGCCCAGGCTACGGTGCCGAGGCAACTAACGGTAGGAACGGCCAGATGATGTCAGACACAGGAAGTAGCAACGGACAGATCCTCCCCCCTACAAGGTCTTTTTCCGTCAACAGCGAGACCGGCTCTATCAACGGACGCTCCACAGAGCAGCACTACTTTATCCAGTACAACTACCTCAAGCCAGTGCGGTGCGATTGCTGCGACGACAAGTTGTGGGGCCGAGAATACAGGTGTCGCGGTAAGTTATCCTGGATCTGTCTGGTGTCCATATTCGTGTGTTTCAGTACAATTTGTGGCAAATCTGACCTTTAATTTGTGATTATATAGGATGCGGGTTCCAGATTCACAGCCGGTGTACTAACGAGATCGTGCCAGCCTGCTCTGGCAAGTTGAAGGATTCAGATTCTTCGAGCCTTCGCAACTTCCCTGCCAGCGGTAGCGGCGGCAGCAGCTACGGAGCTCCACCCTCCCCGCCCGCTAAGCAGATCATGTTTGGTAACAATCTGCTGGATCAACTCGAGCTCGAGCAACGAGACATCCCTCTTGTGGTCGAGAAATGTATCGAGGCCGTAGATCAGAGAGGTCTAGATGTTGAGGGTATCTACCGTCGCTCGGGTATGGCTGCCGAAGCACGACAGCTCGTTCAGGCGTATGATGTTGGACTTTACCCTGACTTGATGGACTCCTCACTATATCAGGATATTTGCTCCATCACCTCCGTGTTGAAGCAGTACCTCCGTAGCTTGCCTGAGCCCCTTGTGCCTTACGACCTGTACACCGAATTCTTGGACGCCGTAGGCTTGCCACACAATGAGGCAAAGTTCCAAGTCTTCCACGATCTCCTGGACCGCATGCCCTATGCTCACTACCTGACGCTCAAGGTGCTGCTCGAGCATCTAAACAGAGTCACTGAGCTGGAGAGCGTAAACTTGATGCATGCCAAGAACTTGTCTGTAGTCTTTGGTCCAACACTGATGAGGAACCCAGATCCGAGCAGAGAGATCATGGACATGTCCTACAAGAACATGACTGTCGAGTTCTTGATTGTCAATACCTCGGAGTTGTTTATCAGGAGCGAGAGGCCTTCGTTCAGTAGTGCGACTAACGAAATCAACAATGGTGCAGGACAGAACGGTCAGACTGGTATTGACACAGCGTCGCCAGCATCGCCATCATCCGCTGCCGCGCCAGCAGCTGCACCTGCATCTTCGACCGCAGCACCCGCAGTCGTGCCAGTGGCAGCGGCAGCATCACCAGCGATGAATGGATCGCCGAACGGATTTACAGGTCAACGTCAAGGATCGGTCGGAAGTCTTAGCCAGAACCCAGCACCTCCTCCACGTCGTATGCCTGGCCATGTACCGTCCCCAGTGATGTCACAGGAGAATGGTATATTTACACCAGTATTACCACCCCGATCGAGCTCTGGTGACGCTATACCGACCATGGGCCATCTTCAACAACAACAACAACAACAACAACAACAGCAGCAACAACAACAACAGCAACAACAGCAACAACAACAACAACAACAACAGCAGCAACAACATTTCCATCAGCAGCAACACCAGTACCAATACCAGCAGCAATTCTATCGTCCACAGCAGTTCCAGCCGCCTCAGCATCAAACACTGCAACAGTTGAAGCAACGCGACCAGCAGCAACGTGAGCAGCAGCAGCGCGAGCGTGAACACCAGCAACGTGAACAACAACAGCGCGAGCAGCAGCAGCGCGAACAACAACAACAACAACGAGATAACGACGTTGATTTCGAGCATCAGCAGCAGCAGCAGACGTCTATCTCTGGAACCCCTCAGCAGTCTGCATCCACCAGCCCTGCACAGTCCCAGCCTCCAGCATCGACGCTGACTGCCATTGTGCAGGAACAACAGCACCAGCATGCCAACCCTGAGATCGATATGAGCAACTTCCCGTAGGGCATTCATGATATATAGATATTTGTCTTTTTTTTTTTTTTTTTTTGTTCTACCACGAAAACACCGGTCTGTACACTGTAATAATCCTTCTTGAACGTGGCGAGTGGAAAGAGAATAAAATGCGGAGTTTGGAGTGTTTACACAATACGGTTCTCAAAGGGTCCGAGCCGCGTGTAGCACGCGTCGCGTCTGTAGGCTACTACACGCTGGCAGAATGTAGGCGCGACTGGTGGCTTGTCCTGGCCAAGTGACGGTTCTCGACCAGAAGCGATGAGTCTGCAAGGAGGGAAAGTGAGTGGTGAGGAGGGAAGGGGAAAAGGGAAAAGGGAAAAGGGCGGATCTGCAGAGTGGAAAACGGCTCTCCTCAATCGCTCCTTCATCCCTCTGTTTTCTTTCCTACACGCATCAGCTCTCGTTCAATCGCCCCAGTTCCTTTTCCTACTCCACCGAGCCATCCTCATCGATAAGTCTTTACTCTTGCCTCGCTCTCCTTCAAGGAAGGATCCATAAAATAAAATTCAACTACATACATAGTCCAGAATACAAGTACTCCCTCAAGCACACTCCACTCAATTCGCTCAGCAGACCTCCAAGCACCATGGCATCCTTTATGTCGATGCAGTATGACTCGGACTCAGATTCTGCTGATGATCTTGACTTTGAACCCGCCAGCGGAGCCAGCTCAGGTTCAGGTATGAACAGCCACCCACATATCCACATATTTTAATTAGCCTTCCCGCCTTCCCTCCTTATTTTTTTTGTTCCGTTATCAAGTAATGAGGTACAGGGATGGATCCTTGAACAACAACTACAACAACAAGTTTCCCTTTTTTCCCGCTTCAACTGCTCTACTGTAGAGCGTTTTCATCCCAGGCTCCAATTTCTTGGGTTCTATGAATATCTGAGTTGAATTTTTTATATGCCCGAGCATTTTTTATTGCAGGGGCCATACATCGTCCACTCGACTTGAGGAACGTTTATTTTTTTCGAAAGAACACGTTTGCCATCGATCAAGTGCGTAACAAAAAAAAAATGCTCTTTTTGTTATTACTTCTTGCGATACCACTTTGCAGATAGCGACAGCGGACCAGATATGGATGAGACAATGGGCGATGAAATTGTCGAGGATGAAGTTATGAACGGCGATACCGTCGTAGAAGACTTGTTTGCGAAACCGGCAAAAAAGACGCGAAAGAAGGGTACTCCAGCTTCAGCAGTAACTAAAGCGGTTACACCGGATGCATCTGCTATATCTGTACCAGCAACTGCAACACCTGCAACATCTGCAACATCAACAGCAGCACCAATGCAGGACGTAGTCCCGTCAGCAGGAGTAGCAGTAAATGCAACGGCCGAGGCAGCAGCGCCAGCACCGGGGGCGCCTCTTAGCGCTAACGATGTAAGCAAAGCAAAAACACTTGCATAAAATCAAAACCGCGCAAGTTCCTTCCTCCCCTCCTTTTGTGCTACATGTAGTGTTATGCATCTGCACCTCTCTCTTTTGACGCCAAACAATTTTTCTTCTTTCACTCCACGTTTGTTTGCTGTGCTCACCACATATTACCTTCGATAAGCGTCGTGACAAAATTGATTTTTTTTTACACTCCTTTAGTCTAATGCTCCTGCTCCGGGCGAGGTCGCAAAAAAGAAGAAGGGACCGAAGAAAGGGACGAAATATAAAAAGAGGACACCGGCTGTAGCAGCGGATGGATCCAAACCAGCAGGAAAGACACCAAAGGCATCGAAGATGACGAAGAAGGCGGCGGCGGCAGCAGCAGCGGCGGCGGCAGAGGCAGAGACGGAGGCAGTTCGACAGAAGCAGGCGGAAGCTTCAGTATCAGGACGGTTTGGATTTTTGAATACCCAGGTCGATATAGGTGAGTTTTCGCCCGATTTGTGCGTTTGCTATGCGAAAATTCATGGCATTCCATTGTGCTCATGGCTAATGTGTTTTCCATCCATTTATTCATTATGAAAAAAGACCACCCATTAGAGACGTTCAAGTGGCCGTACTCACCCTTCACGCCCGAGTTCAAGTCGCAACATCAGGCGCGGAATAAGATGGCGAACGATTTGCATCAGGCCGTTCAGGAGATGACGGACAACAACAACCGAGCAACGTGGCATTTGCAAGAGCTCGATAATCAGCTACAGATAAGCCGGCAGGGCCTGAGGACGAGTTTGGATGAGATTCAGTTCCGGAAGAGCCAGCTGAGAGATATGAGTCTGCTGGCGGTCGATATTGTGAGGAAACTATCATCACCACGGCAGCGGCCACCACCGCCGCCGAGGACATTGTCATCGTCGTCATCTTCGGGTACCGCATCTGGAACGGAGTCTGCTGGAGGAGATGGAGGAGAGACAGGAGGGTATGGCTCATCGTATAAGACGACGGTGAGTCATTTGGATGGCGATCGCATGGAGGTGGATGATGTGGAGAGTGGAGAGGAGCAGTATGGGCAGATGCATGGTCAGGGTCGGGAACAACAACAATCCCAGCAGCAGCAGCAACAGAGTTTGAAGGGGCTGAATGAAGGAAATGTGAGGTCGTTTCTGGAGAAGATTCGGGAGTTGGAGCTCGCGCAGCGACATGTCGTGGTGTAAAGAGGATCCCCATAGCGCCCTTTATCTCTTTAGGTCGCTTTTATGGTCCTTTCGCGCTGATCATTTTAATCCGTTTTCATTTCTTTTATGGCGCTCCGTTTTTGCTCCTTCAAGTTGTCCTCTTCGCCTTTTCGATCTATCCCTTTTGCTTTTTTCAACTTGTTCTCAAGTTTTCTTCTTTGCTTCTCCAGCTTATCCCTTTTTGCTTCTCAAGGTTGTCCCATTCCTCAGTCCTCTTCTCCCCCTACGATTGCCACCTGCTTCTGTAAACACTGTAAAATAAAATATATATCCCCCCTCACACACGACGCATTGGCCTTCGGATGCAGTTTAACCGCAGGAGTTATGTCTTATTACTGAGAGGAAAGGGAATACGAATTCGTGACTAGACTGACAGTCCGAATGCATAGACAAAGGCAATCATGGTCTTGTTCTCGAAGCGGAAGACGGCAGAGCCTATAACATAGTATAAGATCGACCGGTTGTTGTTAAATTAAGGCCAGTTTTGATGGTATAAAGGGCATTAAAACAAAGCAGAAACATACCATCAGATTCTGCGTCCCATAAACTTGTGGAGGATATGTGCACGCCAGCTCCTACGGACTCCAAGATTGTGCTCGTAACTAGTTCGATTGAGAAAGAGAGGTACCGAGTTTAGGTTGATAGGTGGGCAGTTGTGTTCTTCAGGGGTAGATTATGCTATGTTCCTGAGTATGCATCGAAAGGCGCCTTTACCGATATACTTGAAGGTCCCTTTGAGCTGGATGAGACGCGCAATAGCTTCTTTGTAGATGGCAGCCTGCCACTCTGGGACGAGATCAGCGCGATATTCGGCATCCTTGAGGACCTTTTTCACAACCTAGAATGTCATCATAGTATAAGTAATCCATCGAGTGTTCAAAAAAGGGTTGGGTTTCCATTTATCCAATTGCTAAAGGAGGATAAGTATCCAGGAGCTGTACATACCTCCTCGAGGATGACTGTTGCTGCCTTGATGTCGAACTTTTGTTTCTATTGCCACCAAAAAAAGAATGAAGGCAAGGTATTCCAGTTGCTGCAGGTTAATACGGTTTCCCACGGACGCCATTTTTCATGCTCAGTTCTTGCTGCGATGTTGGGTGGTGTTCATACTTCATCGGGTGCCATGGCCATTGCTGTTGATGCAGCGTTGTGAAGAGAATCTGGCGTGGGAAGTTGAAGGAGGAGCGGAATCGAGATGGCGGAGGGGGAGGAAGGAAGCGGCTTCCTTTTGGCGGCCTTGGTCTTGCATAAACTGTCACGAGCAAACAAGCACTTGTTTCAATGGGCAGCCCACTCTCTCGCTCATTCTACACTCCACACCACACCACACCCGAGAGCTCAGGCACAGCCAGCTGTTACTTTTTTTCTTTTTTTGTTTTTGGTCCTTCTTTTCCCCGCAATACGCGCAAGTTCCTTGCGCAGACCCTGGGGGTCGCACGTACTCCACTCAGGAAGGAAACTTATACGCCTCCACCGAGCCATGGACCATTCCTCAGATTTCACATCGTCATATACCTCACTAGTGATCAACATCCATGTTCATCCCCATCCGCATGAATAAAAGAAATTTTTATTATCGTACAAGCTGCGCGTTTCGCCTCTCTGGCCAATTTTTTTTTAGGAATCTCTTTTTGGGGGCTGCCGATGATGATGCACAAAGGCCCAACACACATCTCTCCCTACCCACCTCCCCTCAACAGCAACAGCACACTGCAGGAACTAAGGACGGACCATAGGTATGTGTTTTTCTTGTTGTAGGGGAGCGTGCTGGAAGCGAAGAACAAGGTGGCAAGTGCGAGGGAATGTTCGAGGTTGCGTGGATGAAGACCGGGAGTAAGAGGAGGACAGAGGAATGAAAGAGAAGGACGTGGACACAAGGGGCAAGAGAAAAAGAAGAAGAAAAATGGAGAGAGAAGAGAAGAGGATGCAGCAGTGCGGGTACTTGGGAGGGATGACAGCCCAGTTCAGGCCAGCCAAGGAGGAGCAAGAGAGCGGTCCCTGCCTGCGAGGCATTGGTTGCACTCGAAAAATGAAGTAAGGAGGCACTCGCCCAAATCACTCACTGACATTGCCCCAAAACTCATCTCGGACCCGTTTGTTCATCTCGACCTCAAGTCTTCTTTGCAGCCCTGCTGGTTCCACCCTCTCTATTCCAAGACAAATACCCGTGGAGCCATGGACGCGAATTTCAACTATCAGGCAAGTCCACCTTTTCCAGGCTGTGCCCAGTCAAGGACGCTTTGGCAGTGGCAATGTTGTGTGCACGTTAGCCGGACTGAAAGGGCGCCGTCATTTTCGCTGTGCACCGCCCACCCCGTGCTGTTCTGAACGTCCTTAACTTTGTTTCACGTCGAGGCGTACCAGAATGAAACCCAGCCTCTGGGGTCCGCTCCGGACGCCATTTAAAGTTACCTCCGAACGCGTCCTACAAAATGGCAAACAAAAATCGCTGACACAATGGTGTCTTTATCATACATGTTACCATAGGCACACTTGCCTGCAAGTCAGATCCTGCTCCAACCACAACAGAGCCAGCAGCATCTTCAACAGCAGCAGCAGCAGCAGCAGCAACCACCGCCGCCACTCCCACAACAGCAGCAGCAGCAGTTGCAGATGCAGCAGGTATACTCACCGCTCCAACAGTTCCAGCAACAGGCCTTCCACACACAATCCTTTGCATCATCGCATCAGCCGCTACAGCAGATGGATCTCCACGCGGCCACCGGTTTGACGCATCAGCATCAGCTGTACCTACAACAGCAACAAACACAATACCAGTATCAGCAACAGCAACACCAACAACTGTTTCTACAACAGCATCAGCAGCAGCAGCAGACTCCGCAACCGCAAGCACAACCTCCACAACCACAACAGCAACAGCAGCAGCACAGCTTTGGATTCGCTTCGCCTCTACAGTTCAGTAATGCGACGACAATGGCGTTCAGTCAGGCATTGACGTACGATACAACGACGGCAGCAGTGCTTGGGGCCATGGATCAGTCGCACTTGACATCACCTCACCTAAGCCAGGCGCCCTTGACGTCCTCCATTTTGGGGTCGCCCCAGATCCAAGTGCAGGCACAGTCGTTGGCATTAGCACAGGCCCAGGAACTTGCTCGACAACAGCAACAGCAACAACAGCAGCAACAGGAGCTGGTGATGCAGCAGGCACAGGCACAAGCACAAGCACAAGCACAGGCGCGTGCGCAGGCACAAGCGGCAAAGACAGCACGAGCGTTACAGGCTCAGGTATTCGCTCAAGCACAGGCACACCAGGCACAGCAGGTATTAGCACAAACGCAGGCGCAAGCTCATGTCCAGTACTTGACGGCTCATACGCAGTCTATGCTACAGCAATCGATGGTAGTGTCTGCGACCCCATATACCCAGCTGCCGACACATCCTGCGCAACACCAACAGAAATTGCAGCATCAAAACCAGCCATCTGCGACACTTAATGGGGTACTCTTGTCTGAGGTCACGTCGCCAGCTACACCTATGCCTTCAAACATCAAGTCCCCTCGGCAACAGGGTGCGAGCCGTGTCAAGGGAGTGAAACTAGCCGAGGCTACCAAGAAACAGCCGGCTCAGCAACCCCTACCACAAGCAGCCCAACAGCAGACATTAACATCACTTCCGAATCAGTTGCACCAGTCGTCACAGCTGTACCAACAGCAACAACTGGGGCTCCAGCTACAAAAACCACAGCAATATATCCACAATGTACAACAGCAGCATCAACCAATCCGGCAGCAACAACAGCATCAGTTTCAAAGTCAACAACAGCATCAGCAGGCATTCTCACTAGCTCAAAAACAGACGGCAAAACAGCAATCACAGAAGCAGCACTCTACACAAAAGCCAACCAAGGCAAAAAAACCATATTACAGTGACGATTCGAATTCGGATTCTGGATCATCGAGCTCAGAGGACGGCGAGTCGTCATCGTCATCTTCGTCCGAGTCGTCATCCTCGTCTTCAGAATCTGATCAAGAGTTTAATGGGAAGACGTCCCCGCCAGCCAAGAAGCCCGCTGGGAGGAAGAAGAATGCAGCCAAAGCTGGAGGGAGCACTGCGCGGTGGGCGGTGCCTTATGACCCTGTGGTGATCCCTATGGCCAGCAGGACACTGGAAAAGATTTTGGATTGGAGGGTGAATAATGGAACAGAGGAACTTTTGATCAAGTATAAGGTACGTGAAGTAGTACGGTTGTGAGGCATTCAAAATGTGATCTGTTGCCTAGCTGCTAATATATGGATTGAACCATACTTACGATCGTAGTACTCGAGTTATCTGCATGTGGAATGGGTGCGGAGAAAACGAATCGAGGATGGCGAGCATTTAGGAAAAAATCGAGTGATGAAGTTCATGGAGAAGCGGCAACAGTACATCGACTGGGAGCCATTCAACCCGGCTTTCACCAGGGTTAGTTGGCATCCGATATTAAGGCTTCGTTATAGGAAGGTTGCTAAAGCAATCAAACTAACAATATTAATTGTCCCTGGATGTGATAGGTCGAGCGCATTGTTGATGAAGGAGAGCTAAAAACACTGGAAGGCGAAATCGAGATTTATTTCTTGGTCAAATGGTGCAATACGCCTTATGACGGTTCAACTTGGGAAAAGCGCGACGACGTCTTGGCTCTGGATCCGACGAAAGTGCACGAGTTTTATGCACGTAAGATCATCCCAGACGCCAGCGCGGCCCGACAGTTGCCCCGGCCACCACGAGGCGCGTTTCGCAGACTGCAAGAATCTCCGGCCTTTAAACACGGCAACCTGCTGCGACAGTATCAGCTGGAGGGCTTGAACTGGTTGTTGGACTGTTGGTTCAATGAGCAGTCGTGTATCATGGCAGACGAGATGGGACTCGGAAAGACGGTTCAGTCGGTGTCGTTTTTGAACGAGATACATAATACGTACCGGATTCGGGGACCGTTCTTGGTGATTGCACCGTTGTCAACGATACCGCATTGGCAACGCGAGTTTGAGGCATGGACGGATATGAATGTTGTAGTCTTCCACGGGAACTTGACGTCGCGGAATTTGATCTGCGATGCGGAGTATTATTACAAGGACGCCCAGGTATGATGATGAAGCAGGGACTTCGTGGTGCCAGCGAAGAGCATCCATGTGCTTGAAGTTCATTAGAGCTAACCGCTTACATTTTCCATGTTGACAGGGGGCGATTGTGCCGTACCTATTCAAGTTCGATGTTTTGATCACGACATATGAGATGGTATGCGTGCAATGTCTGTAGAACTTAATCGCGTCCTAACAAAAGCCTGAGGCTGACTTCATGTTCTTTTTCTGTCTACGTCTCCCTCACAGATTGTCGCAGCATCTGCACAGCTCAAACCGGTCGCGTGGAGGGCTATTATTGTCGATGAAGCACACAAATTGAAGAACTCGGTGAGTGCTGTTGGTGCGTGAAGGGTCACGATATCGCAATCTATTCCAGAGAAAAATTGAGATAGTAATACTTGTGGCCTTTGTTGATATTACCAATAGGCTTCGAAAGTATCCGAGATCTTGAAGACTTATAGTCTGGAGCACCGTGTACTGTTGACTGGAACGCCGCTTCAGAATTCTCTCGATGAACTGTTTGCGCTTCTCAATTTTCTGGAGCCTTCGCGCTTTGTGTATGTGTTCACATGCTTTCTTAAGAGCAATTTCGTATTGAAAACTTTGTTTCTAACGCTCTGAATATCCAATCTTGATTAGCAACGAGAAAGCGTTCCTGGCAGAATATGGTAACCTGAAGACTGAGGAGGAAGTGAAACGATTGCAGGAACTGCTGAAGCCCCTCATGCTGCGGCGGTTCAAAGAGGATGTTGAAAAGTCGATTCCCGTCAAAGAAGAAACGATTATTGAGGTCGAATTGACGACAACCCAGAAGGCCTACTATCGAGCCATCCTGGAGAAGAATTTTGGATTCCTAAAGAAGGGCCGCTCTGCAGGACCCAGCTTAATCAATGTGATGATGGAGTTGCGCAAGTGCTGTATCCATCCTTATCTCATCTCCGGCGCAGAGGATCGCATTGTTGCAGAAAAAAACGCTGTGACCCCGGAGGCCAAGTATCAGTGCTTGATTGAAGCATCCGGAAAGTTAGTGCTGATCGACAAACTGCTGAAGAAGCTGAAGGAGGGTGGGCACAAGGTGTTGATCTTTTCGCAGATGACCAGGTGTCTGGATCTGTTGCAGGATTATATTCGTGGACGAGGGTATGTAAATGAGCGGATCGATGGATCGATTCGCGGGGACTTGAGACAGGCGGCGATCGATCGGTTTTCGACCCAACCCGACTCGTTCATCTTTTTATTGTGTACCCGTGCAGGTGGTGTCGGCATTAACTTGACGGCGGCGGATACCGTTGTCATTTTTGACAGCGATTGGAACCCACAGAACGACCTCCAGGCGACAGCACGTTGTCATCGTATCGGACAGACCAAGCCTGTGCAGATTTATCGGCTGGTGACCCGCAACACGTACGAGAAAGAGATGTTTGACCGTGCAAGCATCAAGCTAGGACTCGATAAGGCTGTGCTGCAAAAGATGGATGTTGCCCCCAATCCAGATGATCTCTCGGATATGCCCAAGCCGCCTTCGTCCTTGAGCAAGAAAGAGGTCGAAGAATTGCTCAAGAAGGGTGCGTATGGTGCCCTTCTGGACGATGATGAGACTAGTGCCAGGTTCTGCGAGGAAGATATTGACCAGATCCTGGAGCGCCGTACTACGGTGATCAAGCACACTGGAAACGAGAAGGGATCTGTGTTTTCGAAGGCGACCTTTTCGTCAACACCCATTGGCGAGGAATTCGATGTCAATGATCCGCAGTTCTGGGACAAATGGGCAGAACGTGCGAATGTCAATATCCAAGATATCACGACTAAGGACCAGCTAATCCTGAACGCCCCACGTAGCCGTCGACAAGTCCAGCGATTTGGAAAGGAACAAGGAGATTCAGATTCTGAGGAAAAGGATTATGTCTCGGACCTGGACTTTGAGGACGAAAAGGATGAGAAGGATTCGAAAGACGGAGGCAAGAAGCGTGAGGCACCCCGGCAATGGAGCATGGCAGAACGACAGCTCTTTGAACGCAAGCTGATGATTTACGGATACGGACGCTGGGACCAGATGGGAGTGTTCTTTCCACGTCGAACCGTTAAGGATCTCAACGCTGTGGCCCACTGCATGGTGCGAGAAATCCTTCGAGGCATGTCGACAGGAGCGTCCATCTCTGCGGATGACCAGAAGCTGATCAAGGAGCTGGAGGCGATTTTGGCTGAAAGTGACATGAGTAATGGCTATGAGACACCCTCAATTGAGTATATTCCGTACGAGAAGGCGAGCAAAAAAGCGACAATCGAGTTCAGGTCGTTTCTCCTGGAGGCATCGGCGGAATACAAGGATCACATCCAGAAGAAGGGTCGCAATCTCATCCTCCGTGTGCAGCTCATCGACGCTATCCAGAAGCTTATCCCTCGGGACTGGGATCTGGCCAAGCAGATGGAGATTCCGCCAGTGTCTGGAGTACCGCCAGCACCTTGGTGGGGAGATGATCAGGATCGGGATTTGATGTTGGCGATTATTAAGTATGGGTATCTGGTGACGGAGCCCCAGTATGAGGCAGTCAGGAATGACCCCGAGTTTTCATTCTATGGCAGAAGATATGAGCTGAACGCCAAGGATTCGAAGGATGACGACGATGATGTGGACGACCATGGACGGCCATCGAAATCAAAGCAGCCTAAACAGCCCAAGCAACCTAAACAGCCGAGGGTTGTCAGCTATGGATGTAGCAACGATAGCAAAGTGTTAGTGTGGCCTTCGAAATCCGACATCGGACTCCGTTTGCGTCGTATTTTGTCCGCTCTTCAGCGCAAACACCATTTTGACGCGCGCAAGAACACACTAGTAGAAAAGGACAGGACCAAGGAAAAGCAACGACACGACCGGCAGCTGCAGCGGGAGCAGGCGGCGCAGGAGAAGAAGCATCAAAAGGAGATCGAGATCGCTTCTCGCTGGACCAAGAAGGACAAGGCAGAGTTCTACAAGACTATTGCCTCATTCGGCGTGGTTCGTCTGCGGGACAATGCAGCCTCATACTCGGATCCAGGAACACCAAATAGTTACAGCACTCAGGGCCAGAATGGTCGTTCCAAGGCGGGCTCCTTCAGCTCCCATATTCGTAAGCAAAAGCATGGATCTGTTGGCCATGATTGGAGCAGGTTCAAGGAACTGGCAGGGCTGACGAAGAAGCCGGATGAGGTGATGGAGGAGTTTTATTACGACTTTGTCAAAGTCTGCCAACAGGTCGTGGACAAGAGCAGCAGTAGCGCTCAGAATCGACAGAGTCGAGAGTCGAGTCTTTCATCCGCGCACCCGAAAGTGGAAGACGAGGAGGACAAAGAAGATAAGGATGATGGCGGAGGAGATGTCCCACCGTTGGATCGAGCCAAACGTGCACTGAAACGCATTGAGGTGATGAGCATCATTCGCGATCAGATTCTCACTAATCCAAAGGTACTTTTCCGTCTAGCCAAAGAAAGAAACATGGCTACATGTGGACACCTCGCTTTTTGATGAAGGTCTAACACATTGCCTTTTATTTCTGACTGTGAATAGGTGGATGCTCTGTTGGCTGCAGGGCGACGCTCGCCTGGATTACCGAGCTGGTGGATAACTGGGGTTCACGATCGACCGTTCCTGGAAGGTCTTGCCAAGCATGGTGTTAACCGTCAGGACTTGATTGTTGAGGACGAAGACCTGCCTTTCGCGGCCATCAGCCGACACTTTGCAGAGTTGCAAAAAGAACGACATCTCGTAAAGACCGAGACCACTGAAGACCCAAAGCACAAGAAGGAGACTGTGCAAGGATCATTGGCTGAGGTAAAACGAGAAGAGGACGCTACGCCAGCTGGATCTATCGCCAAGCCCAAGCCCACAGCCCCTGCCGAACCCGAGGAGTTTGTGTGGCTCAAGGAGGCAGTTGTGATGCGCCGGATCGAACACTTGATCGACATTGTACTGAATCCAAAGCCTGTGTCCAAAAAAAAGCGCAAGTATTATGAAGCCCAGATGGCGATGAACAGCAATAATCCGGATACAGTGAACCACCGTGGCAAGGGCAAGGCGTCATCGTCGCGCCAGGGAGGGAGCTACGAAACCGAGGTGGAACACAGCGATCGGGAAGGCGACCACGTAGCGACTCTGGAGTTTGCAGACACCAATGCTATCAAGAAAAAGAAGCTGGCTGCGGTGGTGATTGAGAAGAAATCTAGAGGAGTGGGTGCTCCCAAGAAGCAGACGTCGCCTTTGGTCACGATTTCGAAGGAGAGCAATGGGGATTACGAGGATGGTAATGCGTTGGTCAAGTCGTCTGGACTCAAGTTAACGATCAGGCTGAACAAAATTCCGAGTGTTGTCGCCGCTGCTGCGGCCAATGCGGCTGCCAATGCGGCTGCCAATGCGGCTGCCAATGCGGCGGCTTCTGGTATTAGCAACAGCACCGGAGTCAGCCGTACGAGCATTAGCAGGAAGGGCCCTGAGGTCAAGAAGGCGCCACCACCGTCAGCTAGTCTAAAGCGCGGACGCGATGGCAATGGGAAGGGCCACGCCGCAAGAAATGGCAGTAGAAGCCGCAGCAGGGGTAGGAACAGAAGTACCAGCAGTTCGAGCGGGAGTGACACGGATGAGATGATGCAGATAGCGAGCAAGCAGGTCGAGTATCTCCAGCGCAAGATCAATGAGAAGAAACGGCTCCGTGCGGTCAGTCCGAGAGGACGGTCACCGACGTCTTCATCTTCTTCGTCTACTTCGTCGTCACGGTCGTCTTCGCGGTCGTCTTCTAGAAGCAGAACCAGGAGTCGAAGCAGGAGTCGAAGCAGAGACAGGGGCAGGGGCAGAGGTAGAGCTATGAGTAAGGGTAAGAGTATGAGCATGAGCATGAGCATGAGCATGAGCAGGAGCAGGAGCAGGAGTAGGAGTAGAAGCCGTGGCAGGGGCAGGGGCAGGGACAGGGGTAGGTCGCGCTCTAGGTCGTATTCTCGAGGCAGGTCGAATGCCTCTTCTTCGCGGTCGCGGCGGTCGGCGTCGTCTAGGTCGTCGTCCCATAGATCCTACTCAGACTAAACTTCGTGTTTGCTTTTTGACCGTTGTGCTGTACTTGCTCTCATTAAAAAAGGATCCTTTTATCCTACTGATTTGATTGTACGCGTTTGTACCAGCATTCATTGTTACTATGATATATGCTCTTTTGGAAGCGATGAAAGAAATAAGGAGTTGTAGTTGCCGTCGGAGTCTTTGCCCATCGACATCGTTTGTAAAGGCAACGTGAAATAGGGACCCCTGTCAATACAGCAGAAATGAATGTCAATTTGAAAGTCTTCGAGATGGCATAGATCGATCGAAAGATATACTACAAGCGTCGTCGCAGTTGATCCAGAGGCATACCAGATCCTAACGCTGTAGGATTTCCAGACTGGACGACCCGGCGCGCAAGGGGATCGCCCAGAACGTGATGGAACTCTACGCAACATTGACTTGCTCAAGGGCCCAGGGTCACCGCCGCAGTGGACAGTACATCACTATCAAGGTATCATACGGAGTAACAACTGGTTTTTTTTATAACAATCTGTCTCTCGAGTCAATTGACTCTGTGAATCTATCATCGCCAGTTGTTACAGATCTGCCCCGTAATAGTTAACGACTTCGCCTCCGACGCAAGAAGTGAGCGCTATATAACCTGAAAAGACGAAACTGTATGCCAGGATGCGTTAGCCAATCACACCTTCAGTTCATTCAGAACATTCTTCTTCGCCAAACTGGCAGAAGCAGCAATCGACCCGAGGGGTTCGAAACCACCCCTCCGCACCCGTTATTTTTTTCTTTTCTGCTTTGCCTCCTTCTCATGTGTGATTGTCAAAAGTGCTTCGCCTTCAAAAATCTTATTTTTGGTTGATTCGCGACAGTGGTACAGAATAAGGTTCTAGAAAAGTGTGGATGAATTTTTTCCTTTTGGGCAATCCCCTCCTGTCACCACAACACGTCAGACACTATGACTAGTGGAGGATAACATAGGCTGGCCTCCTCTCTTGTTATCCCACATAGGTCGAGATATGGCTTCTCTATATTTCTATCTCATAAAGACATACCAAGGGAGCCAGTGCCAAAGGACAATTCGATGATTTCCGGTCGTAGTATAAAGTACCCCTTGGATAATTGACCACTTCAGCCACATGTATCGCCCACAGTGCACAGACTTATCTCAAGCAGTGCGCTCATATCTCACTTTACTTATCAGCCTGACTTGGTCGTCCACCCCTCATCCATGTTCCCTAAAAACTATCCCCCTCCTTTCTCAATCGCACCCTTTGTCTTTTCTCTTCCAGCTCCAATTTTCTCTCCAGGTTCCTCAGTCTTAACTCCTCAAGCTCATACTCCTCTCTCCGGATTCTCAGCTGGAGCAGCTCCACCTCCTGATCAGGCTTCTCTCGCTCCAAGTTAAGTCTGGCCTCGTCCACCAAGCATTCCCGTTCCATCCGTATGCGCAGAATTTCATTTATATCAGCGGACTGTTGACGCATAAGATCCACAAGCAGCCCCACATCACCAAAGGCGTCGTCAATCTCACGCGGGGCGGTGGCTTTAGGAGCAGATTTAGGGGCGGATATAGCGTTGGTCCTTGGACTTCATGGCGGAGAGGCTTTCGTTGGAATGACGAGTTGATTTTCTCTGTGTTTAGCTTGCCGGCATTGAACAGGGTGAGAAAGTAGCGACAATGGCTGATGGTCTCCTCACCCAATGTTGGGCCGTCAAGTGTGTTTGTCGTTGCCAGTCGTGCCGTAGCGTTTCGCGTAGTCGTTAAAGATCCTGTACATATTCTCGATTTTTGTTTTTCAATTGGTTTTCTACCAGTGACACCGCGAAACGCTTGCTGTAATCCTCGGCGATATCTGTGTAAAGATCACCTCTGTTTTGTAAGTTCGCCTCTAGCTGTTAAGATACGCCAATTATCGGGAAGTGCCATCTATTCAGCAATGAATGCCTCGTGTTCTGCAGTGAAGACGAATGGTTGCGCCCTTCCCGTGCGGTTAGTTTGTTGGGAGCTTGGTGCTGGCGAAGGCGACTGTCATTTACGGGGGCGCTGAAGACGAGGACGGATCGGAGAAGGCCGCTTTTCGGGAGTTCAAGGGCGTAGAGGAGGATGATATATCGAGAAACCTTTAAGCCTTATTTTGCGTTCACTGATGCGTAGAGCTGCTCAGTCCAGCTCAGCTCAAGTCTCAGTATAAGATCTGATATGAGAGGATGAGGATTCCACAGCTGGCATCTCTTTCTGGTCGACTATTTATATCGTGGACTACTCACTCGTCGTACTTTTCTCTAATGGGAATGAATACAGGAGGAAGCATTATCGAATCCACATCTATTGCAATTCAATTTTTCGCGACATCCGCATAGTTCGCTCCACACAAGTAGATGCATGCTGCTTTGTTCTATTCCAACGACCTGATGGCACGCGACCCTGTTAATGAAGCTGAAGGTATAGTGTATAGCGCGGACACGAGTGTCTGGTTGACCAACGCGCGTTATGGCTCGAAAGACAAGCACGTCGTGCTCTAATGCAATTGATATAACCCATTCCGGGAGAAAAGTTGCTTTGAAATAAGTAAGGTAGGTTGATTCCCGGCTGAACTTGGTTTTTTTGTGGAAGTGGAGATGAGTTGCTTCATAGTGCTCATGGGGAGGCTGCGATCATGGAGGGGCGGCGGCATCAGTCAATTTTTATTGTCCTTTTGGTGGCAACCTGTAAGCACTCCTTATTTTTCATTCCTCCTTGTCATCTCATCGTCGAATCACCCTCCATCTCTCACTTTTCCATCGCTCGCTTCCAAGCACTCAGTACTTCAGCCACGCTATGCTCGAATGTGTATATGACATCGACTTTTGGAAGACCCTCGTCCTACCAGGCAACTTTACACAGGACCAGATCCCAGACCTCTCCTCAAAAGTAGCCATTGTCACTGGTGCGAATACTGGACTCGGATACGAAACCGCCCTTGCCCTGGCATCCCATGGCGCACACGTCTTCCTCGCCTGTCGCAACAAAGCCAAAGTCCTTGAGGCAATTGAGCGCTTAGAGCGGGAGCTGGCCGAGACCGCGCCGCATATTTGGCCAAAACTCGATTTTTTATACTTGGATCTGTCCGACCTGCGGTCTGTGGTCCGATCAGCCAGAGAATTTTTATCCAAGGGTCTCCAGCTCCATATCCTAGTGAACAATGCCGGCTTGGGACTATCGCCACCAAAGCTAAGCAAGGACGGGATCGAACTGGTCTTTGCAGTCAATCATATGGGGTAAAGCTATCCGAACTTGTCCCCCTTTTCGCCCCAGCAATATTTATCCTCGCAATCATGGGACGGACCAAACAAACAAACAGGCCTTTGTAATTATGATCGGCAATCGTTATCATGCATCCCGCATTTGCACGCTTGCATTTATTGGAGGGTCACACAGTGACGCCGTTTACAGTTTGTTCTCGCGTGGATCATTGCGTAACTAACGCCATGTCTTTGTTTCTCTCCCATACGGAACCCTAGTCACTTTCTTCTTACTCAATTGCTTCTCCCCAAGCTCATCGAGTCGCAACCATCCAGGATTGTATCCGTCAGGTAAAGGAAAAATGCACATGATTATAATACGGAGCAGTGAAATTTTAAGATAGTCATGATGAGGCCATGCTCAGAAGACTTAGCAGTGTTTATTTCAATGTCACTCGCATTATGTAGTTCGGCAGCGCACGAGTTGAATTTACCGCTAGGAGGCATACAATTTGGAAAGCTTAGCCAACCCGACGCGGAGTCGCCTCTTGTCAACTACAACCGGTCCAAACTCGCCAACATTCTCTATGTAAAGGCACTTGCACGTCGACTGGCTAGCGCAGGTCATGACAGAGTCTTTGTAAATGCAGTCAATCCAGGATACTGTGTCACAGGGATCGACGGCGAAGCAGAATCGACCGTGGGAGAAGTGGTCTCGAAGGTCCTGTCTACAACAAGGGAATGGTTTGGACGGAAACCTGAAGACGGGGCTCTGACACAACTGTATTGTGCAGCAAGTCCGGAAATCGAGGAAAAAATGTTATCAGGACGCTATTTCGTTCCAGACGGACATGAGCTTCGCCCAGGTACTTATTCCGCATTCACTATATCTGTCTTTCTTAGCATTACAGTGTGTGTGTTGCTACAATCGCCAATGATCATTGGCCACTGACCATCAGGAGGGTCTTCTTTTGTGTGTTTGAATAGGGCCATACGCGATGAACAAGGAGCTACAGGAAAGGCTGTATAGATATTCAGAAGACTACATGGTCAAGCGTGGGCTACTGAGCGTATAGCGGCGTGATCTCGTCTTGTTGCTGCATAGAAATATCTTATAGACAAAGCCCTCAATATAGACCGGGTTCTTGATATAGTACGCGCCTTGTGGCCCATCGAGATAAGGGCCTGCACATCGTTAGCCCATGTCCAGAATGTGCTAAATATACGGGCTGGGTCCCGGGAAAACCACAGCAGCCACAGGTTGGAGGACGTAATGGATATATATACCCGCAAATAAGGAAGGCAAGGAAAGCAAGGAAGGCGGTCCATTTGGAGTTTTGGGCAGACAGAGAGAAGCACTGGTGCGAGCAGTGGCACTGGCCCGGGTCTTGTGGCCCGTCCTCTCCTTATTTGTGCTAAGCGCGAACTTTAATCCTGCGATCGTAGATAGACAGTCCAGAATAGGAGTGATTTGCCCCAGTTCGCGTTTTGGGCTCGACGGATTTTTGTTTTTCAACTAATACGACCTATTCATGCGGCCAATGACGAAAGCGTGGATGGAACCAGAAGCGATTAGGCCCCTCGAATGGGCCCATCATCCGAGCGGGAGTGAGGCAATTATTTCCGTTCACTCCCTCGCCACTGTCCTTGCCTACGTATAAAAGCCCTCAACCCTGCCCTCCTCAGCTTCATCATTCCATTCTCCAACTCGCTCTTCACTTCCCACCCCTCCCCTGCCTCTCTCACTCTCTCCCACACCACACCCAAGAAAGCACATCCACCATGTTCGGATTCGAAAGCCACCACGATGAGGTCTACAACGAGACATCCAACAAGTCCTCCTGGTCCCACGAACTCATTGCAGGCGCCGCTGCCTTCGAAGCCATGAAGTCTGTTGAAAATGGCTCGACCGACAAGCACCAGTTGACCAAGGAGGCCTTTGCTGCCATTGCCGGCGCTGAAGCCGACAGGCTGATTGAGACCAAGGGCCTTGACTATATGGACAAAGAGAAAGCCAAGCGACAAGCCCGGGCGAACGCCGAGCGCATCTACGACGAGAAGTACGCTTAGTCGACCAGGCAGCAACAGCGGCGGCGATAGCAGTAGCAGTAGCTATCAAAATCAATATCGCCTCTGTCATGGACAATCCACCTGCGATATACTTGTAAATAAAAAAAAAAAAAAAAAAAAAAAAAAAACAGCAGCATCGAGGCAACTGTGCTTCTAGGTCCTTTTCAGCCGCATCGTTCTGAAGTGTACTGAACAATCGTTCATCCTCTACCTTGTCAGATTCGTTGGACTATGAAAGAAAGAGACGCCTGCAAATTGGCGAAAATCTCTGGTCTTGTTCCCTCTACGCGACAGTGCCTCTTACGTAGCTGTTCACTGGGGCTCTATTGCTCATGGGAAAACAGCACTGAACCTAAACTGGTTATGGGTCCAGCAAAGTTGTTTCGCAGTCATGGAATCGCGGTGCTCTGTCACGGATTCGTGGCTGATAGTCTCCTCACGCACCCCCACCACCTTTCCTTCTCCCTTCCCTTCATTCTTCGCTTATTTCACTCTACACAGACAGCAGCCATGGCGCCCCCAAAGCTCACTCTTTACAAATGCAGATACTGCCCCTACGCAGCCCGTGCGGTCCTCGCCATGGCCGAGACGCAACAGGAGCACGAGGCTGTCGAAATTGACATCACAGTTCCCCGTCCTGACTGGTACCTCAAGGACATCAACCCGTACGGCCAAGTCCCCTCGCTCAAGATCGACGACAACCACATTATTCTCGAGTCCCTCATTGTCGCAGAGTACATTGCTGACCTCCATCCCGAGGTTGGGTAAGTGCTACCCCATGTACCCAGAAAAAAATGAAATAGTTTCGATCTATTTGTTCAAGTGCTAACACGAGCTTCTTTTATTGGTTCAGACTGCTCCCTGCGGACCCATTGCAGCGTGCCCAGGCCCGCTACCTGATCCATCACTGGGGTGCACGTACCCAGGCCGCGATCCACAGGGCGACCATCACCCTCGACCCTGTTGAGGCCGCAAAGCTCCGTCAGGAGGTCATTGTCGAGCTCGAGAAGGTCGATGTGCTCCTCCAGAACGCAGTTCGCAGCCCTTCTCGGGAGCATGGGCCTTTCTTCTTGGGATCGAAATTTACCTTCGCGGACCTCGCTATCGCACCCCTGCTGGCCCGCTTCTTCTTGGTCACGGCCTACCAAAACGATATCACCTATGACGAATTCGAGGAGACCCTGCAAGAGAACCCCAAGTTGAAGAGGTTCCTGGAATGGCGCGATGCTGCTGTGAGCAGACCTAGCGTTCAAGCGGCTACGCCTGAAAGGAATTCATCAAGGGCTTTTACCGCAAGTTCCTTCCCAAGGCTGAATAAAGGGTATGGTGTCAATTGTATATGTAACTACAAAATAAATGCTGGGATTCAAAAACACTTTTCTATTCGTTTTATGTCTTTATGTCTGTTTAATAAATGCCCAAAGCTGCCATCTGGGCGTGTCCTCTATTGTCGCCCCTCTCGATAATAATGTGCCGTGGACTCTGCTGCAGCCAGTCTCGCGCCACGGGCCTACACGGGAACGTGGAGCAGTTATATAGAATCCGTTCCAGAGCCGGGAATGCATGGTATAGGTATTTCACTTGATCGAGCCCCAGGACCCCCCATTTGCTGATGAGGTAGATACGGCGTATCATACCCTGTTTGGAGCCACAACACCCTGACAGATCCAAAAAGCCCAAGTTCAAGCGGTTCTTGCTCCTCCGACGTCCGATCACCCTCTACGCCGTGCGCAGTGCTATCTCCGTTTTCGTCCGCCTCACCAAAGGGAGTCTGCGGTTCAGGGTACCGCAGTGGTTTGAGTTTCATAAGCCACGAAACATGAATGCTGTTGATCCGAAGGAGCTGGAGTTGGTGCAGTCTTGGCACCAGATCCAAAAAGATGTGGTCGAACGACCACAGGTCACCGACAGGTCTAATCACATCTAGAGTCTGGATCTGATTACATTCCCACCGGATCGCGTCCGGCAGAGTGTTGATAGTAGAGCCTGCAGGGGCGATGATGGAGTGTCGATCGCGGCGCGGTAGTACTTGAGGAAGCTGTACGAGTATCAATAGCTCACCGACATAAGCCGTCTCGAGTGACCAGCACTGTCCCAGGAACCTTGCCAGACCAAGTGCTGTGATGCGCACAGTCGGTAACCATAAGGTGCTTGAGTCGGTATCGTTTGAACTCGTCCGAAATACTCTCTAGCATCTGATCGTCGACCTGACAATGGACCAGTCTGAGCGTTGTCAATCTCGACCATAGCGCGTCCTCGCTACTACTGCCCACGATCTTGCTGCTGTCGTTGAGAGATTCGCTGATCTGAAGCTGCGGATAGGACGAAAAGAATAAAGTAAAACATTTTTCAAAGGAGACCGCCTCCAATTCCGGACACAGTGTCGCCAGGAACTCGATGTTGGTCGGCGTTGAATTGACGGTCAGATGCGTGAGATTTGGGGCCCGTTTGAACAGTTTGTGGGTAAAGGTGTATCCTGTGTGGGCCCTTGGTGAAAATTTTGATTAGTTTTATGGTTGTGAGGTATTTGGCCTTGTAGTCTTCATCGAGTTCCGAAGTCTCTTGAAGGGGGTCGGAGGGCAGGAAAGCCTCGGATCGAGACGAGATATCAGACGGGCGAGGTTGTGTGATAGCGTTGACATTTGCAACATCTGCGACCTGTGCATCAGACGCATTTGGAGTTGGCCTGCTTCTCCTCCACGGTATCCGAGACAAGAGATCCTGGAAAACTTTGAACGGAGGGGGGCTTTTGGGGCTGCTGAATGGAAGCTTGATTGCGTTGCTCCATTCTTCGGCCGTGTCCACCAATCGAATAGCATTCAGTTCCAGTAGCTGTAGGAGCGGACAGCCCTGGAGACACCTTAGAAGCGTTCTTGTCATGTAAGTTGACGCCTTCATCCGATCATTGACTCCGGTCAGACAGATAACCGTCAGTTTGTCAAGCCTGCCTCGAGCGATGGGTTCCAGAAGTCCGCATTGAATCGTGTCCAGACGAACTGGGTCCAATAGTTTGAAGGCCAGATTTTGAAGCCGACTGTTACTGCGGACGAATGCGTACAGTGAGCTCGCGTCTTGAACTTGGCTGATCCAGAGTGTAACGGTCGTCAAATTGCAGCAATGAGCCGCAATGTCCCTGAGGCTCTGATCCTTGAGAAAAGGGGCATGCAGATGCTGGACGAAATGCCCGTTTTGACGTTTTGACGAAGTAAAGAGCCGTCCTTTGAGTGGAGGCGGAAGTAATAAGAGGTTTTTCAAAGGAAAGATTTGAACTTCTCGGCCCAGACGGAGGAGACGAGGATGCATTTTTTAACATCATTGTAGGATAGGTGGGATTCGATATTACAAATAATCTCGGGGAGGTCCAGGGGAGCTGGGCGCAGCTGGTAGAAGTACCGCGGTCTAGTACTTGGTGTGTTCTGAGTTTTGAAGGATGATTCCATGCTGATGAAGATGAAGATGAGGATAAAGATGAGGATGAGAATGAGGATGACAATGAAGTTGAGGAGCCCTAAGGTGGTGTGCGCTATTTCAGAGGGTGATGATAGCGGGCGCATCGCCCATCCTGCCATCCTCAAGTAAACATGTTCAGTTACTGTGGCCAAAACCCCAATGGAAAGAAAGTCGATTGTTGGCGTTATCACCAACCTTAAACATTTCAGTTGAACGCTCGAAGCACTGAAGATTTTATTCCACTGATGAGTTATTACTACATAATCCCATATGAATTCGTTAGCCTGTACGTTCGTATCCGCCAGGGAACGCCTGATTTACGAGTGAGATCGATGGCCTAGGTTGCCCTTCCGATGCTGGGGACAATTACATCCTGGGTTTGGCTCCAATACCGTTGATAACCTGGACTGGATCCTCTTGCTCAAGGGCGCGACGCATCCTGGGTTTGGCTCCAATACCGTTGATAACCTGGACTGGATCCTCTTGCTCAAGGGCGCGACGCATCCTGGGTTTGGCTCCAATACCGTTGATGATCATGGTAGACTTCTCAATTTCATCTTTGGTCAGAGAGACAGTATCGTGGGTCCTCGAAATGCCGCCGATATCCGCGATGGCCGAGGCAAGGGCGGGAGTAGGGGTAGACTGGACGACGCCGGAACTGCACGAGAGGAGGACGGCGACAGAGACCACAACGAGGGCCGACAGAGCGCGGAGGGCTGAGTGGATGGAGACTGAAGTCATTTTGAAGGTGTAAAGTTAAGGTAGGCTGGATAGAGTAGAACAGAGTGGCTGAGAATTGTTGGCTGAGTGATTTGATGAATGAGCAGAAAACGAGGGGTTCTTTTGCTTTTTGGAGAGAATGTTTTTATACCAGAAAAGTGATCCGACGATGGACACGAGGAGATAGAACCCCAGCCTAGTTTTGTTCTTTTCATCTAGAGCAAAGAGTAACGATCGCCTCTGCCCGCCTGCCTGTTTGCATAGTCGCAATCCTCTAGGAACACAGAGGATATTTTTCAGGAACAATTCGTTGTACCTGAAAACAACGTGCTCAGAGAGCTTAATTGCTCGTCACCTTCTGTGGGCTCCCATTTTCCTTCCTTCCCCTCCTTCCTTCTCGGATGTTTGTTAGCCCCGCAGCCGCAGGCAACACAATTGTGAGAAATTTGCGGCACAGGGTATGAAATGCTCAGATGCAGCCACACGCCTCCTCCGGGAGGCTGTGCACAGTCTTTCCGCTCAACGCCCTCTTTTCTAGGGATTTGATCTGTCCGCTTCCTTTGGAGCGTTCGGACAACGCGAGGCTGGGTCGCGTCTGATGTTGAGGCTTTACAGCGCGTCGCATGCGCATTTTGCCCTCCAGTTCAAGAAGCCCCTCTCTAGCGTCAATTATTTAATTATAACAAAGCGGCAAGTTGTCAGACCTTGGTCACTTGCATACACGACAAGCCTGCCAACTCGTCACACGACGCCTTGGAGCCGCAATGCCCCTCCCTGATTTATTCCCCTGTGTGAATGTGTGTGTAGGGGGGGGGGGGGGGGGGGCTAGGCCAGCGTACAGCAATAGGTGCTCTTGCCTCATACAAGCATGAAGTAGAATACAAACGCGCCTCTGTTCACCGTGAACACGGACCTTGCGGAGAGTACCTTTGGAAAAACGCAAGAGGTGCTCGTTCTCTATGATTCACTTTATTTACGATTATAGTGTCTCACGTCCCTTCTTTTCTATGATCCGCGCGACCTTGAACACCATCTCCTCGTCGCCATACTGGCTCATCACCTGGAGCCCCACAGGGAAGCCATCATCCCCATAAGTAGCAAACGGTACACTCATGGCCGGCAATCCTGCAAGACTCGCTGGAATAGTCAGGATATCGTCCATATACGCATTGATTGGGTCAATATGGTCTCCGACCACGTCCTCCAGTTTCGGCGCCGCTGTCACCGCGACCGGTGTCAGGAGTGCATGGACCCTTGAGGCGTCGCCTTCTCCGTCAAGTGAGCCTGTAATCATATTCGGGCGCGCAAAGATAGAATCAAAGTCCCTACGAATCATCTGCCGGATCTTTTGTGCACGCAAGAAGAAGTTGTCGAATGACCTGTATCCCATTGAGAAAGGCAAGATTTAGTACACATAGCATTCAATGGCGCTCGGAATCGACATTCAACCCGCAAGAGCGAGAATCGGCTTACCCTGATGTGAGTACATAAGTCCCCAAAAGAATTCGCCGCCTGACCTCCTTGCCAAAGCCCTCACTTCGCGTATGAGAATATAGCGCATTTTTTTCATCCCGCTCTTCACTTTGATGACCTGAATACACAAAGAAATAAAATTTTTGTCAACTGCCTCTGTTCATCGACTCCTGTTCACCACACTGCCAAGACATTTCGTCCGCAAAAGAAACTCACCATATCGGATTCCATCATATCGCTGCAAATTACTTGACGCTTCTGCAGTCGCCAATGTGAAGTACGCTCCTACTGCCAGCTTTGTGTTCGGTAATGAAACAGGAACGACCGTGGCACCTTCATCCTTCAAAGTTTGGATACCTCGTCTCCACAATGCCTTCGTAGCAGGTGAGAGTTCTGTAACGTTGAACTCTTGTGGGATGCCGACTCTGATACCTGACAGTGGTTTGGATCCCTGCTTTGTGTCTCTGATAGGCTTTTTTGCTTTTTCAATCGAGTCGCGTTGCCGCTGTGTCAAGCATGTTGAATCCTTTAAGTCCTCTTTAGAAATGATGTCTACGATTTGGCAATAAAAGGCATCGTGTTAATAACATGCATTGTTTGGCCCATCATTGCGCACCCAATGTACGCGTCAATGTCTTGCCGTACCATATATCGTCTTGGCGTCATCAACAGTCTTGGTAAGAGTGCCGACGGTATCCAGGGAGCTGGCATATGCAACAAGACCCCATCTGGATATCCGGCCGTATGAAGGCTTGAATCCAACAATGCCGCAGTACGATGCGGGCAATCTGACAGATCCTCCAGTATCTGATCCCAATGCCCTGTTCACAACGCGATAGCGATCAGGTTAATGTCCATCCTTGAATCTGGCATTTGGGCTTCCATAACCCAGCTTACTTACGCAAAACACATGTTGCTGGCTACAGCGGCAGCACTTCCTCCTGAACTTCCTCCAGGGGAGCGGCCCTCTACCTCGTCTAGGGTTTCGATCGCACGACCCATGATGCCGTGCGGGTTCCTAGTTGGACCCGCATTACTGAAGACGTTGTGCGATCTATCCCGATCCCGATTTTTGATGAACGCTTTCAAAATTAGTTGTCTTCTGGTTGAGCAAAATTTCGTCGCAGTACATGATTCCCACTCGAATATCTGTGCCTTCATACCCCATTCCGAACTCGTCCATGTTGGCTTTCCCGCCAGTGATTGCACCCGCTTCCTGAAGCAGTTCAATAGCGGTAGCGGTATAGGGTGCTTGGAAATCTAGGCTCAAGGCGAAATTTTGTGTATTAGATCGACCTGGAGTTGCTGACTTGGCGATCCCGTCTTTGAGCGCAAACGATTCTGTAGATACGTACTTTCCAGCATAGCTGACGCACACGTCGTTCGCAACTCCTTTGTACAAAGATTCATTTTGTATCCCATGATAGTCCCATCCAGAGCACTTTTGGCCTGACCTAGTGTACAAGAAGAGTTGGTTTGTGAGTCGTCTATAATCGCTTCAGCAACTCATCCTTTCGACAAGCAATTAAACGTTGCATACCAATTTCCCATCGATGTGCAGCTTCCTTGGCCTGGTCCCGAACGGTCTCCGGATCCGCGACGTCCACAAACGCGTTCAAGTACTTGTTGTACTTTGAAATGTTCTCCAAGGCTGCTGTGGCGGCAGATATCGGCGTGTATGACTAATACAGAGTTTCCCAGAAGCAGCTGAGCGTGTTACTACCAATATTCGCTTAAGTAACGGTTCTATGATACGTCCTGTATTCATTCATGTAGTAAGGTGTTCCTTTGGCATGCTGATCGGCTAAAGTCATGGCGACCGTTCCTAGTTGTACCTCATTGAAAATAGGTCGAGCCATGCCCTTTTCTGCTCCTGTCCCTGTGGAAAAGCGCCTCAGAGGCTGCGTGCCGATAGTGCGCCGCAACAAGGAGGTTGAGAGCATCGGAATGAGTTGTCGAAGTAGTCGAATGAAGGCATGGGGCCACCTTTCGCGCTTGATCCCGAAGTGAGCCCTTACACCTACACAGTCACACCCTCGCATTTGAACATTTGAAAAGTCGTCTTTTTTGAATGCTTTTATTACGATGAGAATGTATCTTTTTGCTATGCGTATCCTGCATTATACGGTCGGAACCTTGGTGCCGGACTTGAGTAGGTCCAAGAAACTGGCCTTGGTCAGATTAGCAACTATCAGAAAGAAGAAACGTTTCACAGTTAGCGAATTTGTATACATGTATGCAACAATGTCAATCGATAAATAATTTTCCCGTACCCTTATCCTTGGCATTAGTTGTGATGGGGCGCGCCTTTTCCGTCAAGTCCTCGGTCGCCTTTTGCTGTGCCTTGATCGCATTGAACAGTTGAACCACTAGAGCAGATCATAAACCAGAATGTCAGATGACGGCTGCAACCATACGATCTCTAACCAATTAATACTCAAACAGAAATGCAGTTGGGCACTTACCACCACGGGTCGCAACCTTGCGCAACTTCTTCTCGTACTCCATCCCTGTATACTCCGGCTTAACGCGGTCCCTGTTAGCGAGGCGCCTCTTCTCATTGGTGATAGCTTTCCTGGCCTTGGACTCCATCTTTTCCTCCTCCAACTTGCGCTCCACACCACGCGACCTGGCAAGAATTGGTGTACTGGCATCCGCCTTGCGCAAAGCCGAGCCCAAAATCTTGGACATGGCCTCCGCCATGTTCTCTTCCGTGTGCTTCTTGGATGTTTCTAGAGAGGAAACAGAATTATCAGATAGATCGAGTGAGCCTGCTTGTCACTATAGATACAGAACGCCCTTACTCAGATCAAGAGTCGAAATCTCTTACTCTTTCCAGTACGGGTGCTTGGCAGTCCCTCAAGGTCATCATCATCCTCATCCTCGTCAGACTCCCTTTCATCCTCGCTGTCGTTGTCACTATCGCTGTCATCGCCACTGTTCGCCTCTTCTCTCTCCACAGGTGCTCTCCTCTTCTTGCCCATGCCTCCCGTAATGTCGCCTTTGCTGGCCATGACAGCTTGCTTTAACACAGCCTTCGGTTTTCCATGCGCTCTTGATCCGTCTCTTGCTGAACCTGCTTTTGATGATGTAAACGTTTTGTTGGCACTGGTGTTGGCCTTCAGGATAGCTGCGCCCGACATAGATGCTTTCGGTTTCGATGATGATAATGCCGTCGCTTTGCTATCCGTAGACTTTGGTCGAAGGGGCTTCTTGAGAATCGATTTGGGTTCTGAAGTAGAAGCAGTTGCAGCCAGTCTAGATTTTGAGGCAGCGGCCTTATGGTCGTCCATGGGTGCCTGCTTCCGGACCTTTCGTGCAGGTAAAGCGGCTGTCGAGGGGCGTTTCATGATACGTATGGATTTGGTATGCGGAAAAAAATTGAGCGACGAGAGTGAAGGGGTCGTGAATGAACTTGATGCCAGCCAGGTCCCTTTCAAACAAATACATATTAAAAAAAAAAAAAAATTGCTTGTTTTGACATCGATGTGGCTTCCCCACTGCGGCAGTCACCCGCCCTCCTCTTTCAGAACATTTATTCAACATACACCACGAAAATGCAGGTTGTTGATTTCGAAATAAAATTTATTTCAATTGAACAGAGTCCATAATGTATTGCTATAGAAAATGCAAAATATAAAAGAGTAAAACCCTGCGATACTCCACATTCCATACAAAAAGTCATCAAAACCCACATCCTTTCCATCAACACCAACACTTTCTGTAACATTTTCTACTCAATCCCATCTACACATTCAAAAAGCGCAAAACTTATCTGATATCCTCACAAGCAAACACAACTATTCCCTCCAACGCCATGCAATCAGCCTCGGTTGCGAACAATGATTATTCTTCTTCGGTCACGAATGCCCTCGGCCAAGATTCCTCCTCCCTCCATGGCACCTCTCAGGACCTCGATACAGATGAACTTCACACGGCCACTCCAACTTCTCGATCGAAGCGAAAAGTTTCATTTCAAGTACCGTTTAATCCGCCGAAACTAAGAAGACTTGACACTGCCTTGGACCTACTAGCTGAGATGAACGATCCCATTCTGAAAAGTGTGGAAAGTTGCAAAAGTTGAGGAATCGAAAAAGGTTATTTATTAGGTGCACGATCAGGCTACATTAGGTGGAGTTCAAAAAATGAGTTCGCGTTTAGTCGACGAGCTTACTGCTAAAAGACTGAAACTTCGTTGCGAGGTGCTTCGTAAAGTAGTGGTTGGCGAAATTCACATTAACGCTATTGCATCCTGCGACGAGATGAAGGAAAGTTGCGAGATTTCTACCGCCATACGCTCTTTGAACAAATTGATAGAAGGTTTAGACAGAGACGAGAAGCACCTCCAAAAAAATACACAGGATGTTCATGAAGGAGAGATTTAGTCTAAATGACAGATCATTTCTATGGTTCATTTTTAATTTTTGGTTTCACAAGAAAGTCTAATAAAAATTTAAGCTCAAAAGATTCATTCCTTACGCATTGGAAAATAACGCGTCCCGGCACACTGTGGTACTGTGACAAACTTCATTTATCCTTGATCCATGCAAAACCTCATCTTCTTCCGGAGCTCCGCTTCTACATCTTCGTCACAATACGCTCTTTTCTTATTACTACCATCGACTTCGTTGCTTGAGTCGCCAGAGTCACCATCATCTTTTGAATCAGATGAATCATCGTCACTGTCAGATTCCCATCCGGCGACAATATCAGGGTCCAAAAAATCACTGTAAGATCCATGCTCAACACGTCTCCTCTTCTCCTTATTTCGCTTCGAGACAATAACAGCACCAACTTCTGGATCCGTGCTATCGCATTCAATGCTATCGCTTCCAAGACTATCGCTGTCGTAATACCTTTTCTTGTCTTCGCGAAAAGTAAACCGATCGTTCTCTTGTTGGTCCAACAGGTTATTGTCATTGATACTTTGTCTTCCTCCTGAACTGCATCCGTTAGCCTCTTCAAACTCTGGCGTCTTCTTCTCATCAATGGGCAAAAACAAACCACTTTCATCATGTTGCTCAATCTTGTCCTCCTTTTCTTCCCACCATGTGTCTTCATTGACCGACTGTTCTCCGCCACTCTCTAGATCAACAGTTGAACATCTCTGAAATAAAGACCTATTGCCGGAAGTTGGAATCGCCTGTCCACTTCCATAAAGCAGATCTAGGACTGAGTTGGTGTAATCCTCCCATCCTTGCAGCCGCAACTCGTGCTGCCGCATATTAGAAACCTCACCTCCTTCTGCTTCGGAATCGAGCTCTTCTTGCTTGTCCATCTCTTCATCTTCTTTTGTTCTTGATGCCTCAGAATCCTTTGTCAAACGAGTTATGACTGCATGTTTTACAGCCAATAGCCCCTTTGCCGACCAATTCTTGATGAACAGATCCTTACTGGTGCGAACCCTGCTCAATGCTACATAGGCTTGTCCACTAGCAAACACATCACGTAGATTGACGGCGACTTCGTTTAACGTCAGCGATTGACATTTGTGAATAGTTAATGCCCAAGCAAGAACCAAAGGAAACTGGCGTCGCTCTTGACCATTAAATTTCGTTCGTCGGCACTCTTGTTGAATATTGTAAATTCTTCCAGTGTTATCTTCTCTCACTTGAACGACATGTTGATCATAAAATCGAACCACAATACCGGTAGTTCCATTAACGACACCACCAGCAACGTCGACGTTGGACGTGCACATGACTCTTGCGCCAACCTCTAGCCATAACACGGAGGCGAGTCCAGTCTCTGATTCGATAGCTCTCCTCCTATCTTCGTTCCTCGTTATCCTGGCGTTATCATACGCGATAGAGTACCAATCTTCACCAGGAAGATTTTGCAATTTGTTCAAATTAAATCTATCCACATCCCTTTTGAACGGATAGAGATGAAGAGCATCTTCAGGAATATCACTGGATTGATTACAAATATCCAAAAACATGGATACCGTGGTACTAGTGATCATCCCACATCTGATATCATCGAGCAATGACTTGAACTCTGCATCACCAGACTGTCGGCAGGGCTGAATCAGATCTACTCGTTCAAACCAACGATAAATCTCAGAGTTCCAAATCCAATCCGTTCTATCAAATGATTTGTTGACAGGCCCAAGCTGACCAAAGTCACCAAAGAGAATGACTGGAATTCCCCCAAAAGGGACACCTATTTCCGTGTTTACTGCTTCCTGTAATGCCTTTGATAAAAGACTCAAGATATCACCAGATATCATGGACGCTTCATCAATCAGAAAAATGGGAGATAATCCTTGATCAGCAATGTCCATCAGTTGCTCTCTTATTGCATACGAGTTGCCTTCTGATTGTCTTCCTGACATGGTAAGCTTAAACCAACGATACAATGTTTGACCTTTGATGTTCACGGCCGCAACGCCAGATGGGGCTAGACGGATAGGCTCAAAACCTTCGTTTTTAGCGATCCTGCAAGTCTCTTCCAGAACTGTTGACTTGCCAGTGCCAGCTGCTCCAGTCACCAAGATTAAACATTCTTGCTTCGATTGAATACGTTGTGTCACCATCTCAAGAACATTCTTCTGGTCTTCCGTCCATTCGATCTCTCTTGGCACGTTGATGAAATGATCATCCACCACATTTTCATAGACATTGCCATAGTCTAAAACCGCCGCCAATCCATAGGCCAACTCTTGTATCCTTTGGCGTCCTAAAACTTCCACAGCTAACGACTGATATGTTTCATGATCTGTTCCAGTGCCAATCCAGCTTTCAACATCCGTCCTCCAAGGGTGATCCAGCATTAACAAATGCATAAACGCGTCTTCCGATCTGGTAACCTTAATTTCTCTTGTTCTTATCAAGGATTCTTTTCCAACGCCTCGGCGACAGACATCTTTTCCTCGGCCATCGACGTAATTTGGCCCACTTTTCCTTTTAGCAAATCGGAAAAACTTGAAATACTCGTGATACTTCATGTTATCAAAATCTGGCGTTCCTTCTTCGGTTTTAGGCCGCTTCAAATACTGAGTCCATTTATCGTCAAGGAAAATATCTGTATCATCCTCCAAAATCTTAAGATCCTTTGCTCTCTTCAGTATTCGCCTTCGATTGTTCGGTAACTCTGTTGGCAAAAATTCATCAACACGGGAGCAGCCGTGCATCTTCCAGCCACAAATGTCCATTACAGCCTCTACTACGCCCACACTTCGGTAATGAAAATGGGAAATGTACTCACTAGAAGAGCGATCGTCTTCAGCTGATGTAGCCGACCCTCCAATTTTGTCTTTTTCAGTAACAATCGTCACCTTCTTTGGGCCACCTTGCATAGTGACATATTTACACATATAGTATTTAGCCCTTTCTCCTAGATTGTACTGCAGGTCCATATTCACTCGAGCAAAATGAAGGAGGTCCATATTGTATCCAATTACGCGTTCATCTCCTTCACCGCGCGGCAAAACGTATCGGTCGTCTTCGTCTACATGGGCAGGCAGATCAGTCGGAGTTTTTGGGTACTTGAATCGACAACTTACTCTACCCGCAGGCATGCAATACCATGTACAGTTGTGTATCTGATGCTTCAAAACAAGTTCTCGGTCTTCAGGTGTCTCTGGGACAGAACACGAAATAATGTTATCGCTAATCATTTGCTCGATGCTGTTCTTTGTCCACAAACAAAAATGGGTATGGGGAGTGCCGCGATCTTGAAGTTCGAAAACCCAGCACCATGCTCGAATTCCTCCTATTTTTCTCATACACCAGCCTTCTCGGCCCTTTCGAGTGCTTGTGACAAAATTCCAGAACCGAAGCCACTGCCTTTTCCAATGCATTGTAAACAGAACAGGATCATCATGAGTACTGGCTTCTCTACCTCCAAAATGACGGGCAACAGCAACTTGACCGGCGCTTCTGTCATCACACGTGAAGGTTCCAAACAACTCGGGGTTACCAAACTCTTCAAAAAGCGCTGAGAACTTTTGAAACAGAGCCTGCTTGTACTTTATGCCTGTCCGGATAAACGGCGGAATAGCAACCGTATGAGATTCACGGTATTTTGTCCCTGTTACAAGGTTACCCAGTAGTTAATAAATGTCTCCATACAACGATCTCTATCTTCCAAAGCAGACATACCTCCACTGTGGTACGATTGATTCAATACATCGTCGGCCCTTGTCTTTCTGCCACCCGTTGTAAGTCGAGCTACGCGCCTCTGATAGGCAAATATTGCAGATTTCTGAATCCAGTCAAACATCATTAATATGAACTTGATGTTTCGACCCCAGCGTCTATCCACGCTCAGTAGACGGAACTTTGCATAGTTCTTGATGGTGAATTTGGAGTACTTGGAGTTTTCTTGAATTTGAGCATCTGTTTCGTCCGCCATAATAGTCATCAAGACTTTACGTTCTCACAATTCAAGCGCCAGTGATAAGTACCTTCATTATCACTAGAGTCTGAATCTACATCAGACTCTACATACTCGGCTTCTGGATTTTCGATCTGGTCTTGATCATCACTTGGCTCGTCAACGCTACGAGCATCGGACGTTGATCCATCACTATTGTCCTCAGATAACAATGAAAGATCTTGAACACTTGCCTGGTCATTTCGATAATTAATATCTTTTACTTCGAACACTTCAATTTCGCCATTGCATCCTCGTTTTACACCACTGTAGTCCAACGAAAAGAACCCTTGGCCGCTTGGGTACAACGTCGGGAATAAATAGCCCAAAAGACGGGGGTTTGAGTATTTAACGACCTCTTGATCTCGTCCCAACAAACCAAAAGTCAAGTTGGCTAAGTTGTTTGCCTCGTCGGCTGTCGTGGGGCCACCAGTGCCTACGGGTCCCATATGAAAAGCCTCAAGTCGTGACATATTGGCAGATTCGTCAGCCGCTTCAGCATTGTATTCAAGAAGCGTTTCGGTAGCATCCGTTAGATCGCTAGGCTCATCGACATTCAATTCTTTTATCAGCGGATGGTTTAACTTCATCCAAAGCCAGGCAGCGCGGATCCTAATTTTATCTTGAATTGATAAATTTGCGTCCATGTCCGAAAGCCTGATCAATCCTCGAGTTCCTGCATGAGCTCCAAGGTACTGCTTACTCTTGCACAAACCAATCCTCCCAGACACAAAATGATAGCCAGCACGGAATGAAGGGGTAAGTTTGCTACGTGAATTGGTCAATTCACAGAATACCAAAATTGGACTCAGATATCCCTCACCGATTGGATTAAGGTCTCGAATTTCATCAGGTTGTTCACCTGGATACATCCAATTCTCGTTGACAAACTTCATCTAATACCCACATTTTCCCAACACATCAGTACAACCGTATCTGAGGAAATAAATCATCATATGTCTGTCTCCAACTTACGTAACTAAAGACACCGTCCAAGTCTTTTCTTCTCCCTGATTTATGTCTAGCACAAACAACGATTGAGCCTGAATGTTTGCCACCAGGTTTTACATCAAGTTCACGAATCCGCATTCCATCATTGTCACAGTAATTCAGCAATGGCCAAGTCATCGATTGCGCAAACTCGGGAGTAGCTCCTTCCGCCAGTGCTTCAGCTCTTGCTTGAAAGAATTTCTCTTCGATTATGTTTTGGTCATCTTTACGGAGCGCAAAGTACTCTTCCTTGTAGAGCAGTCTACAGCAAACAGCACATCGCTTCACGGGGACTTCCTTGTCTTGTTTGGCCTCATTAGTAAAGGTAACTCTCCGAAAGCTAGTCGGCACGCATCTAATAGTGATTGGCACTTGTGGATCTATGTCAATATTTGAACGGCCCTCTTCTTCGTTTGATTCTGACGGCATTGGAACCAAACGATAGACATCAGTCGATAGGAAATATGATGATCGAGATAAAAAATACTCGGTCATATTTATCGAAAAATGTTACTTTGTCACAAGGAACAGGCTAAAACCTTGAAGCTCAAATTGCCGCAATCGAACACGCATTGAGCCACACTTTTATGCTTGGCTCCAGATACCATATATAAAGCCTTCAAAGGATCTATTCCTCAATTAACCAATTAACGAGCTATGTCACGCAAGTAAGAGAGTCGAAAAGAGTCGAAAAATAATGTACCAAGAAAGAGATCTAACCCTGAAATAAATCATTCTTTTCTATCAAGGTCCAAGGCTGTCAGAGAACTTTTCTTAGCATTTCAGAAAATCGAATCATCCACAAAGTATGTCTTTTTCGAGATACAAGATGACCTAATTGGAGCAGAAACGACCAATATTCCAAGGGAGCCGAGGAAAGTGACCTTGAAGAATAGAAATGGAACAAGGGTAACAATTCAGGAAGACCTTGATTTGCAGCAATTCCATTTGTTCTGGCTCGTTCCACAACTGAAAGATTCAAAACAAGTGTTGTTCCCGTTCACGAAGGTCGATTGGGAAGATTTATGGGAGGATTTAATTGCGAAAACAAGAGAAGCTTCCAAATTCATCCCACTCGCGACATTGAGAATGTTGACACCCAGCGCAGAGGGGGGAAAAGATAGACTTATCCAACAGATTCTCCAAGACATTGTTCCTACACAGCGACCCTCCATCCTCTGAGAGCCGTAACTGCCAGTTGCTGTCACGTTGTCAGATGCACGTAACGTTACTCAAAGGATGCGGCTTATTTCGTTAACGTCATTTAAGCTCGCCATTCTTGTTTTTCTCATTCTGCAGCACTCCTGTCTTTCTCATTCCGCAACACTTTTGTCTTTCTCATTCCGCAACACTTTTGTCTTTCTCATTCCGCAACACTTTTGTCTTTCTCATTCCGCAACACTTCTGTTTTTCTCATTCCGCAACACTTTTCATTTCCAACATGTGTGTTGATTTACTTTATATATGTTGCATCTGCGATAAAAAAGATGAAGTCAAAATTTCCTGCGGTCTGAAGATATTCTGTGTCGAGACAACAACGAGAGGGAATACCATTGCCTGCATAGGCTGCTTGAGTACCAGATTAACGACGAAGGATGTTCTGCCGCCCTACCGGTATATGTTTCAAGACACTCTACCTGAACCTGGTTCCTAGAGGACAGAAGAAGCTTCTTACATTTCAGCAAATGAATAAAGACAAACATTTCATGTATACAATCTACCCGAATTACAAAATCTGTCAACTTTTCCCATCGATGTTTGGTTTCTGTGAAGCCAAAGAAGCCATTGCCATAGCAGGGGGGTCCAAGTGTGCTTTAGCTTTAGCTGTAGAAACATCAATCCTGTGTGCTACACAATAAATCCAAGTCGGGCTGTTTCGTTGCTGGAGGAAAGCATTAAAGACCAATCATGCAAATTCCTCATTACACAGAACTGAACCCATGAAAAAATCCCGATGAGATTCTGTATATACTGTTAATGTTGTCGGTTCCCTCATTTTTTTTCCCAAGCTGTCAAGTTCTGGGCAGGCAGATAGATAGGAACGAGAGTAGCGTGCAAATAAATGAGCAAGAGCAGGTTCAAGACAAGGAGGTTTTGTATTGCAGACTGAGGAACTATGGCTATGATCTATGGGGCTATTTCTACGTTCTACGGAGACTGGGACTTGAATCAAGGCTAGAAGCACGCGTGTACTAAACGATTGGTAAATAGATACCGTGCAGGAGGAATGCGGTACAAGGTTTATATCATAGGCATGCGTGCGTAGCCGGACGCATCCTATAGGGTTACTTGATTAGACAGGAGAGCACTCATGACTTTCATGCGGACGCCGGAATGTAAGGAGCAACACTATTCGCTATTGCGTCCTTCTAGAAACCGTAGACGGAGTCGTGCTTGATAGTCGAGAGGCTACTGGATGGCGACTGTAGTCGCCTATGGTTCAGGGCTCGAGGACGCGACGCGATTCAGGAACGATTGGCAGTGCAGGGTTAGCACAAGCCACTAGGATCAAATGAAGTGAGCGCAGGTCTGTCCCGAACCTTAATTCGTGACACAAGCATAGCAGTGGGCTCAAATTGTACTTTAGCTGTAGAAACATCAATCCTGTGTGCTGTTTCGTTGCTGGAGGAAAGCATTAAAGACCAATCATGCAAATTCCTCACTACACAGAACTGAACCCATCAAAAAATACCGATGAGATTCTGTATATACTGTCAATCTTGTCGGTTCCCTCATTTTTTTTCCCAAGCATAGCAGTGGGCTCAATCGTTGACTTGAGTAGAAAAATGTAAAGTGAGCCAATGAAAGAAGTACCTCATTCCCTCATTGCACAATCTAAGGTTGCGCCCGAATTTGTTTGCAGGTTATTGAGAAGGCGAAAGAAACTATGGACATTTAGGGAATGTACAAGAACCAACCGATTACCCAGGTTGGATTGTGAAACAACTACAGCACATACAAAAAATAGTGTCAAAGAGAGAAAAAGAAAGAACTGAGAAAAGCGCACTGAACATTAAAACAGAAAATCATACTCTCTGTACCTCACAATGAGCGCCATCCCAAGTGCCGTCCCAAGCATTAGTTATAAATACTCCTCTTTTTTTTGTATTTTTTTTATTTTTTTTGTTCACATCTCACAATCGATCTGAAGCACCAACCGTAAGTAACAAAAAGTCTCCTATCTACATTTTTTTATCTCTCGTGAACTACAGCACTGAATCAACTCAATTATATTTCCTTACCTTTTTTTATATTTATTTAGTTTCTTGAAATGCTGCTAAAGAAATTTACTCTCCTGGCTGCTTTTGTGGTTACAGTTTGCAGTGGTGCTGTTCTTCCTAATGTTACAGCATTAGAAAAACGTCCAGACGATGTTTCAGTCCAAGCTGTTGATTTCTCTATCTGCGGTGCTGCAATTGGAAAAGCTGCAGTTGAATTACTCAAGTTTTCCTGGAACACTGGACAAGCTCATCTAAAGGGAAACGCAGAAGCTTGCATCAACATGCTTCGGGGATCAAGCCAATGTTCATCTGTGAAAAAAAGAAGTGGAAAAGCGAGTGCTGGAGATGATGTTGTATCAAGATGCTTCTGCGCATATTCAGTTGGTACCGCCATAAACGTTGAAAACTTTCTTGGAGAAGGGAGTCAAGCCACTCAAGCAATGCTCAATACAATTACTGGTGGATATTTTACAGGCGCCAACAATTTGGAATTCGACTGTGGTGATAAGCGTATGTTTACAAGTATTGTTGTGAGTTGTGCAAGTGACTCAGTGCAGGATCGCGTCGATCAGTGTAAGGGAGGCACTTATTCACCAAACAGTCAACTTGTCGAAAAAGCTAGAACGACAGTGCATTTGACAAAACCAGATACACCAGCACCATGCGAGATTCGTCCTCCGTACTGTAATCGCACTCCTTCAAATAATAACACAATAGCTAATTAAGAGGAGATGAAAATCCTAAGTAGGGGGTTTTTTTTTTTTTTTTTTTTTTTTTAAAAAACAAATAAATAAACTATAAGAGCCAAAGTGGTTCACTATCTAGTACGAAATGAACAAGGGGCTGGAGTGTCACAAAGTGGCAAGGCAGGGATTGGAAGTAAGGGAAGGAAATGGCAATGATAATATTTTATTGCAAGATAGTGTACTATGGCTAAAAGGACGAGGTAAGTATTTATGCCAATGCATTTTCTAGGTACGGGCTGGGACAGGTGGACAAAGGAACAGGAGGACATTGAAATTAGAGTAAGTAGAAAGCTTATAGTGAATAAAGCTTCTCTTCGTGGCAAGGTGATGAGTGCAGGGGCCTTGGTGAGAGCGACGGAGTTGAATGAGGGAGGAAGGGGCGCTGATCGAGGGAGGGGGCTGAGTCGAAGGAACCGGGAAGGGTTCCTGTTCGTTGGTGGTGTTCAGGGTGTTGCTAGGCGAGGATGGAGTGTGCCTAGGGGAAGTGATGAGTGTTGGACGCGACGAGGGTGAGTGTTTTGAACGCGACACTGGCATTGTTTTCGTGTGACGCGCATTTGTCGCCAAATGCACTCAGGCCCAATTGCTCTCTCGCACACTCCTGTTCCTTCACACTCATCGTTCGTGACATGGAGTGGGAGTGGGTGGGATACCCATTGTCTCTTCCTGTCGAACAATGGCTTTAGTCGTTAGTGCCCCAGGTCTATGAACTAGGCGGAAAAGGCCACGAGGCAGCTCAACTGGAGTTCTTCAAGAAGAACTACACTATAATAACCAAAGCCAACAGGGTGGATATGTTTGACAAAAAGCACTGGGTTTATAGAGAGTAAGACAGTTCTTTATGCCAGTAGTCTTCATTCATTTTCCATTGAGATGAACCCGAATAAAAATCCAGAGAATATCTTTCGATGGGGTATCGCTAAAGACGATCATGGTAAGAGAGTCGAAAAGAGTCGAAAAATAATGTACCAAGAAAGAGATCTAACCCTGAAATAAATCATTCTTTTCTATCAAGGTCCAAGGCTGTCAGAGAACTTTTCTTAGCATTTCAGAAAATCGAATCATCCACAAAGTATGTCTTTTTCGAGATACAAGATGACCTAATTGGAGCAGAAACGACCAATATTCCAAGGGAGCCGAGGAAAGTGACCTTGAAGAATAGAAATGGAACAAGGGTAACAATTCAGGAAGACCTTGATTTGCAGCAATTCCATTTGTTCTGGCTCGTTCCACAACTGAAAGATTCAAAACAAGTGTTGTTCCCGTTCACGAAGGTCGATTGGGAAGATTTATGGGAGGATTTAATTGCGAAAACAAGAGAAGCTTCCAAATTCATCCCACTCGCGACATTGAGAATGTTGACACCCAGCGCAGAGGGGGGAAAAGATAGACTTATCCAACAGATTCTCCAAGACATTGTTCCTACACAGCGACCCTCCATCCTCTGAGAGCCGTAACTGCCAGTTGCTGTCACGTTGTCAGATAAATTATACAAATAAATTATACAAATAAATTATACATCAATAAGGGTCATCAATGATTTTGCGGTGGGCTGCTTGGTCTGCCAGGACGCGACAGATTATTTAAGGTTAGGGAAGAATTTAAATTAAAGAGGCGTTTTGCGGCTCAATGCGTGCCAAAACTTTAATTCAGCTGAAAAGATCTTTCCCCAGGGTCTCGTTCATCCGGCCAAGAACATAATATCGAAGGTTACCAAGCGATGGTGTAGTTCCTTGTTGACGGTGACATTCGCGGTGTGGGTCCTGACGGGCCTGACGGGCATGGGTCCGGCCATGGGGACGCTGTCCTGATGCGAATTGTGGCGGCACGTCGGATAACATGCTCCCCGATAAGCTCGCGGGCGCGGGCGACATTGGCGACGTTGGCGGTGTCGAAAAGCGTGTCGTAGATCTGACGAAGCGAATCTAACTCCACGTTGACGTTGACGTTCTCGGTGTGGGTCCAGATGGGCTAGATAGGCGTGGTTCTGGGTATGGGGACGTCGTGTGCGAGGGAGCAAGTGATTTGGTGTTGTTGGGACATGGCGGGTGGAGGTGGAGGAGGAAAGAAGGAGAAAGCGCGTTACATCGACGTTGCAAGACTGCATTTTCAACCTGGCCGCATTCTGTACCTCAAAAACACGCAACCGCTGTCCTATGTCCCCCAGCGTCCAGGCCTCTTACACAGCATAGAAGGCACCAAGAGTTGGCGACAGGTAGATTATATAAGGGTTTAATAAGGGGGTGCCAGCTCGTATGTGTAGGTATCTGGTATAAAAAGGGCCGTGGCTCCCATTTGACTCTTATTTCTGAACGAATCTTTTTAAACCCTCCTTCTTTTTCTCTCGAGAGGCTCGTCATCGAAAATCGGTTCAGGCAGGCCATCCATGTCTACCTCTGAAGGTTGGTAATCAATAGATCCTGGGAGATTCCTTGTATCCGAGGCACTCGCGAAGAACGCCAGGTCCAGCTTCAAGAAAGGTTTAATAAGGGAAGGGAATTACACATACAACTGCTTTCCGCTTCATGGATAAAAATGCGTTTAATAAGAAACTATCCTATCTGCGACATGTTCTGTTGTTGCTGTTTTCGTTGTTGTTGCTGCTGTTGCTGTTGATGTTGCTGTTGTTGTTGTTGCTGCTGTTGTTGCTGCTGTTGCTGCTGCCGTTGTTGCTGTTGCTGTTGTCCACATATTCTTTATTATTGACGGAGGCGTTTGCATCGCGAGCGTGTCATCGGAACAAGGTCAACATATTGAATTACTTGTCCAACACTTGGTTTGGCCTTGCACATTCTTTTGCTTGTCCCGGCCCCTCCGACATCCTCCTTGAAATATATGGTGGTTTTTGAAGTCAGTGAGAAAGAGATGTGTCTCCAAACACACATCTACACGATATTTATTAATCAACTCTAGATTAAGTTTCAGAGGTGATAGATTTATATAGTAATATAGTACACTGGACTCAGCTGAATATGCAGCACTCCTCATCAACCTCAGATATGAATCTTTTTCCATAATTGTTCTCTAGCTCCTCCGGCTCGTCGTTGTCGCTATGGTCGTCGCAGTCGGCACCTTCATTGCTGCTGTGGTCGTCGCGGTCAGCACCTTCATCGCTGTTGTTGTTGTTGTTGTCGTCGCTGTCGTTGTCGTTGTCGTTGTCGTTGTCGCTGTCGCTGTCGCTGTTGTTGTTGTTGATGTTGTTGATGTTGATGTTGCTGTTGTTGTTGTTGTTGTTGATGTTGTGGTCGTTGTCACTGTTGTCGTCGCTGTTGTTGTCGCTGTTGTCCTCAACACGGTCAACGACAGCAAACATTCTAGCAATCTGTTTCGCATCCAGGGGTAGGGCAGGACCAGGGATAGGCTTGCGGAGCGCGTCATGTGTATACTTGTGGGGTTCATCCTCAAGGTCAAAGTACACGATTGTATGACTATATCCGGAACAACCAGCTTCCTCCACCAAGCAACAAATGTGGTAGGCATTTTGTCGAGTTCCGTGAAGTTCAACGGAGCAAAGATTTGGCAGATGTGCAACTGGTGTCAAAGGACGAGCAATGTGCATTTGATTGGTTCGTCTCTCTAAATAAATAGGTAAAAACATAAAATATCAGACATTAACGCGTAAATTTTGTGACATGTCCCTGCAAATAAGAGGATGAATTACTTTTTGGGGTCCGAACAATCGCATTTCGTGTGCTCGTCTGCCATTCCTCGAGACTTTTGGCGGATGTCAGAGTAGAGATGATCTTGATAGATAAGTCATATGGTGACTTAAAAGACGCTTTCTCCGGCTTCGAAACACTCAAGTAGAATGCAAGAAGAACGCTTATTGCAACTGTGCTATTCATCGTGTTGACAATGGGAGGAGCCAGGCGAAGATTGTTCTTGGAGGCAAACTGTAGCATTCTTTTTAAAGACACTGCAACAACATCTTGGCCAGGAGAGGTATCCCATCCGCGTTGAGTCGAGCTGCAAAATAAGGAATCGATCTCGTCTCGGAGCTTTTCAAACAAGCCTGGACCGAACAAGGTAAGATCATCGCACTGATTCTCGAAAAAAGTCATCGTGGCTTCTTTGGATGAATTGACGTGAAGCATATTTCTATGTTTTCTTATTGTCACGAACCTATGCTTATTCAGAGTCAAGGTGGCGAGCTTGGCTCAAATCCATGGCCATGGAGGGAGCAGAGGGGGCTGGCAAAGCTGGAGGTGGAGCTGGAGAGATGGCGGGGCGGGAGACAGTAATCGGAGGTCGAGATGTTGAAGAGGTTGTGGAGGAATTGGAGCGATGTGTGGTTGGACTGTGTTGTTTTTCCACGTAGCGGGCATATTGTCGTTTGTCGATGTTGATGGCCTTGGCAGTAAATTCGGAAAACTCTTTGGGCTCGTCAACGAGGGCAAGCATGTCTTGGACGGCGTCTTTCAGGCCTAGTCGGTACTGGGAGATCTTGGCAGCGTCGTTCCAGTCGGTCTCGGACGCGAGCTCCACAAATTTGTTGGTGTAGTCCATCGCAGAACCCTTCTGCAACAGCAGCAGAGTCAAGGGGTCAAGGGCAGTGGTCAAGTAGGAATGCGTAGAAATGAATGCTGTTTAATGATCGTAAGTAGGGTCTATATATACATGTCTGGGGCCTATTGTACAGTGTCGTAGTGGAGTTGTCATGATGCCGGGCTCCCATCCTGGCTCTGTGTGTCGTAACCGTGCAGCTTGGTAACCGAGTGGTAATCCTGTTGCACCTTCTGTCGCAGCGAGCGGAGTTGGGCTTCCGCAACAACGTGGGCATTTGTGATAGTATCCTAGGCTAACCTTCTGCTTAGCCCTCAACCACGCCCCCATCACCGCGCCTCCACCACTGCGCCCCCTGTATATTAGTATAAATACAGTATGGTGCAAAACTGATTCAATGATGCGATGATTTTTGCGTTGGCACTCGCCTACAAGGAACCAATGCCTCAGCCGTCGTCATATTCACCACAAATGTAGCCCATCCAATGACGAACAGGGCTGCTTGCTTTGGAGCCAGAAGTATGCACACCCATTGCTGCATGACGATTGTGCCATCCGTCATCATTGAATCAGTTTTGCACCTTAACCTCATTTTTATGTAATTTTAAATACCATTGTCATTTTCATCAGATTCATTATAAATGAACCCATTTTGTGTTTCGTTTTCCTGTTTGCCTTATTCTACTCTATCTATCTGCAAAAAATGAAGCCCGTACCTCCATCCACTGTTAAGGAAGCAATAAGCCTCATGTCTGAGGGTATTTCCACTCGTGAGACAGCCCAACGTCTTACCATCTCTCAGGCAACGGCTAGCAGAATACGTTCAGGTTACAAAGAAAACATGCCGAGCAACAAGGGAGGCCGTCCGAGAAAGATTGGTCAAGAAACCGTGGAGCACCTCAAGCTGAACATGAAGCGCGGACTTCTTAGGACTGCCGTGGAGGCCAAGAGCGAGGCCAACAGGATGTTGGCACGACCTGTATCGGTGTGGACAGTTCGACGGCGACTTCGGGAAGCTGGACTAGTGGCCAAAAAGATTGTCAAGCGACCAGCACTCAAAACAAAGCACATTAGAGGTCGTATGCAGTTTGTCAAGAAATACAAAGAGTGGACGGAAGAGGACTGGGCCACAGTTGTATGGTCAGACGAGTGCAAAATCAATAGGATCTGTTCTGATGCCATTAGGTGGGTCTGGGACGACGCGCCGGGGCGACTGACAAGCCGTACAGTCCAGGGAACAGTCAAGTTTGGCGGCGGAAGCGTCATGGTATGGTCTTGTATGTCATGGTACGGACCTGGCTATATCGCAAAGATCGATGAGACCCTAGACTCCCAGTTGTATATCCAGATTCTGAAGGAGGATCTACAGATGTCTGTCGAGGAGTGGGGCATGGCCAAGGACGAATTCATCTTCCAGCACGACAACGATCCGAAGCATATGGCCAAGGTCACCAAGGCATTTCTGGAGTCCGTCCATATGACTGAGGCTGATGAGCGCCTTCTATATTGGCCAGCACAGTCTCCTGATCTGAACCCGATCGAGCATATGTGGGCCTATCTCAAAGTACAGCTGGGAAAGTATCCAAATCCGCCAAAAAGCTGCAAGGAGCTATGGGAGAGAATATCAACGGAATGGTACAAGATACCAGTTGATTTCTGCCGGGAACTCATCAGGAGCATGCCGAGGAGGCTCAGCGCGGTCCATAGAGCGAAGGGCAAGCAAACTAAGTACTAAAGAGGTACCGTTCTTCGTATTCAAGGAGTAGGTGCAAAACTGATTCAATGATGACGGATGGCACAATCGTCATGCAGCAATGGGTGTGCATACTTCTGGCTCCAAAGCAAGCAGCCCTGTTCGTCATTGGATGGGCTACATTTGTGGTGAATATGACGACGGCTGAGGCATTGGTTCCTTGTAGGCGAGTGCCAACGCAAAAATCATCGCATCATTGAATCAGTTTTGCACCATACTGTACCTCTATCTCTCTGTATAATAAAGATCATCCGTTCTAGCCCTTGTCTCTTGTCCCCTGCCTCTCGTGTTCCTACCTCGTGTCCTCTTGTTCCTGCACTTGTTCCTTCCTTCGTTTTGTTGCTATTACAGCATTCTGGATGCCGAAGTTTTCGGACATAGTCTTGGTGAAGGTATCGTAGCTGGAGATAATCATTGGGCGAGCGGCAGGAGGCTTGTTGAAGTCGGCGATATATTGTTCCATGTATTTGAAGGCTGAGCCTTCTCCCAAGCGGGAGATAGCAAACAGGATCTTGTCGGTGTCGTTTGGGTACTGGGTTGCGTTGGCGGTGAAAAACAGTGATAGGTGGGACAGGAAAATTTTCCATTCTTCTCGTTTGCCAGAGAATGCGGTGGGCGGTGGGACTTTGGGCTTGCTGGAAGACGCTTGTGGGACCGCGGTGGAGGCGGACAGCTTCGCGGCCTCGACGTCCCCCTTGGTGGCCCAATTAGCTGCAGCATCGCGGCGGAAAGTATCAACAGATCGGCGGATCTCATCTAAGTCCGCGCGGATGGCGACATGGATCAAATTACTAGCTTGGGTAACCACCTCGGTCTTGTCCATCTCGGTTTGCTTGTGGATTTGGGCGGGGATACCGACGGTTACGGCGTTCTCAATCATAGCTAGTCTCGGATCCAGGCCATTAACAAGGTTTCGGAAGAATTCAAAGTGGTTGTGTAGGAACAGAAGAGACGGTTCGATGGTCGTGAGACTCTTAATGTCGTTTTCAATGGCAGTGATGCGTGCATCCATGGCGGTGAGGAGCTGAAGAGCGTCAGGAGTAGCGGCCATGGCAGGACAAAATCAAAAAAATAGTAAAAAGGTCAAGGTTGTGTGATCTAGCAATGTCACGAACTTATGCTTATTCAGAGTCAAGATGACCTTCTTAAGCGTGGTAGGACAGAACAAGGGGGAGGAGATGCAGTTTGGGAAACAGGGTCAAGAAAGCGTAGATATATTGAAGTTGCTAGATAAGGAATAAAAGGTACAGAACTATGGGATATATATATATGTTTCTCATTGCCTTCGTGTAACGGTCGTACGCGTTGCCAAGAGTCGACCGATCACTTGCCAAGTATCGATCGATCGTGTCGTGGCACGCGACACTCGTGGTCTGAATGCCTTCTCTGAAGCGGAATGCCCTATGAGAAGCATGGAATGCCCATGGAATAGCATGGTACGCGCTCTGGAGTAGCCCGAATGCCCTATCTCGTGGTCTGAATGCCTTCTCTGAGGCGGAATGCCCTATGAGAAGCTTGGAATGCCCATGGAATAGCATGAAATGCTCTCTGAAGTAGTCCGAGCGATATATTGAGGTTTACTTACTGGTCTAATAACTGATGAGACAAGTGAGGGATCTTTACTGGCCTACCAGGCACCGAACTATAGGTTGTGTGCCTGGATGGCTCGGCTAAATTAACTAGGTCCCTAGTAACTGGTCTGTTAGAAGGCTAATATGCGACAAACTCTTCCCAAGGGGAAGGCTGAAGGCCATCCAGAATGAACGCATAATGGGCTTCGTGCGCTTGAGGGAAAAATAAAACCTCTGCGTTGTTTTACAACAATCTGCCGAAGGAAAATCAAAAAACCTTCGCAGCTGTGTCGAGTGCTTGCGCATCTCTCATGACTATGTAAAATACATATCACTCAAGGCAAAAAAGCAAAAGCCATGTGAGGTAAACCCCGAAGGGAAAACCTCAAACTTGATTCCAGGGGAAGGGGAAAAACCCCTGCTCACACATCACTCGTCGTCTGTTTGATGTTTGTTAATTCCGTCCGCGCTGACGCGCACGAGTAGTCCTAATCTCTTTGCTACTCTTCTCAGTGTTAACAATTGCTCCGCGCTTTCGCTTGGGTGCTGAACCTTCCCTGGACTTGCCCACAGGATTGTTCGGGCGTCCGTGTTTGCGTGGCCCTTGCTTTTGAACATCAACTGAAGTATCGTTTTCAGGCATACGATTCGGTCGACCTTTGCCTATACGTAGTGCTGAAAATAACTCCTGCACCTCGCCTCGAGATTCATGAGTCTTGGACGTTTGACGAGGCTGCGGTAAAGATTGCGCACCTGGTTGATCGCGAGCCTTCCAGTAGTCTGCTATGCACTTTCTTTCAATAAAGTTCTTTTGAGGCTCCCAAGTCTTGTCTTTGTATCCTTTCCAACTTACGTAGTACTATATTCCCTCCCCAGGTGCTTCCCTGTGGTTAAGAATTTTGTCCACCACATAAGTATCTGTTTCCTCAAAGTCGTCGAGCACAAGCTTAAGCTGCGACGGCGCGAAATTACGTCCTAATAATTCTCCTGTAGCATCTTTCAATGAATACGAGCCACCAGTCGTACGCCGGACAACAGTGTAAGGGCCTTCATACCGAGGCGATAGCTTGTCGCGCTTGATCGGATCCAATGACATAACTTTTGCTCCATCTGGGAACTCATTGTGCAGTACCGTTCTGTTAAAACGCTCAATCATTCGTCTTTGAGTTTCACAAGCCTTGATTGGAACTGCTGGAAAGACGGTCTTGGTCATGTATTCAAGCCGCTTTAAGAGCTCCTCTTGGGATGGAGTTCACCTTTGTCATCCGAGAAATTACTCAAACCATTAAATCGCCTTGCAAAAAATAAAGAAAAAGGGGACGAATTGTGCAACGCAACCACTCTTGTGTTCATAGCCAGCTGTGCCATTGGAACGTGTTTAGCCCATGATTCCTTATGGTCCTTGACTTCTTTGGGTATAATGTTGCATGCCGTCTTGACATGATTCTCGGCGACTCCGTTGCCACGAGGATGATAGGGTGTGACTAACCGATGTTCAACTCCCATGGTTTCAGTCATAACCGTCATGATCTCGTTAACGAACTCTCTGCCATTGTCAGATTGAAGAACTCGGGGGAAACCGATGGTGGTAAAGATTCTGAACAATGCTTTCGCAATCGTGATCGATCCCTTGTTCGGTATGGGTTCAAGGAATACAAATCTTGTACAGACATCAACCAACACGAGAAGGAAACGGTTTCCGTCGCTCTCCACAGGGAATGGACCGGCCAGATCGATAGCCATGTGTTCTCCTGGAAGCTGAGCATGAATGGCTGACATAGGGTGATATCCTTTGCGTGCGATATTTACTCGCTGGCATTCTTGACAACGTTTAACGTACTTCAAACAATCTTTGGCCAGGTGAGGCCATGTCTTGTTTAACGCGTGAATGTGTTTCACCATGACATTGGTACCGAAGTGGCCAAGCGCATGAGTGTCAGCTAATATCGCTTTCCGGTCAGGAGATCCAACTGTCTCACGAGGAGTGTCGGCATCCTGGATCAAATGCATATATCCATAGACCTTAGTTGGCGCTGTCCCTGTTGACTTGTTAGTCCACAATTCTTGAGGGAATTGGCGAGATAAAGCGTCTGGCAACACATTGAGCACCCCTGGTCGATACACAACCTTGAATGTATAATCCAGAATCGTTTCCTGCCATGAAGTGAGCATAGAGTTCATGTCTTTCTGCGTGTGCATGAAAGTGAGAGCTCGATGATCCGTAAAGAGAGTGAAATGTTTTCCCCATAAGTAGTAGTGCAACTTCTTGAGCGCAAAAACGATTCCAAGTAACTCCTTTTGCGTAGCTGAATAATTTCGTTCGCTTGCCTGCAACGAGCGAGCAACAAACGAAATATATTTAATATTCTTTGGTTCTGCCTCGCCTCCGGGTAACTGATATAACACTGCTCCAATGCCGAAATTCGATGCATCTGTGGCGACATAAAATGGCATACTGAAATCAGGAAATGAAAGTATCGGTGCTTGGACAAGAATATTTTTTAATGCATTGAAACATTTTAATTCTATTTCATTAAGTACAAACGGTCCAGATGTATTGCGCAACGCGTCCAGCGGTGCTGCAAGTGTACTAATGAGCGGTAAATATTCTCTGAAGAAATTGAATGTACCCATGTATGACTGAACTTGTTTGCCCGTAGTAGGGGGTTTCCAATCATTAATGTTCGCCAACTTATTAGGGTCGACCCGTTTGCCTGTGATGTCAATAATAAATCCTAACAACGCCACTTGTGTACTGTAAAAGTTACACTTCTCATCGTTGATGATGAGTCTGGCCTCCGTGAGACGTTCGATAACCATACGCACATGAAGTAGATGATCCTGACGATTTCTAGAAGCAATCAAGATGTCATCAATGAAGTTGCGTACGAACTTAAGATCACCAAGGATCCTCGACATACCACGCTGGAACAAGCTAGACAAGGGCTTCAACCCGAATGGAGCTTTTTTAAACATATATTGTATCCCGTTGTGCATGAATGCTGTCAATGGCCTGTCTTCCTCGTGAATAGGTAGTCGATGATACGCCTGTCGTAAGTCCACCGTTGAAAACACCTCGTTGCCTCCAGCAAATTGCACGATCTCTGAAATAAGTGGAACAGGGAAATTGTCATCAGGTAAGTGAGCATTGAGTGGACGTGGGTCAAGACACACACGAAAGAGAGTCTTTTCGCCATTGGCATCCTTCTTTGCTGCAAGAGTCAAGGTGTTGTTGTGTGGATTACCGGCAGGTGCTAATATGATCACATCATCCTCTAACCAGGCTTTAATAGCGTCATCCAGAATAGGTACCTGCGATGCTGCAAACACTCTCGGTCTGCGATAGAGTTGAACGTCCTCCGGAACAGGCAAGTACACCTTCATTTCTGGTACGGGGCAAAAGCTTGTTTTGGGGATCCTGGTGTTCGCCTCCAACAACGGCTTGATATTCCTCATGAACTCTTTCTTCTCCGTGATGAATTCCTGCGTCTTCTCGATCTCGGGAACAGCGAGAGGTATCAGAGTCGGCTTTTCATCTTCAAAGGTGTTGGCATCCGGCCAGTAGACTCTTCTGGGTCGGGTAGTCCAACAATGTTGAAGCCATAGCGATGAAACAGATCCATACCAATGGTGATGGCGTGACTCTGTTCAATCACTTCGTATGGGGCGCAAAGCACGTTCTGTCCACAGATAATCTCCACGTTCTCGGTCTCGCCGACGCGTTCGATAGTTGAGGTGTCCGCCAACTCGATGCAACCCTTCACTTCCTTGACTGGAATCGAGTAGCGACTGACTACTTTGGAACTGATGAATGAATGCGAGGCTCCTGTGTCGATGAGGGCGAGATGGCGGTCTTGGTTAATGTAGATGGGGACAAAGAGACGATTGTCAACTTCATTTTTTCTTCTGCTCGCCCCATATGTCATCTGCACCAACTCAAAATTGCCTTCCCCAAATGCGAACAAAGGATAGCCATCGCACATGTCCAACAAAGGGTTGTCTGTGACTGAAAATCTTGCAAAGGCTTGCGCGTCGTCGTCGTCCTCGATTTCGTAAGTGCCCCAGGTCAGGTCATGGTCTTCTTCATCGCCATTCTCCATTACTTTCGCAGCACCATACTTAATCTTTTCTTTGAGTCCGGCCACTTCAGCATGTCCCCTACCTTCCCCTCCGTCGAGTGGACGTACAGGGGGTGAACCTACGTGAACCGACACCGCAAAGTTGGACTTCACAACCGCCTTCCTCTTCTTCGCCTTTTTCTTCTTTGGCTTTTCCTTCTTCACCTTCTGCATGGTTGGACTCTCATCCTTACCCTTTCCACTATTCTTTTCTCTGACTTCGAGGCTTGCCTCCTTGTCGTATGATTTTTTATTCTCTTCTTCTCCAGGTAACAGTGCATTACTTGAGCTATGCTGCTTGTCCTCCAAGTGGCTGCTTGTTACCTGTAACATATCCAAGGTCAAAGATAGCAGGCTATCGTTAATCATACGTTCTTCTTCATCTTTCTCTTCTCTCTTCTCTTCATGAACAGTCATCGCCGTGGTTTGATTGGGCATACCATTGAATCCGCCTCGATGATAAGGGTGACCACGTCCTCCTCTTCCTCGATAATAACCACGACCGCCATATCCTCCACGGCTGAACGTGTAAGGAGCGTTGCTGGTCTGGGCAGGTGTAGCCGTTGCACCAGTGCTCGCCATCGCGATCATCGGCACCTGTACCACTGTTGCCTTCTTCTGCTGATGCTGTTGTTTGTCTTTCGCCTGCTGAGCAACTCTCACCTCTTCCCCTTCTTTATTTGCTCGACTCCTCTTGGCAGCTTCGATGGCTGTCTTCCACTCCGTGCAGTCATCAGGACCTAACGCCATCGGAATCGACTTCATAAAAAGGTCGATGGTGTCGAGGTTGGGTGCTTGCAGCCCGAGTCCATCGAGGAGAAATTTAATGATCATGCCTTGATTCATAACAGTCAGCGCGAGCGACGGAACCGTCTTTTGCAAGGTCTGCAGGACATCCGCATGCTTAGGAAGCTCTTGGACTCGATAAACATGGACTAGTCGTCCCAATCGTAAGGCATACTCCTTGTAAGACTCGCCCCTCTCTCGCCCTGACTTTGCAAACTCCTCAACCTCTGCTGCTTTCTCCAACGCGGTTAAGGAACTATCAACGAATGTCTGCTCACAACGGTCCCAATTCCACACTCCATCCTTGTCTTTCTCATAGGCCGCCTCTAATGCGTCCCGTGCCTTTGCGTCCATATTCGCTAACGCCAGCAATCTGTAACAGCTGCTTGCGAATGTAGTCTTCCCGTACGCCAACATGCCTGTGGTACGAAACTCATGGAGAAACATACGCACATTCGTACGAATCGGACCGGACACCTTCCTGTCAACAAGCGGCATCTCATTATCCGGGACCTTCCGATGATACCGGGGCATCAAAGGAGACAAAGTTATCTGTTTGTCGTCCGCATTAACCGACCAGGACTTCGACGACGTGGTTGCCTGCTCCAACGTGTTTAGCTGCGGGGCTTGCCTCGCCATCGCTTTGGCCGCTTGGTCCATTATATCCAACATGGAACTCCATTCCGCCAATTCAGCCTGTGCATTACCGACGTCTCTTCCGAGTAGAGCATACTGCGGTGTAGGGGGTCTACTAACGGGTTCTATAACTTCTACCATTAGTTCTATTTACAACGGGAGTTACCACGCGAATAGGACTTCGGCAAGGCTGTGCTTCGGTCACTTACTGGTTCGTGGTGCAGGGTCCTCCTTTAGATCGGAATGTAAGAACACAAAGGTAAAATAGACTAGACGTAAATGGAAAGGAATAAATATGGGGATCTGTTTAGCTAAATGATGCGAGCTAGGACTATATTCCTTTGGGAATGACTGGGGTAGTTGCAGGGAGTTCGCATATTGTGATGTCCGATGAGGTGAGGAGTCGTGACAATGAAGTCCACCCCTCTGGAGTCGTTGTATGCCAATAGTTGCTGATCAGGCCTCCGTTGTACCTTTATAATGCCGTTTCACGAGGGTGGGCCGATGACGGATGCTTAATGAGACGATCGGTAATCGGGGAAGCGTTGCGGGGCAAGTACAATGTCTAAATAAGAGCGATTGACGGCGCAAAGGTGGCGAATGATCAGGATCGGCATTCCCTGTTGATTGTATCTCGTTGCATGGGTTACTGACGGTGGTAGTCAGTACCTGTCGTTGATGCGGTGTTATCCGGACAATCTGGACGAATACAATGTGTGATACAAATGATTTTGGTGGAAAGAAAACTCTGGTTCAGGTACCAGACCGTTTATTCTTTTATTCTGGGGGCGGTGCTCTTCCCCGTGATCTAATATTAACTTTGCAAGAACAACCAACTGATTCTCATTTACTACACCACAATGGGACGTTCGAGGCTTACTTCATCCAGAAGGTAACTATTCGTCTGTTTATTGTGGGCTGTTTGCAGTGCTCCAATCTAGCTACTGTTGCTAACCGACATATCCCTCGCGCTCTCTGTTATTCCATCGCGTAGGCGCGGTCGCTCGGATATCTCGTTGTTGGCGTGCACGAGTATTACACCTCAAAGAAGTGCCCAAAGTGCGATCAGTTTGTCAGCCAGACCGAGAGCATTCGCCGCCTCAACTGCTCCCATTGCAAAAAGTATATGCACCGCGACGTGATGACAGGACACAATATCGTCAACATTCTGCGCGGCCATGTCGAGCAGCAGCAGCGACCACTTTATCTGCATCCGGTCGACAAGGACGGCCACCACCCCTGGCTGGAGCTACTCAAGGACGCCCCAGATTCGTTGCAGCAAGCAAGCAGCAATGGTTGTCGTACTAGTCGTGCAGGTCGTGCTGGTTGCAAGCGCCAGGCAGAGGGGGATGGCGATGCCAAGGAGACCGGTGGCAAGCGCACCAAAACAACCATGGCGAAGCAAAAGGCAGCGACCACCAAGAGCAAGGCGACCACCAAGAACAAGGCGGCAGCGGCCAAGCAATTGGCAGGTCGATAGCTAGACTAGCTTTTTTTTTCACTTCGAGGTGCTCGCAAGCACCCTTGTCTACCTTCGGGTGGATTTAGATAGCTGCGCAGGCCGATGATTTCACCTTTTTGGTGACGTCATCGTAGTCCGTTGCGCGGATGTCTTCATGCCATTACTGCTCGCATCGCGCTCTGTTGACCTTCAATCACTCCTCACTCACTCCTCACTCACTCCATCGCTTTCTCCATCGCTTTCTCCATCGCACTCTGTTTCTCTCGCCACGCAACTCCATAACGACCACCTGATCCTTCCATCGTGCATGGTCCCTCGGTGCCCATAGTCACAGCCAAGGTAATGACAATCTTTTCGAAAAGAAATAGGACATATTTATCGTTGTTCTCTCTCTCTCTGCCTCGATGGTCATTCATCTGCTATATGTATGCTGAAACTTGGTGGAGAACCTTGTTACGCCTGCCACCTCCAGAGGAGGCCGTGTAATAGCTTCGATGCCAAGGACCATTTGGGCTGTTCTTTTTGATGGAGGTAATGTGTGCTGTTCAACTGTAGTCTCCATGGCCTATTTTTCTAGACCAGGACTACAAAAATAATCTCCTGCTTCTGGCACCTGCCAGATGGCGCATGTCAGAGCAAGGTGGCTATGGAACACATACTCTCGCCCATCACATTGTTGTCATTGTTCACCCTCTGCCTCGATGGTCATTCATCTGCTATATGTGTGCTGAAACTTGGTGGAGAACCTTGTTACGCCTGCCACCTCCAGAGGAGGCCGTGTAATAGCTTCGATGCCAAGGACCATTTGGGCTGTTCTTTTTGATGGAGGTAGTGTGTGCTGTTCAACTGTAGTCTCCATGGCCTATTTTTCTAGACCAGGACTACAAAAATAATCTCCTGCTTCTGGCACCTGCCAGATGGCGCATGTCAGAGCAAGGTGGCTATGGAACACATACTCTCGCCCATCACATTGTTGTCATTGTTCACCCTCTGCCTCGATGGTCATTCATCTGCTATATGTGTGCTGAAACTTGGTGGAGAACCTTGTTACGCCTGCCACCTCCAGAGGAGGCCGTGTAATAGCTTCGATGCCAAGGACCATTTGGGCTGTTCTTTTTGATGGAGGTAGTGTGTGCTGTTCAACTGTAGTCTCCATGGCCTATTTTTCTAGACCAGGACTACAAAAATAACCTCCTGCTTCTGGCACCTGCCAGATGGCGCATGTCAGAGCAAGGTGGCTATGGAACACTCACCCTCGCCCATCATATCACCCTTTCTATCATTGATTATAAGTGAGCATCAACGCAGACGTGGTGATTTGATTATTGCCTTTTCTTAAAACTCTTCTAGCTATCCAATATGAAAAACGCCGAGGGGAATATTGGGGTCGTCAGCGATCGTCTGATGGTTCACAGGTTTTTTAAAGTTGTTGACGCAAGGAACTGGGACCGTGTTGACAGCTTCGTCAAATTCCGCGATGCTGCAAAGACGGCTACAGAACATAGCGAGATCTATCTACGAGACCTACAATCGATATCAGAGAATGAGAGAGTGTCAGCGTTAATTCGGAAGCGTGCAAGCCACCTAGTCAGATGCTTTGTGGTAGATAACTTCAGGGAAGAATTCGCGGGTCTGGTACTGAGTGCCACCCAGAATCTGGCTATGCAAAGTACACAAAACTTCCATCTCAGTGCTATTGAGGGAGCAGTCAGACCAGCTAACAATGGTACAGTCATCATTCGTCTTTCATGAATTTAACCTAAGTGTTGGTTTGCCGCTGTTACTGTCAATATGTCGCTAACAAGTGCTGGTAAAATACATCAATAGTAGTGTTATCATCGCGCGAGGTCACCAAACGAAGAAAAACACAGGATCGTACGTTCTTATTTTTATAACTATGGGTAGGATATAAAATGCAGCATACATCTCACAAATTGAATGCACTTCGTTACTCTCTTAGATATCCAAGAATCTGTACCGTCTTCCCCATCCTCGATTGAGTCTGTAGGCACTCTGCCCTGCAACGCAGGTTGGTATAAGCTCGTGGTTGCCGCCGTCAGTACATGTGTGCAAAACTACGTAACAAACATGCACATTTGTGACTCTTGTAGCGAATCCTATGTCGCCTGTAGCTCCCGCCATCAATAGGACCAGACGAAGGAGCAAAGGAGAATGTTCGTATATGGCGATAGCAATCGAGCAAACAATCGCCTGCTCTTATGTGCACATTGTTCCTTCGAATTGACGCATGGTGTCTTTTTTCTCTAGTGCAATCTTCAAGTACAAGCGCCAGTGCAAGTTCTATCGTAAGTATCTTGATATACTTTTAGTCCTGCCCTACATATATTTGGCTGACTATAGCACGTACTTTTTGTCATTTATCCAGGGCAGCACAGCCCGCGCGGCTGTCCCATCAGCTGTACCTTCCCCAGGCTCGTTGACTGTTGCTCACCTTGAAGTCGAGGGCGAATGCACTGTCCAACGCTCACCTGCGGCAGAACCCTCAGTGCAACCCGAACCATCAGAGCCAGCCAGCCCTATGATTGAGGATAACGATGAGATAGCCGAGTTGCGTGCCAACCTGGACCGCAGTTCTCATGCCACATGTGAGGTAGGAACCTTTGATCTCTCTCTGATACGTAATGATATGTATCTATATATATATTTATGTATATCTCCTTCTTGGTTGCGTGTAGTGGAAAGTCGACAACGACTGTGTCGCGTGTCGATTTCAGGACTACCAACGAGAATGTATCAACGCACTCAACCAGAAAGTGCTCAAGAGAAGCGAGATCGCTGACGTGATGTAAGTAAACACATGCGTCTCAATTTTTTGCAACTTACTTTTTGGTATTTGGTGTTAATTTTTTCTTTGATTTCCAGGGCGCTCATTGGCGTGTTTGCGCCCTTCATTCCAACCTCTCGTATGACGAATGTGTTTGGAAAGATGTTGGACCATCTTCTAACGTCGATCAAGTTCCCAGCGCCGGACATCGACGATCTTGCCGTCATGAAAGCTGTTAGGGTATGCAGGGTTCTGTAGGGTCTGTTTTACTTGTATACTCTATCGACTAATGATTCTCTCTCTCTCGCTCTCTCTCTGTCTCTCTTTTTTTTTTTTTTTTTTTTTTTAGCATCGGCTTAACGGTGAGCGTGACGAGGCTTGTGAAACTATTCGATCGCTAGACCGCAAGAAGAGAATCATGATCGAGACGCTGTAAGTGTCTGCTTCAAACTATGATATGTTGTTTGGCTACAAGGTGTGCTTTCATGGAACAACCCAATTTTTTTTATACTTTTCAGGATGGAGAAGCTCCCGATGAAGAGCGACAAGACCATTTCAGAAGGAACATTTGTTACCAACTACGTGTCGCCATTGCTCTACGGGACACTGGCCTTGGACGACGGACGCGTTCAAATATATTTGTGCGTTTAGCTTATTGCAAGTTTGTCTTCTATTGCTTTTTATTCTTCCGTGCTTGTTTACTCTTACTCATACTTCCCTCTCCTACTTCCATTTCAGCCCAAACACAGAGTGCCAGACACAAAAGCAACAAGGCATCAAGGCCGATCGACCGGATATCCTAATTAGGATTCGCGGCCAAGAAGCTGTTTTTGGCGAGGTGACTGGACCTGCGCAGGCAGGCCACACTGCCAAGAACGCTTGGGATCTCTTTCGCTTGGCGCGATTTGGTAAGGCGTTTCTGGACAATGGAAACAGTGTTGCGCCGCTCCTCCAGGTCGTCTACAACAACGGCACCTTCATGCGCCTCACGATCAAGACTCGTGGGATGTTCATTCTCGAAGAGATTGGTGCGTTCGAAGTCCCGACCAAGGTCGCTGGCATCCCGGCCCTCGCTGCGACCCTCCCAACACTGTTGGCAGCTCGGGTAAGAACACGTTCAAATGTGATTCATCTGGATGCCTGTGCCTAAGTTCTTTGTGGCTCACCTCTTCTTTCTACTCCAGGATGACGTACAACAGATTTTGGATGGCGACATGAACGGCTTGAAGCGTTCTTGGGGGTATGGCGACGTCCGTGATGCAAAGAAGCGAATCGCCTAAGCCCTCTCCCCCCTCATCCAAGACAAATGGTCCCACTCTAACAATATGCAGGGAGTTGCTCTTCACTCCACATTTGCAAATCAAATAACTATTGTATGTTCCCCCGTGGCTATGCCACTCAATTGCTTTCTTGCCCAATAATAAGACGTTACTGACACTGCCGCACGGGCCAAGTAGTCAATACTGTCCCTTAACAAATATGCGACCTTTTCCGTATCCGTTTGGGTTGGCGATGTCTGGCGAGATTTTTTAGCTTCCAACACAATCAAATAACAGGTGAGGCCTGCAAGAATCAGCTCCATGAAGTAGTCTGGCCGCCGACCTTTGGCATTGGGGTCGTCCATCTGGCGGCGATCCCTGGACGGTTCGAACTCTTTGTCCCTGTTGATGAATGTACCATCGTCGGTATTCCTCTTTCTTTTTTTTTCACTCTGTCTTTTGCCCTGCATGTCAATGGTGTACACACTTATCATCGCCCTTTACAACCGGGCATTCCTCCGAAGAATGTCTTCAGAAAAGGATTGAACAGGTGCTGCATCAGTTCCAGTTCGTTGAAGTCGGCCTTATCCCACAAGAAATCGTCTTCAAAGAGCGACGTCAAGAGTCGCCTGATTTCTTTGCTTCCTGCTGTGCTGTCAACATGATCTTGAGCATCCTCGTGGATCATACGCGAGATCTCAACAGCCTTCATTCCGATCTCGGACAACATCTCGTTGGTCACTCTGGTTTGCAATGTACTCTTTGTGATCGTTGACCAATGCTTTGCGCCGAGTGCATGGAAAAGACTGCTTTTGGAATCTTCTTATTCGAACAGGTACATATTAGAAATCTTTCGCAACCTAAATACATATGGAACAGACATGTAGAATAGACAGGGCAAATTTCAAGGAAATAGGTTGAAATGCTGTCACAAATTCAAAAACGCCACTAATTTTTAGGGACGGAGGTTAATCAAGCCACAGTCTACAAGTTTGCAGCTTCGTAAAATACGAGTGCGCACGTAGTTAAGAATCGTTTTCTACATATAGACGCCTCAAAAACCTTTCTAAAATGAAGCAAGTGATGATGTTTACAGTCGAATCTGGTTTTTATCATCATTCTGATAGTGAAATCGATGATAAAAGTTAATTCGAACATTTGAATTGACCCCCACAAAAAGAATACTGTAAAACGCAAAAGTATATAGTGTCCGTGACATTGACGCCAGTCACGCCTTCTCCACAAAGGACTAGGGTCTTTTATTGAGGATGTTTGTTGACATGAAGAGGCGTGTGGGTGAATGAAAGTATTTTTTTTGACTAGCATGATGAGGCGTGGCTGGCGTCAATGTCACGGACACTATATACTTTTGCGTTTTACAGTATTCTTTTTGTGGGGGTCAATTCAAATGTTCGAATTAACTTTTATCATCGATTTCACTATCAAAATGATGACAAAAACCAGATTCGACTGTATCGGGTGGCGCTTCCAAAAATTTCTCAAATTTCCTGCGCTGAGTACAACGTGCGGCGAGCCAGTACATTGGGTTTGACATATGGTGGTGGTCAGTACATTGGGAATTTCCGTCCCAGTACAATTTTTTATGAACTCTAAATCGTATGGTCGAGTTTCATTGGCCAAATGGTCATGACATTCACCACATGCCGCCCTTGCTTGCAGCTTGCTCTCTTTCTCTCATTCTTCCTCTCTGCCTGTCCGTCTGCTCACAGCAACAACCTCCAGCCCAGTCAATACTCACTTACAAATCACCAACTGCTCCACACCTGCGGCTGCTCCCCCTCCTCCTCCCATTCCACCTCCCTCATTGAACTATCCTCCACCCTCCACCCCTCATGTCAGCACTCAGCTCTCTTGCCTCAGAAAAAAGAAAGCGACCAAGGAGCCGCGCTGATGCCCAGTCGACCGAGAAGCAACCTACAAAAAAGCATTCGAGGAGGATCAAGGAACTCATTCACTTGGACGGTTCGTGATCGAACAATCAGGGGGTAGAGAGTTAGAGAGTAGGGCTTTGCACTAAACAAGAGTGCTTGCCCTGCTATCTCAGGCACCATTGTCATAGACTTGCACGCTTATACCCTCCTCATTAATCCACTCTGTGTCAATGTAGTCATTGCGGATAACCCAGCATTACTGGATATGACCGACGAGCCATTACATGGAGAAGTTGAATCATACTCAGATTACGACTCGGACTCGGATGAGGAGTCGATTAATGAATCGATCAATGGCGGGTCAGCGCGAAGGCTCTCGATTCAGGAAACAGCCGAGGATGAAAACGTGGATGTCGACGAGGCCAAGCTTAATACTCATGGTATGAATGCTGTCATTGTGGAATCCAACCCAGTGAAAGGCACCGAAGGCTCTTGCTCGTAATAATCAACTATCTATTCCTAGTCAAGTTTGAAGCGATTTTACAATACCTAATAGCCCCACCGGATCTTTACCAAACTGAAGGCGGCATGGCAGGGGACCATGGTGAATCGACGGACAGCGAGATCATGAGAGAAGCCCTCGCTTTGCAGACCTCGAACCTGAGCGTTAACACCAAGAACCAATACAAGACGCACTTGAGAAAGTTCTTAGTAAATGACGACAGCAACATACGTCGCTGGCGAGCAGACATGGCTGCGATGGAGCTGATTCAATAACCAAGTTTTGTCGCTTCTCTATCTCTTAGAAATTTTGCAGCAATCTTCCTCTCGGCAATATCAACGGAGACAGCGGAAGGGCTCACATCTACGATGTTTCCGAGGTGAAGGTGCTTCGATTCTTCAAGGAGGTCATGTTCAAGTCAACCACCAAGAAGTACTTCAGTATGAACCAGAGCAGAGACGTTCGGACACCGTATATGTTCAAATCGACCACTACAAAGGACCACATACCGACTTTGGCACAAGGTATGCACAAAAGAAAGGAATTTCGTGACGCTCGCACTCTCAGGCCATTAACTGTTTACATGGTGGCCTTCCTTTCATACATATGACATATGGAACAGTCCTGCATGATATCAAACCGGATGCGAAAGGGCGGAAGGTGCTGAGCGTCCCCTGTGGCCGTCAGACCATGGAGAATGCGCTGAAGGCACTTTGCTATCTCCAGGATAGACAGAGCAAACGTCCGATACGCCCGAACGAGGAGCCCGAGCTTCGTAAATCGTCACTCATCAATAACGCCATCGACAAGTACTCTAACGACCTTGTAGTTGGCATCCTTGTGAACCACAAGGATCTTTCAGCTGAGTGCGAGATCCGAAATGCCTATACCGTCGCTCAGCACATCAAGTGTCTGTTGTACACATGGGCCCAGCCCATTACGATCCTGTCACCCTGGGCGAAGGAACATCTGGCCTTGGCAATTCGGCATAGCATGATTCTACGCAATGAGGACCTCTGTCATTTGAATCTCGTGGACTGCTTCATGATACAGGTCGAAAACCGAGACAGAGGATCGCAGTCAGCGTTGGCGCTCGTCTGTGCAATGCATCGCGGCAAGACCAATCGAAGCGGCCATACGCAGTACGGGTGCGCTCTAAGGCATAGCGACGTTCGCCGCTGTAGCATTGGCGCCTTTGCCTTTTACCTGTTTGATCGCTTCCATGTACGTTGAAACAGACCTTGCACGATATACCATAGTTCTTATTCCTACCTGACTAAAAGACTTAATTATGATAGAACAAGGAGGAGCCTCCGCCAGACATCAGCGACCCGGATTTCAAGGAGATCAAGGTTTTGCAAGGAACAAAAGGAACCCATGCTAGCCGTTTAGCGCCATTGTCGTATTCGGCAAGTCGCGAAACAACATTGAAGACGTTTGAGACTCAGGAACTGGAGTGCGTTCATCTCACACACTCTGGACGTCACAGCGGAACGATTGAGGCCCAGAAGCTGGGTATTCGAGCTGAGGATATCAAGCTTGGAGGCCGGTGGGTGCGTGGCAATGGCAGGATGGACCAGCACTACATGTCCAACATCCCTATCAGGTTCGCGTTTGGTATGGCGGGCTTTCGGGAAGGAAAACCCTTTCATCTCAAGAGGAACGAGGTATCGCCGCCGGTGGAGCTGCAGGAGATGATCTTCCCATTCGTCGAGACTGCATTCGGTGAACCAGGGTCTGAAGCCAACAAGAGATGGAGGCAGGAATGTCTTGATGAGATGAATGAGAGGGATGAGGATCAGCCCGACCAACTTCAAAATGTCTTGCCCCTGGATCCATCACCGTCTGAGCCAGGTAGTGCTCCTATCCATAAGGCGCACGCTGATATGAGCAAGAAACGTTTCTTCAAGATGGTCCTCCGCCTGCGACGAGTCATACTGCAGGACGCCGTGGCGTATATGCACACACACAGCAGCGCCAAGTCACCGCTTCTGGAGCATAGCCTGTTCAAATCGGAGTTGTTCCTCAAGTTCAAGGATGACCTGGCGGTTGTACTGGACCGAGAGGATGCTACCCTGCCGCCTGACCTTCCGCCCATTATGGTTGAAGCTATAACGGATCAACGACAGCAGTATTCTGGCCATTACCAAGCTCTCAATGATAAGTTTCGACAAGTCCAACTTCAGTCTCAACAACAGAGGACTCAAGAGGAATCATTTCGCCTTTGGATGGCATCTCAAATGCAGCAAATGCAGCAGTATCTTTCAAGTCAACTGGCGCAGCTCTCAGTTCAAGTGCAGCAATCGAATGCCTGTGCCTGTCGTCATCCTCCGAATAGGCCCACCCCACCTTTTACTTGCTGTGCCTATGGTCCTTATGATTATGGTGAGCAGGTACAGCAACACACAGCTTTTTACCAGGAGACATCAAGAGTGCCATGGCTTGGACCTACGACAACGATGCCGCTTCTGCAACCTACTAGTTCTGGGGCACTTATACCACCTGTAGCGCCAATTGCAGCACCGATTCGACCGCCCGCTTGGGTACCGCCCGCTTGGGTACGCCGCTGGTACCGCCGCCAGCACAACCGCAAGCACGACCGCAGGCACAACCAACACTAGCCCCTCATCGATCCGAAAGTGTGGCTGATGTCTCCGCTCAGGAAGTAGAATCTGAAGAACCAGGGTTCACTGTGAGCAAGAGGCCCAGGAACGCAAGGGAGATCTGGGATGAGCGTCAAAGCTTTGCAAAGTTTCAGGAGGAATATGAGCGACGAAAGGGAAGGCGCCCGAAGTTGGCTGAGAAAGACCGAAAGGCGCTCAACAATAGGTTGCGGATCGTGGAGGAAATTGAGTTCCGTGCGAAGCAAGCGCAAGCCAGGGATAGCAGTCTTAGCCTCGATGCGGCGATAGAAGGTGCGATGAAGAGTCTTGATGGTATGAGGATGAGCTGCAATATGCTTCACAAATATTGCCAAGAGGAGGCGTTGAAGCGAGCGGAAGCTGTTTGAAAAGGTCTATGTAATTATATGTATAATCTGTAATCTGTATAATAAAAAATGTGCTTCTAACTGCGGTTGTAAGTGTGTAAGTGTGTATATGGTGAGTGGGAGAGAGGCATAGAGACGGATGGAAAGGCAGATGGAGAGAAGGATGAATAACTAAGAAGCGCGATCCATTCATCCATCCCACCCAGATGTGTGTGCCTGATCTTGATCTCTCGCCCATATTCGTTCATCGTTCAGGGTCCTAAGGTTATCCAATACTTTTCACTTTTTGTGTCCCTTCCAGATTTCCTCAGCTTTTCCGACTCTGGCACATATCAGCCATTCGCAGTGTTTGAATCCAAGAGCGCACAGGAATTTTCATATGAACCTCTGTATTTTAAACTAATGATACCGTGACTGTACTAAAAATGGACCTGCAGGGATTGACAAATTGACCATCCAGACCTCCTGTAATCTGCAAACTGACCTTCATTTCATGTTCCGCTCAGCCGCTGTACATGTACACGTTTGTTGCTTGCGTGGCCTTCATTCCCACAGATGGCAGTGGGTGGGCGCGTGCGCGGATGTCGCTTCTTTACTTCTTCCGTACGTGGAACCGGCGACTGAATTGAAACTAAGTATTATAGAACTATGAGCACTTCCCCCTGTCAAGTATCACGACGCGGGTTATTTGTTTTCGTTCTTTCTCTTCCCTCGCTTGCTATTTCCTTCTCTCTCCCTCTCTTTCCTTCTCTTTCCTTCTCTTTCCTTCTCTTTCCTTCTCTTTCCTTCTCTTTCCTTCTCTTTCCTTCTCTAAATTACAAATGGCATATCATTTCAGATACATATGTGCCTGTGTATACTAGAAGAGCTGTCGTGACCTCAGACTGGGCTAAGCAAAGTGATCCTTCGATCAACAACAGGGACAAGGGCACGATGGAGTTCGGATATACATTTCTTTACTGTGTTTATTTAAGATATGTGTAGGAATAATGTCAAGTTGATAGATGAGGTTCTACTGTGGTATGTATTGCTTCCTTTTATACAGGCAGGGTAACATAGACATCCGTGATAATAATAAAGGGAAGACAGACAAAGTGAGACGAGAGGTGTCGTATTGAACACCCCTAATCCAGGCCAGACAGGGGAAATTGGTTCCTGACACATCTCTGCCTGGGCTAAGCACCTTGGCTGAGGTCGCGACACTTTCTTTCCTTCAAGTACAACATGCTGTAGTATGGTGAATCCACGTGGGGCCCAGACAGGGTATCCAGGATATCCAGGGTGGAAGACCCAGCTATGTTACTTGGTATGGCACGATGAGCGGAATAGGTACGGGACATTCATACGGTCATATCAAGCGAAGGCTGTGCGTGCAATGATGGGGTATGCAAGTAGGGAGTACGTGCAGTCATAGAACAGTCAATTGGTTTTGCATTCATAGAGTTTACTGGTCAATAAATACTAGAGAAATGTTCCTGGTCTGTTTCCTCTCAATACTTCCGCACAACACCTACACTGTACGACTCCCTAAGTCGCTCCACATACCCATTGTCCCACTACACTGTACCCCAAATTGGTATACTTTGCCATAGCTGGCCATCATAGCGTATCGCCCAGCAATAGTAGAGACAGGGTTCGCAATCAAGTGTTCCTGCGAGTCCGCCTCGCGTAGCATGGAGGTCTCTCGACCAGGTAACGGCCATGGTTTTATAACGAACGAGGACAAAGAACAGCACCTCTCGATGTCGTCGTCTAGGCACAAGAGCCAAGGCAGAGTCCCTTTGACCTTGCTGATACCTAACCTGAGTGTGTCGTCGCCTTGCAAATAGTACTTGCTGTCTTTCTTTTCTTTCTGCTAAGGACAAAGCGTTTCTTCGAGGTTCCATCCACAAAGGACCTCACTGTAAGTGTTCTCGGCGTCTGAAGTCTTTATTTGTTTCTACTATATCCCTACAGCTTATCTCTAGGTCCTTTGCTTCCCAATTTACTCCTGTAGTCCTCTGTTATACAGATTGTGGCCCTCGCTCGAGACCCCTTCCCTCGTCGTTGCTCATTTATTCGCGACACACATTTACAGTAAGACAGTGATTATTTAGAGACTTCATTGACCAGTAGAGGTCTTTATTGAGAAACGTATTTACAGCTAGCACTTTTACCTGATAGAGCCACAATACCACAACGCTACTATACTGCTGTATATATCACATTATGGCTATGTGTGGGAAATGCAACAAGAACCACACTCGACGGTCGTTCTACACCTGTCCTAAGACGTATGCTGCGTCGCGTCACCACATATACAGCGGGCGCTTGCTCGAGGAACAATTGATCTCACGCCATTGAGTGTTTTATTTGCTTCTTACATTCTTAGTGACCCACCAAGCCTAGTCCTCAAGAAGAGCCAGACGAAAATTCGCATTCCTATAGGAATGCGTCAAACAACCAAGCGACAAAAGGTTGGCGAGACGAAACTGCAGAGCGAGGACAAGCTGATTGATCTTCCTGCTGCAAAGACCAAGCAGCAACCTGCAAGATCCAATAGGCGATTCAAGAACAAGGAGTATGTTACATTGCGTCACTGCAGACACAGCAGGTGCTCGACCGAGGACATATTATCTCATAACATTGAATGGTTCACTTACTTCTTGCAGTCTTAGCGCTCCATCAAGTCCGGCCCTCGAGATGGGTCAGACAGAGTCCAAGGCGCAGTTCAAGCGCATGAAGGTCGACAAAGGCAAGGTGCAAATGGTCACGCCCCAGCCTATGTCACCTATCGACAACACTCTAATAGGCCCCTACAGCTCAAGTTCAAGTATAAGCTGCTCTATCGAAGACACAGTCTTTTTTTGCTGCCGAGCGTGTCTGGATGAAGCCACTACGAGCACCGATACATGTAGGTCCTTGGTCTACCATTCATGGGATGATGGGCCCAAGAAGTCAACAGATGACATCGCGAGTATCGTGAGCATCCCCATGGATGTCCCCATGGATGAGTTCGATGACTTCGATATCGACGAAAGCATCTTTTCAGATGACTTTGTCCTTGCGTGGGATCCCAACCCCAGGGCGGTGGATGAGACTTCGAGCATGGCTCTTGATGACTTTGATGACCTCGACAGCGCTCATGAAGTCTTCGTGGATGCTCTTGAGGGCGCCGACGGCACTCTCATGGATAATATTGGTACGAATGATGGCGCTGTGGTGTATTCACCATATTGTCTTGTTTATTGAAAGTGCCCCATTTCCCTGTACCTGCCACCACTCGGTGCCGATTCTTTATTAAGAGCATAGTGTCTCTGAGACCACCTTCTATAGTTCTAGTCCCCTATACAAGATGCATTAACAGATATTTTCTTGTATATAAGGCACGACTTGCTCATTATTAAAAGGACATCTCGTTTTTCACAGATATCATTCCCACATACTCCGCAGGCGCCGCGAGTTACTCAAGGGGGATTTGGGGTACCTTGAAATTGTTAATAAACGTGTAGCAATAAAAACAAACATATACATATGACATATGAACTGGATGCTCTTTGTGGTGTATGTGGGACTTGGAATTATGTGATAAACGATCTACTGCAGCTCTTTGATTGTACAGTAGCTAACTGGTGCCTTAAACACCAGAGAATGCCTATTAATGTATCTAGCATAGGAGATTAGAACCAATAAATGGTGACCTCAGGGCATAATGCTTCCAAAAGTGAATTGGCACCGAGTGATGATAGGTTTAGGGGCGGGGCAAGTAGCGCTTTCAACAAGCGAGATAGTATGGCAAATACATCATACCCTTTTTTTAATTGTCATGACGCTCTCGGTGGCCATGTCTGGCTACAGCACAGCGCTGGGCGAAGCATATGCAAGAATTACATTTAATAGACCGAGCCATAAACACTCATTATCCCCAATTTGTTGCACCTCTACATCTCTACTGCCTCACCCAAAGAGTCCGTCGCGTGTGATTGTGTCACTCGCTCCCACGTTCTTATGTTTCCCATACTGACACGATAGGATTTCATCACATTGCCTTGCTGTCAGACCTGTTCATGCACCTCGAACGCGCGCGTGTGTGTGGACAAGTTGGTCATTCTAGGGTGACCTTTAAGGACTGTCCCGACAATCCCAACAACACGCCGAAAGGGCAAGTTTTTTTTTTTTTTCCTTTTCAATTAATGGGCTGAACTTGCTGAACTTAGACCTCTCAACTAATCGCCGAGCTGTTGTATTCGGCAAAACCAAGGCATACACCTGGGTTGTCGAGTTTCAGAAGCGCGCTTTGCCACACACTCACATACTGTTGACCTTGAAGGACCAATTCAAACCTGAGACGACCGAGGACTACGACAGCATCGTCTCGGCCGAACTGCCGGATCCGATCACCGAGTCGTCGCTCCACAACACTGCAGCGACTTCGGAAATTCATGGGCCGTGTAAAGCCCACTGCTTGGGGGAAGCCGCGAAGAAGTCTTTGGAGCAGCGACCTCAGACGTGCAACAAAGCCTATCCTCGCGATTTCTCGAACGAGACGGTCAGGAGTGAGAAGGGGTATCCCTACTATCGTCGACGGCGGAGCCGCGTTCACCAACATAGTCAACGCATAATCGACAATCGATGGGCGGTGCCCCATAATAAGTGGCTCTGCCCCAAGTATGATGCTCATAGTGTGGAGATCTGCACGTCCATGTCGGTAGTAAAATACCTCTACAAATATGTGGCCAAGGGCCCTGACCGAGCCAACATGGCTATCGCTCTCGAGAATGGCGATGCCCCAAAATACGTGGACAAAATCCTAGAATTCCGCAATTCTAGACACATATCCGCCTGTGAGGCACTCTGGAGGATTTGTGCCTCCCCACTGCAAGGTCACGCCTCAAACATTGTGCGATTGCATGTTCACGTCGGGCAAATCAGGCCTCTGCAACAACACTCGATTGGTCGTTCGAGCACTCCAGCAGAGATATCTGAGTGCAGAGATCCTTCATGGCGAGTTCAAGGGTCGGACAGTCCTCATTCCGCGCATAGCACTCACGACCATGGACGGCGGAAGTACGCCAATCAAGTTCATTAGGCACCAGTTTCCTGTCAAGGCCGCATTTGCCATGACCATCAATAAGGCGCAAGGGCAAACACCTCAGCACGTTTTTGATGCTGGACAACTATATGTCGGCTTCTCGCGTTGCACTCACCGAGATAATTTAAAGGTTCTGCATTATAAATGGGCGAGAGGGAGGTTACTCGCGAAACATCGTTTCTAGAAAGTTGCTGAGCGCACTATATATATATATATTTTTTTTTGGGCCCCTTGGACTCGAGGCGATAACCGCGGGCAACCTGCTAGTAATTAAATAAAATGAGAGAAAGAAAGAGAAAAAAGAGGAAAAAGAGAGAAGGCGAGAACATGGAAGTGGTGCTCAGGAGCACCTTGATAGCCAAACGCCGTTACCGAGGCTCGGTTCGATAGCGCGGATCCCAGCGGCTCACACGATTAGAAAACAAGAATAGTGTGTAGAGTCGCCCCCTGAAAATTGCAAAGCCAATGTATTTGATTTTCGTAAGTGGAGAACTGTAGGAGCGTTCATAGTCCAGGACATGGTTCAGGCGTGCAGATGTAAAAGAATTATATTGGCTTCATGACTCCCTAATGAGGACTCTATACATGGGGGTACTATGATGATGGTGGTATTGAATAAAGTGGCGTATCTTTACAGTTTCTTAGCGCTGGGGCTCATCCTCCTTCAAGAGGTGATCCCAGGTATCCAAGGGCTTTGGCAACTCTGGATGTTCGGCCTCGAACTCCTTGGTCTCCTCCTCCTCACTCTCGCTTTGATCGTCCGCATGTGCGCGTGCATCGTCCTCCTCTCGCTGATGCTTCTCCTTCTCCTCCGGACTCGACTCCTCCACGGTAATCCAGCTCTTTCCTTCCTCCTTCTCGACCCACAAGCTGACACTGCCCGAGTGGCAATAGAATTTCGCAGATCCATCCTCCTTGATCGTGACAGGGTCCTGCCAGTATCCCATCATATCGACCCAGACCTGTCCCGCACGATGGGCGCCGACGTTCATGCGTTTGTTACCCTTGGCGTGTGAGTTCGACATGACAACAGCGAGACCCTTAGGATGGTGTTCATCGCCGTGGCGGACCCAACCGACGCAGTTCGTGTGGTCGAAGTAGTCGTCTTGGTCACCGTAGGCAAATTCTTTGCGGGCTAGGAGCATACGGGAGAACATTTCTTTGCGACCTGGGATGGCCGTGTGTGGTTCTTTCGAAGATTTGGCTTCGATGCCGTAGAAGTCACCATAGAAGATGCATGGGAATCCATCAAAGCGCAGACAAATAAGCTATTAGAGATGAAAGACATGAGCGTTAGGATGCATGCGAGAAAACAGAATATTTAGGGCGAGAGAATATTGAGGGCAGAGGACGTACAGCGGCAGCGAGAGGCTTGAACCAGGGCTCGACAAAGCTTTCGAGAGCTTGGTAGGGCTGGGTATCGTGGTTGTCAATGAAGGTGACAGCAGACTGAGGGGTTGACTGGACAAGGGAGCCATCAAAGATGGTTCTCATATCAAAGGAGGGGCCTTCCTTTCCTGCACGAGCAAAGTTGTAGTGAAGTGGAACATCAAACAAGTGGATGTTGCTATCTGTCTCCAAGTGCGAGTCCAAATCATTCACATCTTGCTTCCAGTACTCTCTGCAATGGACGAAAAAAAATAAGAATGAAAAAGGGCGACTGGTTAGCTGTCATCGCCGAAAATGCGCTTAAAGACGTGGTTGCTTGGTTTTGTTGAAATCCAGAATGTATGTGCAACTACATACCCAACGGCGAAAAAGTCGGGGTTATTGGACTCCTTGCGGACGTGATCGAGCAGATGAGCAATGAACCCGGCGCTGATGTGCTTCAGTGCGTCGATTCTGAGTCCATCGATTCCGAACTCGTTAACGCACCTATTTCACAACCAATTCACCCACCGAGGAAGAAAAAACAAAACAATTTCGATTGGTGAGAAAATTGGTATATGGGGTGGCAAGGTCTGTCAAGGGATGAAAATGCAAACATACCACATGGCCCAGCGCTCAGTCTCGGCAACGACATCCGGGTGCTTGTAATCGATATTGCAGCACATCAGATAGTCAAAGTTACCGTTCTCGCTATCGACATCGTCCGAGAAGCTCTTGTTCTCGCCCTCGATCCTGAACACAGCCTGTCCAAAAAAATAAAATAAAATAAAAATAAAAATGAAGCGATCAAAAGCAGCGATCTGTCAGTTTTCATTCTCATCCATCAAATACCTCCGACCGACATCCATGCCAATTTTCCATCTCATCAATCATACGGGCGTAAAAAAACCACTTACAGATCTCTTCTCCTTGGCATCCCAATCCGTTCCGGAAAAGTGCGTATAGTTCCATTCAAAATCCGAGTATTTGCCCTTCCTTCCTGGGAACGTAAACTTTGTCCAAGCAGTAATATCATGCGGGGCCTCGATCTCTTGTGTCCTATCATCATCCGCGACTGCAACCGCCTTAAAGACCTCGGTCTCATCGCCCGAGGCCTTGTGGTTCAGGACCGCATCAAAGTAGACTTGGATGCCGTACTTTTTGCACTCATCGATCGCAGCCTTGAGCTCGTCCTTGGTACCGTATTTAGTGGGCAGGGTGCCCTTTTGGTCGAATTCACCCATGTCCCAAAGATCGTACACGGCATAGCCAACATCATAAGGGGAGCTGTGAGCGAGGAGAAGGAGAACGGTTGTCAATAGGGTGAACGAGGCGGGCGCAAAATAACGAGGGGAGAGAGTGAGAATGAGAAAGCGAATGAGATGATACGTTACCTTCCCTTGGTTGGGGGTGGAACCCAGATGGCGGTCAGGCCGAGAGTGCTGAGCAAGCTGGCCTGCTCCTTGAGACGGATCCAGTGCATGTGGTCTAATAGCATAGTACATATGGAGATGCGATAAAATGTTAATAAACATCATAGTGGTGCACACTTTCACGCGTAAGGCCAAGCAAGAAACTGCACCGTGTTACCTGCAGGGGTGTACCACTCAAAGAACTGGAACATAGTGACGTTCTCGTGTTTGTTAGGCATGTTGGGTCAAAAAAGGTGGGAGAAGAGGGGGATATGCAAGAAAGGTGGAGAGGTAGAGTTGATCGAGGCTAAGACAAGAATGGTTAGAAAAGTGAGTGTGAAGAAACAAAAAAAAAGTGAAGGCGGGCTAAGGATGAGTTTTATAGGCAAGGCACGCCAGGGGCAACAAGGCACAGGGCAAAGTCAAATGTAAGACTGATAACCTTAAACAGGAGAGAAATGGGTCAGACACAAATCGAGAGCGATTGCCAGATGATGACCGCCAGCAGCTCCATTCCCGCCATTCGTGTAATAAGCTGTGCAAAGGAGCAAAACAATGTCGTCACCATGACGAGTTTTCCTGGACCAACTGACCAATCACACAAAATCCTCCAGGGCCGTGCCTTTATACAGTATGCCCTGAGCTAGACCAAAAAGTGCGACATTTCTTCTCCTGGACCAATGAACCACGTCAAAAAATACTATATATATACAACAGCTGAACGTTGTTCAAGTCTTTACCCCTCGCTTCATCGCTCATCCATGACGTTTTGGTGACAAACGGCAGCCTCCGTTTCTTGTACGGCGATTGAGCGGAACATGAAACGTAGATCAGTTTGCAAATTACAGGAGGTCTGGATGGTCGATTTGCCAGTCCCTGCAACGGACAGCCTGCAGGTCCATTTTAGTACGCGCTAACCACGAATGAACGGCAATTAGTTCAAAAAGGAAAGTAGGCAGCCAATTTGATTTGTAGGCCGGAACGCAGAGAGCCATGGTTATGCTAGGGATGGTCCATAGCAAATAAAAGCATTCATAAGCTTGAGAAGTAATGGTGAATACATATTGCTAGGGAATAGCAACCGAGATTACACATCCGGGCTGTTTTTACGCTGGATATGGATGGAGAAAAAGTCTTGTCGGTTAAGAAGCGTGACATTGTGCTGGACCGTGCACTCCCTTACTTTGTACAACAAACATCCATTGAGTGCTCTCAAATCATCGATTCAAATCGCGACTTCTTTGTTATCGTTTGTGCGGTGTGAATGCAGACATCTTCTGGCATCCGTTGTCTGGTCATCCAGAACAAGCTAGGAAACGATATGATAGACAGCATACCCCATTTCATTCTAGTTCATACCATCAAAAAGTCTGGCATTCTTAAATTAATTTGCGTCATCATTGGTAAAAAAACTCAGCGCATTCTTTCTATCCGCACTTCACTAAATCAACTCGTCTAGATTGTAGATTGAACATGGCTCTTATCTTTTGCTCTCCATAGTGGAGTGGAGATGTTGTGCATAGATGCATTCACGACGCGTGGCTGCTTCTTGGAAGATGAACCCTTGCTTATCGTAGCCCTGGATGAGCTCGCTTCACGTCCTATCCAAACCCAAACGCGGATTGGGTTCGATATGCGAGACAAAACATTTTTTTATGTTTCTTAACTCGTGTTTCGCCGGTTTTTTATGTATATTTTTCACGTCCAGCCACCTTTACTGTATTCATACACTCACAACCTTCAGCAATGAGTATTGAAGCTGTGAGCACCCACACCATCAAGAGCGACGCTGCCACCACCGTCGTTACCCACACCACTACCGTTGTCAACGAGTACGAGGAAACGAACGACGACAAAGACCACCACTACCAATATCATCACGTTCACGACCACGACCACAAGCACGACCACCATAATTACGATGAGCTTAAGGCCGTTGAAGGTGTCAAAAAGACCTTCAGGGATTACTGGCTCCCTTCCCACACCAATTCGGGTTCCAACAACCTTGACGACGAGCATGACGGAGACGAAGACGAGAACGAACATACGAACCCTTCGCGCTTCTCCCCAAACAGCGTAGTGCGACGGGCCTATGACTACTGGAAAACTCTCTCCCAGGACTCTGAGGAAACCGCGAGGGAACTCGTCCACAAGGCTCGCATTGCCCGAGACGAGACCTCCAAGGAGGCTAAATGGGCCATGCTTGGCTACAAGCGAGAGGCCCGTGAAGCCTATGAGACTGCCGAGAAAAGGTATCGTGACGCCCTTGCGGCGGCCGAGAAGGTGCATGAGGAGGCCCTCGAGAGAGCACGGTCGCGATGGTTCCAGCAGCGAGAGCATACGCAGAAGGAGGTCGGGGAAAAGGTCGAGGAGATGACCCACCAGAAATGGGATCAGTTTAAAGCAGCGGTCGATTCTTTGGTGTTCAATCCGCCAAAATATGTGTGCAGTCCCAGCTCGCAGTACTGGTTTTCGAGACAGGACCCGGTTACAGGTTCTGGGTGGGATTGTCGAGAGATCTGGGATCATTCGGACAGTAGGAAGCATGGCCACGGTGGGTTTAAGATGTTGCCGAAGAAGGAGATTCCGTTAGAGAATGTCCATAGGGTGTTGGAGGGGCTGTGGAAAGAGGCGGGATCGAAGGCTAGGACTGGACCGTCGTCTGATTCGGCTTTGAAATATGTCAGAGATCGCTATCATGGTATCTTGGATCGCATTGCTCGTGGCGAGAAAGGAGCAGTAGAGGAACTCGATACGTTGATGGAGAAGATCAAGGGTAGGCTGAACGAGGCCAAGTACTCTGAAGAACAGACAGACGCGTGGTTGACGTCGCAGTGGAATGCCGTTGTCCATAATACAGGCGAAGCCAAGGACCAATACGAGCACATCTTCAAGAGCGCAATCAAGAGCGTCGAGGATGCACGTACTCAGACCTACAACGCAATCTTTAAAAGTTTGGAGGAGCCTCTCAACAGTGCCCGTGGCAACATCCAAGAAGTCATCAGAACCTCTAAGGATGATAAAGCCAAGATCCAGAAGACCATTCAGGAAGCCTCGAGAACATTTGCGACCACTGTCAAGGATGTAGAGGCCAAGATCAAGGCTGTACCCAAGAGCGCGTACGACCATGCACTAGAGTCCTTTCGCAAAGATAGTGTGAAATTGAAAGCCAAACTCGAGCATGCTGCCAAGGTGGCCTCATCGTTGTCACTTGAGGCTTTCAGATCCGCGGCGGCTCTCCCCCATGAGGCGTCCAAGTCGGCTTTATCTCTCTCGCGCCATGCGTCCAAGTCGGTGTCATCTGCAGCTGCGAGGGTCGCTCAATCCGGCGAGGGTCTGCATCAGGATGCTAGTCATCACTTGCACGATGCCGAAGCATCCGCGGACGTGATCAAGAACCGCGCGTCGAGGGGGTACGAGCGTGCGACAGCCTCAGTCAGTTCGATGTGGACAGCTTCTACGCCCTTTGAGCCCCACAGTCGGGCCCACGATTCCTATCATCAGTTATTGGGAGATGCGAAGCACAGTTTATTTGCGGGCGGGCATCAACCCGGTTACGAGCATCATCTGTTGGATACAGGTTATCATGAACTCAGCTCGTTATATGGTGCGCTGACGGCGCTGTATATGTTATTTCTAGCGCGACAGATCTGGTTGAGAAGGAGGTGTTGTCCCGAGATGTCTGCGGTGGCGACGGATGCGCATGGGAACTTGTATGTGACGAAGAGTAGAAGACGCCATAGTCAGAGCCACAGCCAGGTGCATGGTTCGGACTCTTCGGACGACCAGCTTCACCAGTACAGCCATCGCCATCACCATCATCATCAGCAGCATGAGAAGCATGACAAGGACATTCATCGTAAGTTGTCGAAACTGATTCTCTCTCTTTTTTTTTTTTTTTTTTTTTTTTTTGTACGCATTTGTTAACGAACAATCTTTTATATGATATCGAAATCCTAGATGAAGAGCACCGCGGGCACCACCATCACCATAACTCCTTCAGCGCGGTCCTGAAGACGTTTACTTCGGTTGTTCCGGCGACCATGGTTCTCTTGGTTCTTCTTGAACTAGCAGGGTTCTCGCGCGTTGCGCTTCACACGCTTTTTGCGAGCCTCATTATTTCGCAGATGGTACAGTATGGATGGATGAATAGTGTGATGGAGCAGCTGGGTATCCTCGATAGTGCTCTTGGAGAGGCCGTTTCTGGACATTCAGCGCAGGCGATGGGACGTGCACTAGCCCGGACAACTTTTGGACTTGCCGCAGTTGCGAACGCGATCAATGTCCTGCACGATGAGTAGGGATGGACGGGAAAAGGGAGTAGGCGAAGAGGGATAGTGTGATGATGTAGTCTTAACAATTACCATGGTATTTGATAAAACGAGGTACAGCTCTTTCGATACGACACGCGATGGAGTGCTGTGCAGCAAAAAAAAAAAAAAAAAAAAAAAGGTTTGGTTTGCCACCAATTTTTATGCGAGTGTTTCAGTTTTATCAGTCACGGATTGTTTGTGCTTTTTGCTCTCGGCGCTCTACGCCTTGGACTCTTCTTTCAAACACACTTTTCTTCTCGCCTCGCTCGTCTTCCGTTTTCTAACCGAGGAGTCAGGACCAAAACGCAGTGGACATAAACCAGCAACTCCTCAAAAGACTAAACTCGCAATGGAGCGTGTGGCGATGCAGCCATTCGTCCTCTTCCGCAGGAATGCCTCCGTCCGAGGTGTGTGCCTGCAGCAGCACAGCGCCCTTTGCCAGTACCGGCAACAGCGACTGCTTCCCAGAACCTTGAGGCAATCGAGTTATAGCACGGCCTCCAAAAGTACATATCTAAGGAGCGGTATCACTTCTGTCAGTAGCAATCGGATTCTTACAGTGAACCAGAACCTGCTCAGATCTTTCAACCAGACACAGACACAGCGACGACCGCGGGCGGTGGGGTTGGCATTGGCGCATGGAAGAACGGAGGAGGTTCGTACTCGAAAGTACTCTTCAACAGCAGCAGCAACGACAGTCTCATTCGGGGACGACCCTTTCAGTTCAAACGCGCAACGACGACGGCGAGCATTCAATTCTCCCCAACCACCAGCATCCTCACCCTCATTATCGCCAGCAAGTAAAGCACAGACAACAGCACCAGCACCAGAACCAGAACTAGAACCAGAAGGAGTAGAAGCACCAGCAGCAGTATCCTCCACAGATATACGCGTGATCGACATAGACAACTCCATCGTCGCCCACGCGCCCGTCGAGCTCTCGACCGAACAACGGTTCCTGATTGACCAAGTTATCCACAAAAAGAAATCCGTGTTCTTCACGGGCTCCGCAGGCACGGGTAAATCTGTATTGTTACGACAGTTGATCGAGGAACTCAAGGAGCATTATCTACCGGGACAGGTCGCGGTGACGGCATCGACAGGAATTGCGGCGTGCAATATTGGAGGGTGCACTTTACATTCGTTCGCGGGCGTTGGTATAGGGACGGGGACGGTCGAGCAGTTGATCAAGAGATTAGATGATAACAAGAAGGCTAGGGGGAGGTGGAAAAGGACTAAGGTGTTGATTATTGACGAGAGTAAGTTGTTTCGCATGCTAATGTTCTTTTATCATGGTGCTGTTCTCTGTGAAGCACTTGATCACTTATAATCGCATTTCTTTGTTGTTGATGTTCATTGAATAGTCTCGATGGTTGACGGTGAGCTGTTTGATAAGCTGGAGCAGATTGCACGGAAGTACAAGCGGAGTAATAAGGCTTTTGGTGGCATTCAGGTAACACCTTCGGAAACTCTTCTCACGACCCGGTTGACGAACTCCTCTGTCATTATTTTCAGTTCGTTGACACCTTTTTCACTGTATTTGTGTTTCCTCGTAGCTGGTTATAACGGGTGACTTTTTCCAGCTGCCTCCTGTCGCCAGCAGCTCGTTCGGTCCTCAAGGCCCCACCTCGGCTCCCTCCCCGACCGCAATTCATTCATGGGTGAAGACCTCCCGCTCGACCACTACCATCATCAAACGCGCCCCCACCTCCTCTTCCTCTTCCGACTCCAAGCCGTTGTATGACCCCCCCTTCGACGATTTTGCGCTCTCTGAAGATGATCTCGACCCCTATTATGCAGCCCCACCTCTTCTCGGCCCCGATCCTACAACAGAGGCGGCAGTAACGCGACCGAAGCTATGCTTCGACGCCAAATCCTGGAACGATTGCATCAACTACACTCTCCAACTAACCGAAGTCTTCCGCCAGCGCGATCCACGATTTATTCAGATGCTCACAGAAATGCGCCACGGCAAACTATCCGATACAACCTGCGAGATCTTTAAGCAACTTGAGCGAACCCCGCAGTACCCTGATGACGGGATCCAGGCCACCGAGTTATTTGCGTTAAGACGACAGGTCGATCAGGCAAATCAACGATATTTGGCTGCACTCCCGGGACCGGTGTATGTGTATGAGCCTAGGGATGACGGCCCATTGAAGGAGTTTATGGAGAGGGCGTGTATGGCCCCGTCGAAGTTACAGCTCAAGGAGAACGCACAGGTGATGTTGATTAAGAACTTGACGCCAACGTTGGTGAATGGGTCCATGGGACTCGTTGTGGGATTCCAGGAGGATCGGTCGTGGGATGACGAGAGCGCAGAGTGGGTGACGAGTCGGTTCCCGGTCGTGAGGTTCCAGGGTGAGGAAGTGGACTTAGTGATTAAGCCGGAGGAATGGAGGATGGAGCTGCCGGATGGTGAGGTTATGGCGTCGAGGATTCAGGTTCCTTTGATCTTGGCTTGGGCTATGAGTAAGTTATATCACTCTTCCGCACGTCTTGTTGGTTTCTTAGTAACCTAGCATTTGTTCTTTGTGAAGAATTTACTCTAATGCCTCTCTCCCTCCTCCGCCTCGCTTCCCCTACTCACTCGTCATTAATTCGTTATATAGGTATCCACAAATCGCAGGGACAGACGATGGAGAGACTAAAGGTCGATATGGGCAAGATCTTCGAGGCCGGACAGGCCTATGTGGCCCTGTCGCGTGCGACCTCACTCGCAGGATTGCAGGTCCTGAATTTCAATAAGCGTTCTGTTCAGGCTCATGAGCGCGTTGCACAGTTCTATGATGGCCTCGTTACAGTCCAAAGACTCATGGAGCAGCAAATGAACCAGCCCAAGAAAAAGGCAAGCAGGAGGAAGAAGGCTTTGACAGAAAAGTAACATTGGCAATGGGGGAGCAATCTAAAAAAAACAATAAAAAAAAATATGAAAATAATAATAATAATAATAAATTGCCTTGCGGAGTAAATTTTTTTGGGCGTGTATGGACAAGCGGCCTTGGTAGCCACGGTTGTAAACGTTTTTTTTTTTTTTTTTAAAGAAAACGTCGTAGACTCTTTCGAATCTACCACGATCCTTTTCAATGATATTTTTTGTCCGTAGCTCATTTCTGAAAAAATGTTCGCGTTTATTCGTTATTCTTCTCTTTTCTTTTTTTCTTTTTTTCTTTTTTTTCTTTCTTTCTAGATGCTGCTGAGTAATGGGGGGTTAGAGTGAGGAGGTGTTTAAGTGGAGAGTTTTCTGTATATAAAAAAAAAAATATCCGTCTAATAGAATCTATGTTTTGCTTTTTGTCCAAAAAAAAAAAAAAAAAAAAAAAAAAAATTATGTGCTTAACAGGAAAGAAAATAAGATGAAGAATGGGGAGACGAATATAATAAATAAGGTGCAGTCGGAATGCAACTATGCTGAATGTCGTCGAAAAACAGAGGTGAAAAATTACACCCCTGAGCAAAGCGGAGTGGAGCGGGGGCGGAGCGAAGCAAAGGAAGGAAGGAAGGAAGGAAGGAGAGCACAGCATCGGCGGTGTTTTTCTCTGTCAGTTAGAGACCGAGTTCCCGCTTACTATACTCGTACACGACATACGAGATACTGACAGCTGGTACGACCTATTGAGATAAACAAGAGTAACGAATGCCCATGTTTATAAGTCAGGCGTCCAAAGGGTGCAAAGTTCGTGTTGAACAAAAAGAACAAGAAGATCAGACTGATGCAGTACCTTGGTGAGTGTGGGGACCATGCCCTTGTAGAATCCACGAAGACCTTCCTGCTCGTATGTTTTTCTGAACACATCGAGCGTAGAAGTATACGTCTGCGGATGATGAGGTGTTCCTTGGGCCTGCAACCTATCGTAGAAAAAAAAAGATAAATAGATAGATCGTCAAGGCGTTAAAATCTAGCTCATCCCGTATCCATACGCTGAAGATCATGCTGCAGAAAAAACATAGCAGAGAATACGATCCTTGTTCGATCTGGATTTACCTCGTACGAACAAGACTCAGTGGATAAACGCTCGTCGCACCCACACTCCCACTGACGGTCCCGCACGCCAACAACACAAACACGCTCGGTCTCTCCAACGATTTTTCCTCACTGCCCTCGTCTCCCTCGTGCACTCCGGCCTTCCACCGCATGTATCCGAACTTGAGTGTCTCAAACACGGACAAATCAATCGCCGCATATGGGAAGATGCCCACGAGCGACGGTCCCAGCCCGCGATAGAACCCACGTAGCCCTGCCTTTTGCCACATCTCTCGCGCCACAGAGCGTATACACGGCTTCCTCGCTGTTGTTGCTTCTGCTAGTGTCTTCGTTGATGCTGCGGTAGGTAATGAAGGTGCAGATCCTGAAGGTAAAGTTGCTGAAGATGCCGCTGTTATTCCTGGCCCTGCTGACGACGCTCTCTGACCTCTTTTGGACCTGCCTGTGGAAGACATAATTCTCGTCTTGATCGTTTCAAGCGGGTAGATCGAGAACTGCGACACCACTCCCGCAATGCCTCCTGCCAAGAACCGTCCCGAGGTCGCAATATCTGGAGGATGATGCGGCTTCGCGCCTCCATTGTTCGATCCTGAGCCTGCTGTCGTCGTAGTCACTGACCCATCCGAATGAATCTGATGATGATGTGGCTGCACTGTCAGCGACGGCAAATGGTTGACAATAAACGCCTTACTGGTCTCGTACGTATAGAACTTGATCGCTGACTCGGGTGCAATCTTGATAATATTGAGTCCATTGCCCCGAAAGAAGGTCTTGATCCCTCCTTGATGGTACAGTTCTATGAGGGCGTTCCAGAGCAGTCGCTGCTTAACCGGTGCAACCGCAGAGGCATTCGGACTGGAGAATTTGGGTATATACTTGAGACCCGCCTGAGCTGCCGGTCCTGTCAATGCTGGCACAGAGTTGGTGATGAGGTATACTTTGAGTCGATCCAGCGGAGCCGTAGCTAGTAAGAATCAAAAGTGAATAGCCAACGTAAGTCGTTTACTTCCTCAAAGTGATAACGTCTTATTGCGGGTGAGATGCTGCAGGAGTCCATGTCAACTGTTGAAAAAGTCCTTTACCTGTCCTTGAGACTGCACCAGCGATGGCTCCAGCCAACAGATATCTGGCGACATAGTCGTTCTCGGACGGAGGCATCACAACATCTCCATCGACTCCGACCTGTGCCACGACTTCCTGGACATAGTGATAGATATCTTTGAGTGTTGTTTCGCGTGGGAGTAACTATTGGTGATCAAGACAACGGAAAGAAAAGGTTGGTTTTGGATGAGATTATGTGACATACCTTTCCATGTCATGCATCCTGCATGCCATGAAATGAATGCATGAAATGAAATTAAAGAGAAGTACCCGAACAATGCCCAAAGCTCAAAAGGAGAAAGAGAAAAAAAGAAGGGCCGAAGCGTTTGCAACCCCATCTTCCCATGCTAACAATAGATTGATATTGTTTTTTCATGTTGATGAATGTATGCCGTCGCTGCTATTGCTGTTGTTGCTGCGTGCAATGTTCAATCTCTGTGTTCACTTTTCATTACTTGATCACCCCATCCCTGCGCCATCTCTTTTACCGAAACTGCTGCCTCCAAAAAAGATTGTAAATCCAGGTCGCCTCCCCCTCTTGATCTGCCGGTCGTCGTAATCAATCGTGGCACCATATCAATTGCTTTGATGTCCAATGATCTCTCCACGATGTCCAGACTTGAGTCTGGATCGTCCCAAAAGACACGTAAGTATTTCCCAATCGTTTTAGGCACTTACTACCAAAAAGTCGCGCCACTCCTCATAGTCAATCATTCCATCACCATCTTTGTCCATGGCCTTGATAAACCGCTGCAGTTCGGCTTCAGACATGTTGATCCCAGCCTTGGCCAGAGATGCCTGCAATTCTTCGGGCTGGATTTCTGTTGCAATTGACAGAGAACGAGTCGAGCAGGAGAGGAATACTTTTCATTAGCGTCCTTACTCTCCTTTCAGGAAAATAAAATAAAAAGGAGCAATTTAAACAGTAGAGGACTCACCATTGTCATTGTTATGGTCGATCTCTCTGAAGAGGTTCCACAGCCTCTCCTCCTTTTCCTCGACAAAAACCTCGAATTCATCATACCCGACCTGTCCATGATGTCGATAGCTCTCGCCCAGATAATCCGATCCGTGACCATGGTCTCCATGGCTATTGTCGGCATAATCCGTATCCGATATGTCTTGTTCGGCACCATGGCTATGACTATGACCATGACCATGGCCGTGGTCCTTGTCATCCATGGATGGTGCGCCGTCGTGGTGGTGATGGCGGCGGTCTTTATGGTTCCTGGAGTGACAGAGCTGCAGCAACTCATCCGCATAACGTCGCTGTACATTCTTGTCCGGGGTGACCTCTGCAAAGAATCCGACGAGCGAATCTGTGTCCAGGAATCCGGATCGTTGCTGATCCAGCTGGTTGAATTGCTTGCGGATCCGGATCTGACGTTCCTCTCGAGTTTCGTGATGAGGGCGGTCGCTGATCCTGCGCCTGGTCTGTTGTGAATCCCCCTGTTCCTGTGTTTCCGTTCCTTTTTGCTTTTGTAAATGTAGCTCCTTGGCCTCTGCAGACAGGAACGTGGGATCAGAATCGGATTCTATGTTGACAGATTCTGATTTGGATTTCGGTATTGAAGAGGAGGATGGTAATGACGCTGATTGATCCGATGTATTGGGTGCTGTTGCTGTTACTGCTCCTGCTCCTGCTCCTGCTCCTGCAGAGGCTGCAGAGGCTGTCGATGTGATACTGGTAGTGGTGTCCTGGTGATTACTGGTGGGAGCGGCGGCACTAGTCCCGGAGGTATTAGCTGCTGACTTTTTCTTGGGTGTCATAGGCAGGTCCATGAGCTTTATGGAGGTGCGATCCTTGGAGGTCTCTGCAGGACTAGGGCCGGGGCCGGGGCCGGGGCCGGGGTCGGGTTCCGCTGCTGTCGACATTGTTCCTGGTGCTGATAATCGTTTTCTGTAAAGAAGAGTGGGGAAGTGAAGGAAAGAAAGAAGGGGGGGAGAAAGAGAGTATGTGTGAAGAGAAAAGAGAGTAGAAGAGAGAGAAGGAGCGGAGAAGAGGAAGAGTGAGCGAGTGCGAGAGTGGGGAAGCGAATCGAATGATTGCAAACAAACAAACAAAAAAAAGGACGTTGTAATGGTGCGGGGAAGTGAAGAAAAGGATCAACCTTCAACCAACAATAAAAAAAATAATTCTTTCGTTGCTACATCTCCGAACGAAAAAGAAAAAGAAAAAGAAGAGTGTTACAATCCAGCTTGTTCAATTGCGCCGGAGAAGAGGGCGAGGGAAAAGTAGAGAATAAAGCCATCCCCATCATGAGCGCCGGTACTACTCCAGTTTACTGCTCGTTGTTCCTGTATAGTCTACCTTTGCTGCTCGTATCCTTTCAATCGTCAGTGAGGCCATTGTGTGCTCATTCAATCATCGATTCACACGAAGGCCACATTAAAGTATTCTATTGGGACTAAAAATAAAATCCACACCACGGAACAAACACTGGAATGATAGCACCGCTTGTAGAATTCTGTTCCTCTTTGTCTTAAACTACTACTCGAGACAGGGGCAGGAACCCATACAGAAACAAACTGTGCCTGTTTCTCCTTCGCTTCTGGGGTCAGATGTCTGTCCCACGGGTACGTTTGAATGTTCATATGTCTGCACAAATGGCTTTTTCTTTCTTTATCTCTCTCACGCACGCCCTCGTACTCTTTCTCATTTCTACAGCAGAAAATAGCGTGCGAGTAGAAAGAGGAAATAGAGTGCTCTCTTCTATACGCACGTGGACATTGTCCACGAGCTCCAGTTGATAGGCAATGGACGGGTGCTTTGTTGCTTTTGACTGTGCACCCATCGTTGGAGCATGCATACACCCGCCCCAATACCTTTCCGTAGCTCACCCGACTACATGGAACGTACCTGCTGCCGATATGTATAGTCCAATCGAGAAAAGCAATTGGATTTTATTGTCTGTCTACATGATGAAGCCGGGTATCAGTGAAGGCGACCTATGGACGCGTCACCATGGATATTGTCCATTGGGAATAGACTAGATCCGCCTGGAGCATTCGCAGCCGCAGTGTTCAACAAAAGCTCGTCAGGTGTCAATGGTTGCTTAGAAAGTTTTGACTGTATCGGCTTCAGGGCCGCTGTTTGTGCCCTACGTGGCTGTGTCGATGATGTATATTGCCCTTGTTGTTGGGGTTGTGCAGGTGTCTGTGCGGTGACAGGAGTAATTTCAGTTGGCAAGACTGGAATGCGGTCATGGCCCAAGTCGTGACCTAGATGCGGATGGTAATGCTCTGGTGGATGTGGGTGTGTCAGACTGAGTGTCTGCAACGAACACAGAACAGGGTGCTCTGTTGGGTTGAGATTCAAGTCCAACGAAGGTCTTTTTGTAACGGTCTTTGGCGGTACGATGTCATCTTGATGCAAACTGGGTGCGCGTCGACTCGAATCGTGAGAATGTGGACTTTGGAGTGCATGAGAGATATGGATAGGAAGCAGATTATGGTGGTGGGGTTGATGATGTTGTGCGTGCAGATGCCTAGAGGACGATCCCGTTGTGTTCTGTCCGAAATATCCTCCACCGCTTGAATGTCCATCCGCTGAGGTCAGCTCCAACGGTGTAATTGGCGCAGAAGCCCCCATGTGAGGACGCAGCATAGGAGAAGCACGTGGAGAGATCCCAAGTGAGGGTGTACCCTCACCCGATCGTAGTGCCGCCGACAGTTTACCATGGGGCGTTGAGCAGGTGGACGATGATGACGAAGGATGGTGTGTATGCTGAACTGGATGATAAAGGCATCCAAAGGCATCGTGGAGTGCGCTTTTGATCATCTTCGAGTCTTGCGATGACGAAGAAGCTGTAATAACTCCTAAAGGGGGCAAGGCGCTGAGAGGAGTCGCGACAGCCGACAATGATGGTGATGAGCAGCTCTGACCATGTGGTCCATTCAGGGGATTCGGCTGCAGCTGTTGCTGGTGACCAAGTTGTGCAGGGTGGCCTTGCAAAGCATCGTCCTGCCCATGTTGCTTCTGGCTCCCTTGGCTGGCAGAAACATCCGTATGGGATGTAATTTCAGACTGTGCCTCAGATGAAGGAACCGTGAGGAGTGTCTTTTGGGCGCTGCTGCTCGTGCGGGTCGTATTGATAGTCAGACTGGCCTTGCTCTCCGAAGGACTACAGTCCTGCAGGAGCCGGTTTTGGCCATTGGAGGACGTGCCTGGTGAAGCGATTGTCAAATGCGAGACTCCGCTCAAAGACAGCCCGTTAAGAGTATCGACTACAGCATCGTTGGTATCTGACGGATGGTCGTGCGCAGGCCATGGTGTGACACCATCCTTCGAATGCGGAGAAGGTACTGAGAGGTCGTCCTTGGACGGCTTGCTGTTCAATAACTTGGATTCCTTAGGCTCCTTGGAAAGGTGAGGCATCCTCCGATGAGTGGCCACGTTTGGGAAGAGCATGACAGACGCCATTGTATTGGTTTGATTCTGTAGGGTGAATGGGCGAAAGAGTATATCGATTGAGAGTAAGAGAAGGTGAAAGAGGGTTAGGAAGTAGTGGTGAGAAATAGAAGAGAGAAGGAGAGAAGGCAGCGGGTAACCTCTTGACATTCTTCTTCTCCTTCTTTCTCTCCTTCCTCACTTCATGAGGGATCGCTTTCTGCTGAGGCATTTTTTTTTCTCCATCCTCATTACCTCCCTTGTATGCTTGCTTGATTCGGCTTTCTTTTTCGCTCATCACACCCTTTATTTTTTATCTTCTCTAGTGTGCACGTCAGGCCGCATTGGCCAATCGATTTGAATTCGCCCATTTTCGTCCATGCGTGACCCGTAAGGGATTGGCATCTTTGTATGTATAACCCCGCAGTTGCTTGCTGTCTCCTTTTCCCTTTTCTATCCCCACCACGAACATCGTGAACACCGCAGCCACTGCCAACCGCAGGAACCACAGCCAAAGAGAGCCAGCCACCAGCATCCAGACCATGCCGATCGCACATCAGTTCAGGGCGTTCGCGAGCAGCTCCAACCTGCTCCTCGTCACCAACATCGTCACCGTCTCTTCCATGGGCATCTTTGCCGGTTCAGCCCTCAACTACAATACTATCATCATGCCCTCACTCCGCAGGTTTGCCTCGGCCTCGTCGCTCTCCGTCTGGGCTGAAATGTATCTTCTCGCCAGACGTACGTCTTTATCTCTCGCTCCGCTCAGTTGACGATCCCCTCCAGTGCTTTTGGCTCATGCTTGATCTAATTGCCGTAGCCATCTCTCCCTCCTTCCTTCCTGCGTTCAATTAAATGGACATAGCTATCCATATCACAAACATCGTGATCAGTGCGATCGGAGGTTCGACATTGTACTACCACACCAGGAATCCTTATTATCTCGCCGGAGCTGCCATGATGGCTCTCATTGCACCTTACACGACAACGCTACTTTACCCGATCAACAACAAGCTGCTGGATGTCCGCAAACACGGTCGGGATGACCTTGAGGTCGAGGAGATGCTAATCCAATGGGACGCCATTCATTTCGGCAGGACGTTGCTGAGCTATGGAGCCATGGTTGTTACACTCTACGCAGCATTGCGTGGGCCCCGGACTCGAATTGTCTTGTAGAAATAAATGCCCTCGAAGAGGTGTACGGAAAAATAAAGATGAGGTTTGGCAGATTCGGAAAGGAGATATCGATGGACCGTGAGAAACGATTACCTCACGTTTTTGCTTGTGCCGATTTCCGCATGTGGAGATCCACCCGCTTCTCGTTCCCCTGGTAGATCTCTCTTTCCACTGTGCAAGTACGGGAATGTGGCATACCAGGGGCACATTTGGAACATAAGAACTATATAGATTACAACGCGTGTCTACATTCTCTAAAGACATGCCTCATCTGTCCACAGGATGATCCTTTTATCCCCTCACTTCTCTACTGCTACTGTGCAAAAGATCCTTCGATCCTTCCTTCAATCACCGGGCCCATCCGCAGTGCCCTATCTCTAGCCATGTTTATATTGGATTCCGCAACATGTTCCAACGCTCGATCGCCTACCGTTAGTCATTGAGCTTCTTTTTTGAACTCTTGTTGACCGAAAGTTTGAATTTTGTCGCGCCTGTGCTTGCTTCGCCAACTTGGAGTAGCGTCGAGAATGGGCCAGGGATTAACCTAGCCGGGTTATGGCCGGGCCCATAAAAGCTCCATGAACCTCAAAGTAGCCTATCCATTTCATACTTAATACACACCTTCCTTCCCATCACCCTAGCTCTGGCTCTTTCTCATCAATAGCTTACCCAACGTATACCTCAATCCACCAAAACATCACAGGACTCAGACTCACGATCCTATCCGTTCTCACTCAATTACCCCTTTCATTTCAATACACACGAAGCACACAGATGTTCGCCGCCATCTCCCTTCAAGTCCTTAACCTCGGGCTAAACGTGCTTGGACTGATCGATCTTGATTATACTCCTGGAGCGCTCGCTGATAACGTATGCCCATACGGGAAGTCCATATTGCAACAGCATTCGATGGATTCACCAAGGAGGGCTCTCGGACATATTTCATGCCGTTGCAGAGTCCCGCGACGCTCCAAGAAAGGTCAGGGTGACAATGTCTTTTGTGTTGATGATGACAATGCTCGTCAGCTTTTCGACTACAATTCTCACTCGTGTCATCAAGTCAATAACAATGTTCGGGAAAGCATTTATCGTCAAGGCATTCGCCCCTCGATACATCATCTACACGGGAGTCTACATCATCCCGGCATGGACACGTAATATCCCAGTCGGGGATAATGTGATGGGTGCGATCATGTCGATGTTTGGTATCATCAAAACTGTGCCGGAAACAGAGATCAGCTATTACTACAAGTTCCATAAGTCCAGCTACTACGTCGTTTGCAATGCAATGAGTCTGTATTACAACGATAGTATCACAGGAATATCATCAAGCCCAAGCTGCATGAGTCTCGAAATTCAAGGCTGGAATCCGATGCGCAGCTTACTTGCGCCCAAGTTTGTGCTTGGAAGCGGGAGTGAGAGTGTTATGTATAAAAGAGATGGCGCAGCCAATATTATTGCCACATTCCTATCCTCTCGATCACCACTGAATGGACAGTTTATCTCCGGTTGACATACGATAAAATGCCATGCATTCTGATAGGCATGGGTACTTCTACGGCCCTCATATTGGGCAGTGACACGACTTCCTTGCCGACCACCGTAGTGACGACGTGCTGAACTGGCAAGGGCGAAATAGCAACCTTATCCATAACGACGGCTCGGTTCTCAGCAGACCTACTCTCGTTTAATGGCACCACGATTCCGCCCTCGACAGACCTGATCTCGTTTCGCAATACCACAACAGCAAAAACGCGCTGTTCGACAACCTGGAGGTGTCATTTCGTAATATTAATCTCAACAAAATCTCGGAACAAACAGCTGGATATATTGAATGGAACCGAAACTGAGATCGGGTTGCATCAAGGGGATCCTAATCGTGATTTGTTTTTACTCCAATTCCATGTCATCATTGCTTGACGTGTATTCCATAGTATCTTTTAGGCCAGGTTCATAGTACTTTTCCCCGAAGTCTTCTGAACCCACATCCCAGTCTTGGTCGAGGTAGTAATTCAAGGTCGTGTCTGTCTGTTATCTTCGGAAACATCCTCTTCAGTGTGGAGCCCAGTGCGCATCCTTGACTATCGCCTTCATCCAGAAATAGCGAATTCCGCTGACGATGGCGCTTGGAGGGAAAGCCAAGTCCTCGGTCTGGATAGACCATCGCCAAAAAGGGCCGAGAGCACGTCTCCAGTGTGGTTCTGTGTATCCCATCCCATGTTTCTTTAAGGAGTCGTATATGCCACTGAAGCGTTCGTCCCTCGATGGGGGCTTCTTTGGGAATTGAAGCAGCCTTTTTCCATGCGTCAAATAAGAGGATGTGGTAGCACGCCATGAACTCCTTGGCCAGTCCGACAGCCATTGGGAGCGACACCTCAAATGGTCCGCAGCATGATTCAATTCGGATATTCTGCAATTGAGGCTTGTTCATGAGAAGTATGTTCATATCGAACCTGAAATCCATTAGCAGCAGGACAGGACGGTCAAGCGAGGCATCAAATCTGTTCAGCCACAATGTGAGGAATTCCCTAGACCAATACTTCAGACCATCACTCTCAAAAACATACCGATCGAGCCAGCCCCTCCTAACTGAATTCCTCAGTAACATATGCACTGTGTTAGTGGGCAGAACGCGCTTGCTCTTGCCTGGATATCATTTCTTTCCACAACTGCAGACCTTCTTCTGACTCACCTGTAATATATAGCTCTCGCTTGTCCGATCCGGTTGCGTTGCAGCATAGCAAAACAGTCGCAATGCAAGTATCCACGCCGTAGTCCGTACCAGGTGGGCTGTGGACTCCTATCTTGCCTGATCGCTCCGGGCACAAAAACATGGTTGTTGTACGGGCGAAGTAGACATTATCCAGACTGTAGTCCTTAAGAGTGTCCTGCAGTTTTGGTCGGTGCCGCGCAATATCTTCATCCTTGAAGCAGACAGGCGATGTCTTGACGCCATGTCGCTTTTTGAATCTCTTGAGCCATCCTGATGTGAACCGGCAAGGCGGCAGTGACTCCAAGAGTATATCCGATACATACCTGTAAATGTTCAGTGCCAACGCTGTGATCCTTCTATCTGATATGGGAATACCATACCACCGCCAATAACCAACCCAAGCCTCGAGCACCCGTTCCAAGTCATCGAGTGGGCGTTCTGACGTGCGCTTCTCATCTAGAGCTGAGTAAGGACGCCATTCGTCGTATGCATAGTCCTCAATCTTGTCCTTGTTCTTGAATACGTCGTGGATAGTGGGGCGCTTCACGTCGAAGTGTCGACTGAGCGCTGAGATGGACATAAATGGGGTTTGCTCGTAGTATTTGATGATGTCGAGCTTTAGTTGCACCGGGAGGGCTGTCCTTGGCCGTTTCACCTTGCGAGGTTTAATAGCGGAGTCAGAGGATTGCTCGCGAGGATCGGAAAAGGAAGTCTCGGAGGCAGCTCGTTTGTGGTCGCTTGCAAGTGGTACAGAGGGAAGCCGCTTCTGAGTTGAACGGTCCAATGCCTCCACTGCCTGCACGGATGTGGATATTTCAGAAGCCTAGATTAGACTGAGCGTATGCTGTAAACTGAGCGGCGCATCCATCTAGCATATTACCTGTATCAACAAAGTAGTCCCTACCTGTTGTCCTTCCTGTGGTCGGTTTCTCTGCTGCTGATAACGGTGCTGAGAGGGTCCTTGTTGTTGGCGTAGATGCGCCTTATACAGCATATCCACTTCTTCGCGGTATGAATGCAGCTGGTGACTTTGGGCCTCTAAAATTGGTCCGTTGGAGGGACTTGCAGGCAGTCGATCCAGGAACAGCACATGGTTGCCAGAAGCACTGGTCGGCAATTCAAGTGTAGAGCCAAGTGCTTCCTCCTGGGATGTGGAGGATGAAGTCTCAAGCGCTACTCGTGTATGCTGTATCTGCTGCTGCGTTTGTGATTGACCCATCTGCTCCTCCGTTTCATTATGTCTTTGTAGCCAAAAGTGAAAATCTTTCTCTGGGACTGTATCGGCGGCAGTCTCTGTAGGCAAGTGGCTAGAGCGAGACCAGAGATGCTGCTGGTGGGAAGTAGAAAATGAGGCCTGGGAAGCAGTTCGTGCATATGAAGGATTCTTAAATGGAGATATCAGTCTAGCTATATCTGCCTGGATACGAGGATATACAAGTCATACAGCGTCAATTATGTACATACTGTGAGTACTGTGTCCATCAGATGTGTTTCCGCAAGCAAAGGCCCAGGTAGGGTTAGAGTTGGAGTGGATGTCAGCGAACCCTGTTGCTCCATAGTTCTTTGGGTGTTCCTCTGGTGCTGAAGCCTCTGCAGGCTCAGCAGCTGTCGGCGGTGGTCTTCAATTGCAGTCTGGAGCTCCCAGTCACCGAGTGTGTCGAGGGAGGTGGTGTCGGAGGCTCGCAGACCTACGTAGGAGGGAGTCGTGTATCCAATGCTACCGGATAAGGTGCTGGCAGGCTGGAGTGCCTGAGATCGAGGATGGATGGCTCCATAGGGCCAGTTGCTACTGCCCTGGTCTTGTCCTTGAGGATTCACTTGAGGTCGCTGTAAGCTGTCCGTGGATAGAGAGGTGGTATCTGGACGCATTTGGGGTGTGCTTGGGGCGAAAGCGAAAGGCGAAGATGTTCTCATTCAGTGCTTTTGCAGTGAAAAGGTGGAGATGATATAGAGCGAGAGGAAGTGGGGATGAGTGGGCCAAGAGGGCGAGGCGAAGCCCGGAATTTATATCCCTCCTTGAATGCACGGGGGGAGAGAACATACCATCGGCGCTGTCGGATTTGTGGCCCTTTTACAGTCCAGTGTTTATTCGGCTGTCGATTTGAGTGAACCCGTGTATGAAAACCATGGGCCTGTCGGATTTGTGGCCCAGTGTTTATTCGGCTGTTGAAATTTGCGGCGCTTTGCCCTCTTCGAGATTCCTCTGCTGTCGGATTTGTGGTTCAGCGTTCCAAATTGCGGCCCAACCCTGTCTCCTGCGACTCTGTCGGATTTGTGGCCTGTTGTTGCTTTGTTCATTTATTCAAAGGTTGCACAATTTACCGCACGCCCCAAGATGATGGCTGCAATCTAGAAATGCTATAATTATTATTGATTATTGCCCGCTGGTCGAGCCGCGTCGCTTTACCGACTTTTTCGTCGCGTATTTAACTCATGGGCGATCCCTCTTTTTTTTTTTTTTTTTTTTTTTTTCCTTCAAGACCCCCATTCTAATCGCAAACCACTCAGGGCAACGCCATTTTTCTGCAATACATCTTTGACACTTTACATCCTACACAAATCCCGCCTTCCACTCCAACCATGTCTCCCTCAACCAACCTTCGTCTTGTGTTACAGGTCCTGCAGCAGCAACTGCAGCAGCAGCTAGAACAGCAGCGACAGCTGCAACAGCAACATCTAAACCTGATGGCGATTCAAGCACATGACTCTGCGATGGATCTGGTCAGCCAGCCGCAGATTCCTGTTCATGTTCCTGCTCAAGCTCCTGTTCAAGTTCCTGTTCATGTTCCTGCTCAAGTTTCAGCTCAAATCCAAGTGCACGCTCCTATTCTGGCTCCACCACAAGACGAGGGCTCAGTCTTTCTCGAAGACATAATGGTCGATGTTACACGTAATCCTGTGTAGATCCTGTCAAGGTACCACAGATAATGGACAACACCCCTTCCGCTCTCGCTCCAGGAACACAGAAACTTTTCAGACCTTCAATACAGCATCCGCATCAATAAACACGTTTGTTCTCAAGTCTTCACTCTGAAGTATGAGATTCAGTCTACCTTCCCACCTATGGTTTGCTGCTCATGATCTATCTCGGTAATGACAGTCTTTCGAAGCTGAGTGCCGTCTTTCAAATGCTTGTTCGCCTTGAAGTCTCCTCAGTTTGTCGTGGACCCAGCCTATTACTGACTGAATCTAGTGGTATTTCACGAGCTGTAGCACCCTTTTAATTTAACAACGTTGAGACGTTCTTGTGCAAAAACAAATCCTTGCAAGCGACTTACAACCTATTGGCTTGCAGAAACTAGCCTGAATGGAACCATGATCATTGTCGCGGGCTTGTATACAAGAAAGTAGTTATTATTAATTGCCTATACATCAACATCCATGTTATTGTTGCCCGACCTGCCGAGCTACGACAGCAAGACGATCGATGGTTTAGATTAGAAATATGCGTACACCACTATTATTCTCATTGATCTCCCAAGCGCAACACTGGGCTGGGCTTTTTATTGCCAATACTAATAGTACTCGGTAGATGAGGAATGACCTATGAGGTGATAAAACACTTTTGCGTTGTTTGGGTCCAGTTTGAAGGTCCTGTAGCTCTTAGGAATAAATGATCGACATGTACTGCACTTTAGGAGATACTCAAAGGATTCTGGACTATATTAACCGTCGTGGTGACATCCGCCACCATCTTTGTGTGGACCAAGAGACCCTGCCAGGTCTACCAGGTCTACGCAAGCGTGTTCTATGATATCGCGAACAAGCCAACTGGTCCTCACTAGCGATGATTGTCAACAAGAGATCGATGCCTTTTGATGTTGGAGAAGGATTCCAAACGGACGCATATTGATTATCTTCCAGGGTTGGGAGTCTTTTACTTTTTTTTCAGAAATATAAGAAATTCATCAGTGCAAGGCTGGGCCCACATCCCAGTCTTGGTCGAGGTAGTAATTCAAGGTCGTGTCTGTTATCTTCGGAAACATCCTCTTCAGTGTGGAACCCAGTGCGCATCCTTGACTATCACTTTCATCCAGAAATAGCGAATTCCGGTGGCGATGGCGCTTGGAGGGAAAGCTAAATTCTTGGTCCGGATAGATCATCGCCAAAAAGGGTCGAGAGCAGGTCTCCAGTGTGGCTCTGTGTATTCCATCCCATGCTTCCCTAAGGAGTCGTACACGCCACTGAAGCGTTCGTCTCTCGATGGAGGCTTCATGGGAGGACGAGGCGGCCTTTTTCCATGCGTCGAATAGGAGGATGTGGTAGTACGCTTTGAACTCCTTGGCCAGTCCGACAGCCATTGGGAGCGATGCTTCAAATGGTCCGCAGCATTTTTCGACCCGGATATGCCGCAATTGAAACTGGTGCTGGTTATGTTCGTAGTTCTTATAGATGATGGTATCCATCAGCAGCAGGACAGGACGGTCAAGCGAGGCATCGAATCTGTTCAGCCACAATGCGAGGAATTTCTTAGGCGGATACTCCCCTCCTAGATCGGCAGGGGACGCGTTCGCAAACAGACCATCACTCTCGTAAACATACCAACCGTCAAAGCTCTCCCTAACTGAATTCCTCAATAACATATGCATTGTGTTAGAGTGAAGAACGCGCTTGCTCTTGCCTGGATATCATTTCTTTCCACAGCTGCAGCCCTTCTTCTGACTCACCTGCAACATGCAAATCCCCCTTGTCCGACCCGGTTGCATTGCAGCATAGCAAAACGCTCGCAATGCAACTGTCCATGTTGCCATCCGTACCAGGTGGGCTGTGGACTCCTATCTTGCTTGATCGCGCCGGCCATAAAAACATGGTTGTTGTACCGACGAAGTAGACATTGTCCAGACTGTAGTCCTTAAGAGCGTCCTGCAGCCCTGGGCGGTGCCGCGCAATATCTTCGTCCTTGAAGCAGACAGGCGATGTCTTGACGTCGCGTCGCTTTTTGAATCTCTTGAGCCACCCTGATGTGAACTGGCAAGGCGGCACTGGATACGAGAATAGATCCGACCTAAGCCTGTAAATGTTCAATGCCTGCGCTGTGATCTTTCTGTCTGACACTGGAATACCATTTCCCTGCCTTGACTCAATCCACTTTTTGAGCAGCCGTTCCAATCCATCGAGTGGGCTTTTTGACATGCGCTTCTCATCTAGAGCCGAATAGAGACGCGAAACGTCGTATGCATAGCTCTCGATCTTGTCCTTGTTCTTGAGTACGTCGTAGATAGTGGGGCGCTTCACGTCGAAGAGTCGACTAAGCGCAGAGATGGATACGGATGGGTTTTGCTCGTAGTATTTGATGATGTTGAGCTTTAGTTGCACCGGGAGGGCTGCCCTTGGCCGTTTCACCTCGCGAGGTTTAATAGCGGAGTCAGAGGATTGCTCGCGAGAATCGGACGAGAAAGTCTCGGAGGCAGCTCGTTTGTGGTCGCTTGCAGGTGGTACAGAGAGGAGCCGCTCCTGAGTTGAACGGTCCAATGCCTCTGCTGCCTGCATGGATGTGGATATTTTAGAAGCCTAGGTTAGACTGAGCGCCTGCTGTAAACTGAGCGGTGCATCCATCTGACACATTACCTGTATCAGCAAACTGGGTCCTGGCTGCTGTCCTTCTTGTGGTCGATTTCTCTGTTGCTGATAGTGGTGCTGCGAGGGTTCTTGTTGTTGGCGTAGATGTTCCTGCTGCAGTATGCCCACTTCTTCACGGTATGGATGCAACTGGTGACCTTGGACCTCTAAACTTGGACCGTTGGAGGGACTTGCAGGCACTGAATTCTGGAGCAGTACATGGTTACCGGAAACACTTCTCGTAAAATTAAACATAGTGTCAAAGGCTTCGTCCTGGGATGGGGTGGATAAAGCTTCGGGCACAGTTCGTGTATGCTGTGTTTGTTGTAGCATTTGTGGCTGCACCATCTGCTCCTCCGTTTCGTTTTGCCTTGGTAGCCAAGGGTGAAAGTCTTTCTCTGGGACTTCTTCCTCTGAGGCTGTATCGGCGGCAGTCTCTGTAGGCAAGTGGCCAGAGCGAGACCAGGAATGATGCTGGTGGGAAGTAGAAAATGAGATTTGGGAAGCAGTTTGTGCATGTAAAGGGTTCAGAAATAAAGATATCAATCCAACTATATCTGCTTTGATACGAGGATAGATAAGTCAGACAATGTCGATTATGTACATACTGTGAGCACTGTTTCCGCCGGGTGTGTTTCTGCAAGCAAAGACCCAGGTAGGATTAGAGTCGGAGTGGATGTCAGCGAACCCTGTTGGTCCATAGCTCTTTGGGTGTTCCTGGGCACCGAGTCGCCGAGTGTGTCGAGGGAGATGTTGTCGGAGGTTTGCAGACCCACATAGGAGGGAGTCGTGTATCCAATGCTGCCGGATACGGTGCTGGCAGGCTGGAGTGCCTGAGATCGAAAATGGATGACTCCATAGGGCGAGTTGCTACTGCCCTGGTCTTGTCCTTGAGGATCCGCTTGAGATCGCTGCAGGCTATCCATGGGTAGGGAGGTGGTATCTGGATGTGTTTGGAGTGTGCTTGGGACGAAAGCGAAAGGTAAAGGTGTTTTCATTCAGTGCTTTTACAGTGAAAAGGTGGGGATGATATAGACCGATAGGAAGTGGGGATGAGTGGGCCAAGAGGGCGAGGCGAAGCCCGGAATTTATATCCTTCCTTGGATGCTCAGGGAAGGGCATGTCATATCTGCTGTCGGATTTGCGGTCCTTTATCGGTTCAGTTTCTGAACCCTTTACCCTACAAGCAACCTTGCGCATTATCCTGCTGTTGCATTTTACCGAAATTGCGGTCCTGTGCCTGCTGTCGAGTGTGTCTAACTCTCATCTCATGGAGGAGTAAGCATGGGCCATGTTTACGACAGTACATGTACTCCCCAATATTATGATGGCTGGAACCAAGAAATACTATAATTATCATTACCTGCTGGTCCAGCCGCGTCGCTTTGCCGACTTTTTGATGCTATGCTTGGCCCATCTTAACCACTCTCCCACGCATTTATGTATTTAACTCATGAGCGATTCCTCTTTTTTTTTTTTTTTTTTTTTTTTTCCTCCAAGACCCCATTCCAACCGCAGACCACCCAACGCAACGCCATTCTTCTGCAATACATCTTTGACACTTTACATCCTACACAAATCCCGCCTTCCACTCCAACCATGTCTCCCTCAACCAACCTTCGTCTTGTGTTACAGGTCCTGCAGCAGCAACTGCAGCAGCAGCTAGAACAGCAGCGACAGCTGCAACAGCAACATCTAAACCTGATGGCGATTCAAGCACATGACTCTGCGATGGATCTGGTCAGCCAGCCGCAGATTCCTGTTCATGTTCCTGCTCAAGCTCCTGTTCAAGTTCCTGTTCATGTTCCTGCTCAAGTTTCAGCTCAAATCCAAGTGCACGCTCCTATTCTGGCTCCACCACAAGACGAGGGCTCAGTCTTTCTCGAAGACATAATGGTCGACGTTACACACAACCTGGTGTAGATCCTGTCAAGGCGCCAAAGATAATGGACAACACTCCTTCCGCTCTCGCTCCAGGAACACAGAAGCCTCACAGGCCTTCAATACAGTATCCGCATCAATAAACACGTTTGTTCTCAAGTCTTCACTCTGAAGTATGAGATTCAGTCTACCTTCCCACCTATGGTTTGCTGCTCATGATCTATCTCGGTAATGACAGTCTTTCGAAGCTGAGTGCCGTCTTTCAAATGCCTGTTCGTCTTGGAGTCTCCTCAGTTTGTCGTGGACCCAGCCTATTACTGACTGAATCTAGTGATATTTGACAAGCTGCAGCATCCTTTTTAATTTAACAACGTTGAGACGTCCTTGCGCAAAAACAAATCCTACAAACGACTTCCAGTCTATTGGCTTTGCAGAAACCAGGCTGAATGGAACTATGGTCATTGTCGCGGGCTTGTATACAAGAAAGTATTTATTATTAGTTGTCTATACATCAAGATCCATGTTATTGTTGCGTGACCTGCCGAGCTACGACAGCAAGACGATCGATGGTTTAGATTAGAAATATGTGTACACCACTATTATTCTCATTGATCTCCCAAGCGCAACACTGGGCTGGGCTTTTTATTGCCAATACTAATAGTACTCGGTAGATGAGGAATGACCTATGAGGTGATAAAACACTTTTGCGTTGTTTGGGTCCAGTTTGAAGGTCCTGTAGCTCTTAGGAATAAATGATCGACATGTACTGCACTTGGCGGACCTATCATTTATTTGAATCTTAGCAACGATAGAGAACATGATAACAAAGCTGTATGCATTCTTATATCTAGCATAACAACATTAGAAAATTATCCAGAAAACCCTATCGCACACATTTCTAGGCTAACACGACCGCAATAATAATATTCTCGCTTCTGCGTCCCAAAAAAAATAAAAAAAGTGTATGAAGCGCGTAGCACTCATCTCGAAATTTGTATACCCCCCTTCTTCGCCTTTGTTTTGCTCATACATCCTCCACCGCAAAGCAAGCGAGAAATTCGGAGAAGTGTCAGTAGTGAGGTAGGCATCGATATTGGAGAAACGTGGTGAAAATCAATAAGTACGCATAAGCAGACGTAGACAGCATGCTCTTTACCAAAAAAAAAAAAAAAAAAAAAAAAATAGAACTACTCTTTCATGTATCAGAACACTTTGCCTTCTCATAGCCTACACAGGGCATGCTAATCTGGCCAGGCGATGTATTGATGGAGAAAGCATAGAGACGGATGAAACGATACAGATTGAGCTTAAAGGAAAAGAAGGGTCCGGCCTCACATCGGAGCTCAAGAATTGCATCCAGTTCATCGACGGTGCGGCAATGATGCCGGGAAGGTGTAGGGTTTAGGCTGAAGGTATTTGTTGCCGGACAGGCATGAGGTAGACAGATTACATTACCATTCAGACCATATATAGACATTGTTCCTAATTTACCTTAATATTGCTTTCGCTGCATCTTCGAAGTAATAGAAGTGTTTACGCGACTGAACAACGTTCTGACAGCGACTAAGGATTGTTTGCCCACGAATATGTACCATTTTGACACTCTACTGGGGTACCACAGTGATCTTGCCGCGTTCCCCGTTTTTTTGTCGCGCTCTCACAATTCGAACGCGTCTCGTGAACGTTCTTGACGCGTTCTTACAAGGTTCTATAGACGACTGTCAAAACGCACCGCTTAAGTACTTAAGCGGTGCGTGCGTCGCTGCAAATAGCAATTTTTTTTTAGCATCCTGCCATCCAGACCCCTTCACCTCCCTTCCGTTCCTCTACGAACACACATACTGTCTTTTCCTTTCTCTTTTCTCTCTCACTCTCACGCTCTCCCTCGCTTATCCAAGATATTTGTTCAAATACGTCATCGAAAAGAACCATGTCGCTTTCATCATACTTCAACGCACTGTTCAACGGCCAGAACATTTTACTGGTCACCAAAACCGTGACGATCGCTTCGATGGGTATCGCGGCCGGGGCCGGATTGAGCTACAACGCCATGATCATGCCAGCGGTCCAAAAATTCTCGCCCATGAACGCCCTCGCAGTCTGGTGTGAGTGCGCCTTCCCTGCTATGTGTACGTATTCACAAAAGACTGTATATGTATATGCATTCGATAACATTATCAAGACCAAATGCTTCGATAACTCATTTGTACGAGTCACTAAATCATGACCCAACTGACACCCAAACGCTTTTCTACGCGTTTCTCCTTTCACAATTAGTGATCCAAATCACCGCAATTGCGACGAGTGTGATCGGAGGAACGATTGTGTACTACAAGACCAAGAACCGGTCCTTCCTATACGGCGCCATGATCATGGCCTCGGTGCTTCCTTATACGGGAGTGATGTTCTTCCCGATCAATAGCGAATTGTTTAGGATGAACAAGTCCGGGATTGACGACGGCACGGTTTGGGAAAAGATGCAGCAGTGGAACAGGAACCAGTATGGACGCGTGTTGTTGAATGTTGCGGCCATGGTCGTTACGCTCTTTGGAGGGTTGCAGGGCAAGACGAAGACCGTCTAGAGATCGCCAATTGGTTTTTAGTACATAGAGAATTTGGTGTAGAAGAATGGCTGCTTTGTGTGCAAATGCAATAAATTCACTTCCATAGCGGACAAAATGCCGTCATTCGATGCATGAGTCTTAGGGTCTTTTACTCATTCACTCATTCGGTAACAACAACAACGACGACGACACCTTACCCATTCATTCGAATCCGCGCACCATGGGACAGAGCTTCAACCCGCAGGGCATTCTGCAGGCATTCCGTGTCCTCGCATCCCCTCGTCTCATGATCCCGAACCTCGTTGTCCGAGGTAAAGCAATTCGCATTTGCAATTACAATCACATCGCTCTGCATTCCAGCCCCTTTCCCTTCACTTCACTTCCCTTCTCTTTAAACACATTATATAAGAGATATAAAGACATGAGTGATACATGAAGAGACTGATACAGGTACTAAACGACCAACCGATTTCTGCTTCTACACAAACGGTTCTGTCGGGTAGACATTCGAGACATCAATTTTGAACAGCTCCGCAAGTCAGGGATCGTCGCTATTGCCTTCGACAAGGATAACTGCCTCACACGTCCCTACGGCGCCGACCTGCACCCTCCTTTCAAAGTAGGCTAAAAGAACCCCCCTCCCCCGCGTGTCTTGAGAGGGTTGACACTTGATTTTTACTCTGCAGTGATCTACCGATCCCAGCCCTGACGATCTACCTAAACATTCCCCTCCCCTTTTCCAACAAAAAAAAAAAAAAAAAAAAAAGGACGCCTGGAAGCGCTGCCGATCAGTCTACGACTCCCACCTAGTGATCATCTCCAATTCGGCAGGCACACCCGATGACAAGGACCACAGACAAGCCCAGGCAATCGAACAAGCCCTTCAAGTCCCAGTGCTGCGACACCAGCAAAAGAAACCCGCCGGCGGAGAGGAGCTGTTGACTCATTTCAGTGGGATCCAAGCCCCGAGGATCGCGGTTGTGGGCGATCGAGCACTGACGGATGTGGTGTTTGGGAATAATTATGGAATGTTGACGATCTTGACGAGGGACGTTGTCACGGAAGAAGGGGATAATCCGATGGCTGTTAGGGTAAGCGAAGCGATCCCTCCCTCCCCTCCCCCCTTTGTTTATCAGAATTCGTGAGGGAGGAACGTTTACAGCGTTCAGTAAAAATGGATCTAAAAAGAAAAAAAAGAAACTGAAACTGAACTTTTGCGGTTGAAATACTTAGATCCGAAGAATGGAGCACAGGATACTGGCGTTCCTGGACCGGTTGAATATCAAACGACCGGCACACCTGATTCATATCGATCTGCATGCGGTGGTGATGCAGACACCACCGGAACCGGAGACGAAGGAGGAAGAGAAGGCTCAGGCGGCCATTGATGCCAAGGAAGCTGCTGCTACAGATGCAGAGGCAAGGAAAGATAAGTAAGACCACATCAAAAGGATCCGGGTCGCCGTCGTCGTCGTCGTCGTCGTCATCGTCGCGGGGGGGTCTTTGGATACAGAAACAAGGTTAGAGAAGCCATCAGATGCCATCGTCGTCATCGACGTCGGCAGCACGCTCTACGTCCCGACCATACAAGAGTTGAAAATAGAAGAAGGTCGGGGGGCTGGATATAGGAGCGTGTACAAAGAATAAAGAGGCGCTGTTGGTGCGTTTTTTTTTTTTTTTTTTTTTTTTTCGCACGAGAGAGTAAAAAAAAAATGCTTAGACTACTTATTGTCGAGGACTCTATGTACTCATGCACACGCCATGGTCATAATCACAAGGATTTATTTATCCAGTTGGACATGAGACTTTTTTTTTTTTTTTGGAAGTGTAGCACATTAAAAAAGGGTCCAAAGGGGGATTTCTTTCTCTTTTCTCACGCACATCATCCTCACTATATCCACTCACACACCCTCGCTTACTTCTCCTTTCTCTCTCTCTCTCTGCCCCGCTTCAAGAATGTCTTCCTCAGCAACCGAACCTACGAACACTGCTGACCAGCAGCAACAGCAGCAGCAGCAACAGGGCAGTCAGAGTCAGGCGGCACCTGCTTCAAACACAGCTCACGATACCACCGTCGGCCAGGGGACCCCCTCGACCACGGACCAAAAGGAGCTTCCAGTATCGAGGGAGGAGACCACGGAGGATGGCGAAACTGTCCATAGTATCAAACTTGTTGGACACTTCAAGGGTGTCCCTGGCAGACATTGAGCCACTGTCGACAACTGGCATCCTCTCATTCTCCAATACAACATGGAGGGCAACGGAGGAGGACGTCAGGCGATAGACTATACACATCAACGGCCCCCCTCTTTTTTTTTTTGTTTTATTCTTCTTACCGCTAATAAAAACCTGAAGGACGGGCAACGCAAATGTGCATTTATTCAATGGTGTGCTTTTTGGTGCCGTGATTGGCGTCATTTGAAAAATTGTCATAAGAGTTCGTGTGTATGATGTGCTATGTGTGTGGTGTGTGCTGGGTAATATGCTGCAAAAGAATAATATAAAAAAAGTGAGAGACAAAAAAAGACGATCCTAATAGACGATACGAACGTCCTCATCCCAGCTCTCTTCTACCGCCTCCTCCTCTCCCTCCTGTGTCGCCGCCATCGATCTCCTCCGCGCCTTCCTCTGTGTCCTATTCAAGATCGGATACAAGGCCTCCCTGCCATACCAGGCCCTCTGCCTCGATGCCGCAATCTTCGACATCGTCGACGCTTTGCTCCCAACTAATTCGTCCGCGTGTGCCAGCACCGCCGCATCGATCAAGGCCGGTCCGAATGGGCCCCACAACTTTGCGGTCCCATACTTCTCATGATCGAGTCGATGCCATCCCAGCTCCTGGATCTTTTGGAAATCGTGCTCGGAGGTTGTGTCTGTAGTCACGACGACGGGTAGTCGGGAGACGAGTCCGCGTTTTGCGGCGGCCGTCCGTGCGCGGGCCACGGCGTCGATGTAGTGCTCGAATGGGACCAAACACGAGTCCATGGTCGTATCGGTGCATTTCGAACCGATGTCGCTCCTACGCAGATGCAGAGCGATATGGGGGATCCGTGTCAGGGGTGCTGTGATATTCTCCGCCGCTGGGTTGGCGATCACTCCGGACTCTGTTGCGTTTTCATTCAGGTTCTCGGGGAGGTTCATCTCGATGGGAACCTCCAATTCCGGGAACACCTTTTCCTCGGGATCGTCGTTGGCGATAACGACGATTCCCTGATCGCGTTGCAGCTCCTCGTTGATCTTCTCAGTCACATACTCCATTATTTGCGGTACGAAATGGATGTTCTTCCCAATCTCGTTCCAGATTCGGCCTATATGCCCAGGGTCCTTGAGCTTGAAGGTATTGCTGAGCATCAACACATGGTCCTCGTTATCGGCGTATCGCGCCAACAAGTCATCTATTGCGACCAAGTCGTCGAGTCCCGTGGTGAGGCCTGTCAGCTTTGTCTTGTTGTAGACCGTCATTCCAGGTTTCAATGGCGGTGGTTGCTGGAAGATCAGTCGGAACAAGAAATGCCTCTGAAAGTTCTGGGCCGAATAATTAATTTCGAGATTCGGCCCTCCAAATCCATAAACGATATGGCAGGTCAGGTTCTCGGCAACTTGATCCCAGGCCTTCAACACGAGCTCATAGTCATGCTCTCCAGCAGCGGTTCTAGTCTTATCCACAATTGCCCGATCGCGCCCGATGATCCGTTGAGTTGCAGTCAAGGGTCGAATAAGATCCCATTCGACTACAGGCACGCCCGAGAGGTGTGTGAATCTCGGTAGATCAAAGTAGTTGGACCAACGTTGGTGTGTATTATCGTGATCGTGCGAGTTGGAAATAATGGGTGGGAGGATGAGGGTTCTGTTGAGCTTCCGGGAGAGGAGGGCTCCGACCTCGAAGGCCATGAACTGGTTGGTGAGTCCAGCAAAGGGTAAGTAGGAGAGGTATTTGGTGTTGGGGTCGAGTAAGGAGACAGCGGGCTCAAGAGGTCCAAGAGTTGAGGGATATGTGAGTTTATATTCTACATGGTTCTCATCCTTCTCATCAATGTGCTCCTCATGGAGACCTTGTTGCTGTAGTTGGTGCCGATCTGCGGGGGAGGGGGAGGGGGAGGGGGAGGATGAGGGTGAGAGATAGCTAAAGTCGAGGTCGAGGGCGCTGATGTTGCTGAGGAGGGCCCAGGCAGAGATGAGGACGACGAGGGCGAGGGCGACGAATGTCCGGGACCGGGGCCTGCGACTTTTGCGTATTCCGCTGTATGCTGTGTCGTTCCTCATAGGGGAAATATCTTGGGATCGAGACTATGTACAAGCCCGTTCGATCGAGGACGAAAAGATGGGGTGTGTTGAAGAAGAAAGGGTGAAGAGTGTGAAGATGCAGAGTGAAGAGTGAAGAGTGAAGAGTGAAGAGTGAAGAGTGAAGAGTGAAGAGTGAAGAGTGAAGAGTGAGTGAAGAGTGAAGAGTGAAGAGTGAAGAGTGAAGAGTGAGTGAAGAGTGAAGAGTGAAGAGTGAAGAGTGAAGAGTGCGTGAAGAGTGAAGAGTGAAGAGTGAAGAGTATGAAAGAGTGCAAAGGGCGTGAGGGGTGTGAGGAGAGTGAGGGCGGGAAAAAGGCGCCGCCCCCCTCTCGCCTGCCAAGTTTCCTTTCGTTGTTGTTATTTTCACAGTGATCGCCCTCTGAGTCTGGGTGCTCTAAAAATAAACGACAGAAGCATTCTAGGCCTTGTCTCTATCGTACATGCGTACGCCACCATTCCCAAACGCAGGGTCGCCCCATTCGTCCACCGCCCGCACCGCCCCCCGATCTCCTCTTTTTTCTACACATTAACCTTATTTCCCGAGAATTCTTGGTTTTCATCCTGAACTATATATGGAGGGGAGGACCAATGACTGGCTTGGTCCCAGAATTTGGAATAAAGACAAGGTGTTCCAGCTCGGGTTTGCTCACCAAGTGTTTGCACTGACCAGCCTACATGTCGACATGATCTTCATTCTTTTTGATGTGCAACAAGGAGCGATGAGGACTGACTGACCATGAAGGGAAGGGAGTGCGATGGTTGCTGTATATTAGAAAAAAAAAAAAAAAAAAAAAATGAGAGGCCAGCAATGAGCATGCTTGGTCTGCGTGGTACTGACAGCGAGCTTTTACTGAGGCGAGCCTGAATCTTTATTATTTTTGGTGGCAACTATAATAATAGATAGACTACAGTAGGATGGCACATTTTTTTGGCGACAACCAGATCTGTGTGCAGAGTCCCCTTTACACAAGAGAATGCGCGTTACGCGGCCTTGCACCACAGAAAGGGAATGATGAACTGCAGGATTTTATCGATCTCCACATTATAGCTATGCGTTAATATACGTATACATGGGAGAGCAGAGCAAAGGCGTATGTATTATTGTTGCATTCGTACATCGGAGAGCCTAATTCACGACGCGCCTTCTCCGTTGCTCTCTGCAGTCCCGCCCATGTCCAACCGCAGACTGGGGATTCCCTCATCGCTGCGTAAGGAGCGAGAGCGCCCTGTCTGTGCACGTATGCGGAATTAGGCAAATTAGGCTACGGTTAGAGTGCATTGGGCGCCCCTATGACCAAATCATCCCCTCACCGCGCATCCTCTGTGCTGCCCCTGATTATTACGATGACGATGGACGGTGTTGAACCTTGAACACGTTCCTGAGGCCTGTTCCCCCTCCCCCCCTCCCCTGCAAACACATGTGACCCGCGTCAGTGTGCGTGCGCAGGGGAGAAAGGACGACAGGGGTAATACACTTCGCGTAGGCGAAGACTAGGCCTGCTGTCATTCCTTTATTTCCTCCTCTCCACCCCATCCTGCACCCTCTTCTTCTTTTTCTTGTCTTCTTGTCTTCCTGTCTTTTTTTCCTTCCTTCTTCAGCACTCCTTCCCCCCTTGAGAACACGTCCTTCTCTTTTCTGTCCTGTCCCCCCCCCCCCCCATACACCCTCTTCACAAAACAGTCAATTATCCTTCCAGCCCTATCTCTTTTTTTCTTTTTGCACACTTCACCACTTTACACGAAACGACCACTTCTGCCTCTAACCCATTAATACACATTACTACATATTACTACTGCTACTACCACCCCCCATCATCGATAATAACACTCCCATAATGCTCAAGAAGAAACGTTTCTCCGGCTTGTTCGGTGCCACCATGACCGAGATTCCCTCCCCAGGCCCCGAACATCAAGCCGCACTCTCTCAACAACAGCAACAACAATCCAATGGGGCAATAACCAACGGCACCTCCACCCCGAGTCTCTACTCACCCCAGATGCTATCCAGTCAAGGACGACAGAGCAGCATCGCGACCCTCTTCTCTCCAGTATCGTTGTCATCAGGACCAGGAACCAGCAGTCTCGGAGGGTATTTCTTTTCAGGAAACGGTGGAAACAACAATAACAACAACAACAACAACAACAGCAGCAGCAGTAACGGCAATAACACAGGAAACGGAGTCGGGATCGGGAACAATAATGGGTCGGCACAGTCCGAAGGACAGGACCTGACGAGGGCCGAGATACATCAGTCGCTCGAGAGCCTGAAGAAGCTGGTCATCGCGGCAGAGTCCTACAGGGAGCTGACAGCCAAGTTGGCAAAGACGACCAAGCAGCTGGGCAAGTGCTTTAAGGAGTTTGGAGACTCCAAGGGCATGGATAACACTTATGGTAAGCAGGGAACTTCAGTCTGCCCTTATTTTTTTTTCTTTCTGCATGTGTATGTGTGTGTGTTGTGTCATGGGGGGAGGAGGAGGTTGAAGGATGTGTATGATATGGTCACTCTGCTGAACCCCTATTTTTTATTTTGCTATTGTGTATCTCCTCAATAGTCATGTGTCTCAAGTCCTCTGCGAACTTTTACGAGTCCTTCTCGGAAATGGAGAGCAAGCTGGTAAGCAAAGCACCCTTATCACCACCATCTTTCCTCCTTTGGGGGAGGAAAGGCAACCAAAAAAAATGAATGAATTCTACGCAGGAGAATCGATCGTGTGCCTGATTTCATTTTTCTTCCTACGAAAAAAACCAACCTCTTTAGGCTAGTAGTCTTCAAAAGGATTTTGAGCTGCTGCAGAGCAATTGGGAAAAACATTCCAAGCGCGTAACGGTGCGTATCTTATGATGAGCGAAGGATGATGCTATGCGAAAAAGAGGGAAAAAGAAATTAATGAAAATGAGACTAACAAGAATTGGTCTAATTTCTTTTCTTTTTCTTTTTTCTTTTTCTTTTTTGTTGCTAAATAGAAAGACGAGAGGGCGCACGACGAGATTCTGGGGGACCTAGATGAGAGGATCAAAAAGATTAGCTTGAGTTATGACAAAAAGTCCAAGAAACCGGATCCTAACACCATGCTCATGTCGCACGAGGTATTGTAACTGTCTCAACACACCCACCGTTTTGGGGGGGAAAAGAAAAGAAAAAAAAATAACCGTCAGGTTGCATCATCGCCCCCGATCTACAATGAGCCCGCCCATGACGCTAATTATCTCACCTTTTTTTTTTTTTTTTTTTTTGCCCCCCTCGCAGAAATATATTTCGACACTGTCTGAACTACAGGACTCAATTGCGACCGCGAAACGGGACCATCGGAACACGATGGCGCGACGGGAGCGATACACACACTCGATGACCGCCCAGATCGCCTGTCGACTTTCGGAGGCACAATTCCTGGCGGTCGAACGACAGCTCCGTGGATGCGGACCCAGTTTGTTGAAGATCAAAGAATGGGCACCCTATGCCGGCCACGATATGCCAGCACCGACCCTGATCACAAACGGAGAACCGACCATTGAGATCAAGGGAGGAACTTGGGAGGAGTATAGTGCCAGACATGCGCCTAATCCTGGTCAGCAACAGAACGTCCCTGGTGTGAGTGAAGCGCTCTTCTTTTTTTGGTCTTTTTGTTTATTTAGAGCGGGGGAAGGGTTGTTCGTGGTGGTGTCGACACCGTTTATTGCGTATGCCAAGGAAAAAAAAAAAAAAAAAAAAAAAAAGGATGTTTATTGACTTGATTGCTCTATGTTTCTACCGCTTGTAGGCCTATCAGGGCCCCAAGGCTGAACTTGGCGGCGGAGTAGGGGGCGCGACACAGTCCGGCGGTTCTTCGGCTCCTGTCTACACATTGACAGAAATGCCTCAGATCACACTCCCGCCCTTTGCACCCATGCAGCAGCACCTTCAACAACAGCAACAGCAGCAGCAGCAACAACCGCTTCCGACACCCGTACCCCTACCGGTGCCGCCACCAAGACTGACCTCCCCCCCGGGTTCGTCTACGCCATCGACCTATCTTCCCAATAACATGCCGGATCCAAAAGCCTATATCCAGCAATCTCAACGCCAACAGCAACAGCAAATTAGTCCGGGTTCGTTAACAAAGACCGGCGGAATCACTTCGACGCCTTTGCCTTTGCCAACTCCACGACCGAATATTACCACTATGCCGACCACCATGCGACTAGAGAGGCCATCATCGATGACGGCGACGATGATGCAGGGCTCGGGTCCGATTGTGGGTTACAAGAGCTTGCCAGACCCCAAGGCTCAGGTCAGATCAACTACCATACCTGCTATGGGGCAGGATAGGAGGACCAGTGGTGGGGTAGGACCCGGAATGGCAGCTGGAGGAGTCGGAGGGCTGAGAAAGAGTGCGTCGAGTGATTCGATTCAATTCCTGACCGTCTCTCCTGTATCCACCCCGGGAGCCTTTCCGGAAATGAAAACGCAGGGCGGAGGGAGAGAGAATTCGGCTGCGGATCACTTGAAACGCCAAGATGGGACCAATGAGTCCACGACTGCAACGACCGCGGGGGCGGGGACGGGAACAGGGAATGGAGAGGGGAGTTTCCCAGAAGACCAACGATCTATGAGCATCAAAACCGGCACGACCAACAGTAGTATCGACGGCGGCTCGACTCGTACGGTCCCGAAGCTTTCAAAGGATTACTATGAACAAGAACAAAGGCATTCACATCTCCAGAGGCGTGTCGAGCACGACGACGAAGATGATGAAGATGCGGATGGAGAGGACGAGGAGAGGTATCGGAATGGGAAATATGACCTGGAAAGATATGGGTACCCGGACGACGATGACACCGGAGCACATTCCCGCGAGGAACGGGATCAGTTCGATGACCACATGTACTCACCTTCATCGGGGGACCAACTGTCGTTTTATGATGATGGGGATGAAGGCCACCCGGGGAGGATGCTAATCTCGTCGCGGAGATTTTATGATGACGATGAGTCCCAGCATTCTTCGGGGTCGATCCCTACAATCCTCCGTGAACGTGAGAGGGAGCGAGAGTACTATTTGGCACGCACATCGGCCCCACGCTACGATGACGAGCGCGAGTACGAGCAACGATCTTACACGCAGCAACAACAGCAACAGCAGAGGAGTTACTCCTCCACAGCCCCTACACGGCAATACCTTCAGCACCTCACCCACCCAGATTCTGATCAAGACCGCGAGAGGGAATGGTCTGCCTCTGCGGCGGCTATGGCGGCAGCACAGGATGAATCCGCGAGCATGAGTGGTTATGCCCGCGAGCAGTACCCGGCCCAGAGGGATTACACGCCCGCACGCCCAACACTCGAAGACCGAGAGCGGGAGCTTGAACTCATGCAGGGTCAGGGACAGCATCTCCAGAAGCCGACCTCTATGGGTCCTCTTAGTGGCGGTAATTCCGGTGCTGATGGTGCAGGAGCAGAGCAGGGGCAAGGACCGGTTAGACCGGCGTATGGGCGACGTCCTGCCACGGCCCCGGGGACCGTCGCACATTTGAGGAGACGGTTCTCGGACCAGAACATTGCCGAATCTCTACCCCCTCCACCGGTAAGTTTTTTTTTTTTCTTTTTTTTTTTTTTCTACCATTGCATCGAAATTGTTGCCAAGTATGCTGAAAACTAATCCATTCTCCTTTTTATTCTCCCTCTTTCCTTTTCTGCTTCCGCGTGCACAGCTTTCGCCCACACAAAGTTCACGTCCACGCGGACTGAGCGGCTCCGCCGCAAATGCCCAGCAACAGCAACAGCAACAAGACGCCCTGAATCGTGATCGGGATCGGGACACACGCTACCCACCTCGAGTCTCAACCCCACAGAGCCGCTTGGTCGCCGCGCACGCATACCGCTCCGAACGCGTGATCTCCAGTACAGGAATGAACGGCAAGGCAGGAGCAGGAGCTGGAATGAGCCAAAATGGACAGTATAATGGTACTGCAGGGCATATGTCCGATTATGAAGACACCAGTCCTGGAAGGACATCTGCCCAGGTTGGGGACCAGCGTGCTCGTCGGAGATGAAGACCTACCGTGCCTTGATGGCATCTTGTACACCCTGCAGAAGACATTACTTTGGCCATAGTATTTATTATCAATATGAATAGGACGCGATTGCTCAAATAATACCATAGAAAAAAGAAAAGAAAAAAAAAAAAAAAAAGAAAGAAAAGAATATACATGCGAGTTGATTTTCATTTTATTTTATTTTCTCCATCTGCCATGTTCACATGAGCCTCTTTTTGCGATTGCCGATCGACGAGATCAGACGTGAGGGTGCCTGGCTACCGCCTTGACCTGCTGTCTGACTGGGCGTCTTCCGTGATGACGATATTCCCGCTCGACTACTACTGCCGCCAGCACTAGTCGAGTCTGCAGTACTTGTGGCCGTAGCAGCAACAGCTTTCTTTGCTGGAGTTGCCCTCGGTTTCGGCGCAGCCTTTGTGGCCGCAGCTCTAAATAAAAAATAGAGTGTAATTATTGGCATGGGGATCAACAGGAAGCAGTACAAGAAGCACATATTCAACTGAATCGACATATGAAGCAAACTCTTCAGTGCGCACCTCTTGTCGACGGCCTTGCCCTTGGCCTTGGTTCCCCGTTTCGGCACCAAAAAGTCCCCCTCTTCTTCCTCTTCTTCCTCCTCTTCCTCAACCTCGACGACTGGCTGCTGATATTCCTTCTCGTTTTCATCATCCGTGTCCAGCACCACATGCGCCGTCTGTTGTTTCCCCCGCGAGGTGCTGCCAGCAGCACGCTGTCGACCACCCCCATAATCACCATCGATTCCATTCTCCTGCTGCACTTCTTCTTCATCTTCATCATGTGAGTCCACTGCTAGGACCGTTTTCTGCCCTACACGATCGGACGATTTGAATCCTGTTGCGGATGCTGCAACAATGTCACGATTCGTTCGACCGCCTCTTGCAGAAGTGCTCGATCCACCACCACGCGATGAACTTGCTAGTCCTCTCTTTGGCTCAATAGGTTCGTCATATTCCGATTGCGCGTCGTCGTCGGCGACGTTATCCATGTCCATCTCAGTACCATCTCCTCGCATAGACTGCTTCTACATGACAATCGATGAAAAACGCATTAAATGTTAGCCTTTTTACGCACAATAAAGTAAAATAAGAAAGATGCAGAAGAAATGTTTTGTCCGTCACGAAAACAATCTGTAGAAACGTACGTGGTCTAGCAAGCCTCCGTTTGGATGATCATACTCGTATTTCTTGGCTTGTAAATCCTTTTCCTTGTTGATCTAAATGCGCATGGAGAAATGGTTATGGGACCTGACTTGGTGATACACATGCATTCCAGAGTCAACAAACACGCCTCGGTAACTCACCTCCTTCAGCAATGCCTCTTCTACCTCAATATTCTGCTTGTTTCGCATCACTTTTTGCATTCTACTAAGCGATGTCGCTACAAAGCTATAGCCAAACAAAAAGACGCTATGTTAGCGTATCGATCCTGACACCGTGCAGCGGAATTACGCCGATAACTTTACTGCACAAAGGCATAGCTTACTCTTTCACAGCGTCCTTCTCATCCTTTTCCACATAGATTCGGACAGCATCTGCAAGTTGTATCTCCGGCAAGATACTGAGGTTTTGCGCCGAGAGATATTTTTGCACCAAGTTCTCAACCCGCATCGTATCCAGCTTCTCCGTTGTTCCCACATCGTCCATTTCAGCCTTCGTCTTTGTATCTATGATTAATCATGGGGAATAAAGCATCAGAGATATACGTCTCGATGGTTTAGAAATGATTACGAAGGCGAAAGTAGAGCCCGATCACTACTTACTGTAGGTGGTAGGTACCGTCTTTTTCCTGTAAAAGTGCACAAGGTCGCGTGGGTTGGCAACCAGATCCACAAACTCCTGACCGAACCGCTGCGGATTAAAAATCTCGTATCCTCCACTGTACTCAACCTAGATTCAAAGCCAAGTGTGAGCAAAAGGCGCCATTGTAATGCATGATAAATTTGTAACTTTTAACCGCATTTTCTCCTTACTCTAAGGCGAACCAAGGGCTTGGGGACTTCGAATGCATGCTCATCGCTAGCGTTTGTAGCGGCCTCCTCTTCATCGCCACTGGCTTCGCTGTACATCCGCCTCTTGCGACTCATGCGTCCACTCTTGGCAATCCAATCCTCCTTTGCTTGCTTTACCAAATCTCTGACCTAAAATCGCAATATGGCAGTACATCTGTTAGTCCAGCCCATTTAAACTGGATAAGATGCAAGCTTCTCAAACGAGATGGCTCCTTATGCTTACTTTCTTGGATATAAAGTTGCTGACTTTTTGTTGGTCGGTCGGATTGAGGTTATGGTCTGCCAGGGTTACGTCGCTCATAATAAACGGCCGGACAGACTGAAGTCGGATCTTTTGAACATTAAATTTCCCTTTGCAAATCTTGAGGATCGCGACGTGCTTCTCCTTGGATTCCCCTTCAGAAAGACTGGTGGCAACGGAGGAACCAGGCTGGCTTACGTGGAACCCTTGCTGCGGGTTGTAAACCGGATCGACGAGACATTCGTGCTCATGGCCCCAGATAACCAGGTCAATAAAGTCGTCCAGAAACGCCTCTGGGATATAACTCTTTGGACCATGCATGACTCTAGAATGGTATGTATCGCGTTAGACTGGGATCTAGCTCAGCCCAGCTATTGCTTGAGACACCGCAAGATTCGATCAATCGTGTCGTACCTGTTTTGATGCAGCACAAGCAGATTGTACCAGGGTTCCTCGTCGTCGTCCTCGACTGGCCGCATCATTTTGACATTCCTTCGCAAGAACGTCTGGTGCAGTCTCTCGTCACGAATGTTGCCGATTCCGTACAACGCCAGCCGACTAGCGCCTTTCTGCAGCAATATAGGCTTCACAATGACATTGTCGATCTCCTGCGATCGACCAAAGTAGTTGACAAGACCTGTCATCGATAGTTGATCCAGTGCACACAGGTTTCCATCACCAGAGGGGTCGTCATGGTTGCCGTGGATTGAGAAGACCGGAATGCCTACGTTCAGGTTGGGATCCATATAGTTGACGTTTTTAATGCTAGAAACGAGTGCGGACAAAAATAATACGCCATGAGTGAGCGTTAATCATGGAGTAAGATCAAGTCTCCGTTCGAGACATTAAAATTATTGGCTCCTTTGCACTTACCCTTCCGGAAAGTTATCAGTGGGGTCGCTCAAGAACTCGAGACTGACGGGCTTGTCACCGAGACAGTACTTCCGCAGGAGTTTAATGGTGATATACATTGTCTTGCGCGACGGTTTGTTGTCGTGAAAGAGGTCGCCTCCAAGCAGGATCATATCCACCTATTCGTAACGCGATGCACACGTAAGTAGGCATGTCCTTCTTCATCGATGCACTGCAGCGCAAAACCCCCCACTAATATTAGATCACACTGAAAATCCAAGAACCGCGCTTTGATTACCTCGGATTCAGCAGCGAGGGAAAGAATCTCCTCAAACGCCGCGAAAGAGTCGTCTCCTCGGACAGGGTCCTTCTCGAGGTATCCAAGATGGTTGTCTGTTGCCACCATTATTGAAAAGGTATCTTTCTCTTCACCAACGGGCTCACTTCCGGTCCATTGCGAGCCATTGCCTTGGTCCAGCCTAAGATAGCAAGGTATGAAATTGAAGGGCGCCGATGTCACTGATGCTGTCCTACGCGAGGTTGGACCATGGGTCATTGTCGAAAGTAGCTCCTGAATGAGGATGCAGTAAAATCTGCGACTTACGGATCGGAGGTTTGGCTGCTGTCCATTGTATCAAGTCGTTGAATGCTTCCGAAGACGAGTGTCCTTGTATGGGCTGGTTGTCGGCGATCAGGAAGAGTTGTGGGGAACGAATGAATGAATGAATGAATGAATGTGCAAGCTCAGTCCACTAGAGATTCTCTTTTGAAATTGGTGGCAAAATAGCCCTGGTCCAGGCCACGTGCGCTACTTCCTCATACATGGGATCCCCTGAGGCCACGTTTTCGTCTGCACAGCCACGCCTGCGCCTCAGACACATTCCTCAATAGCTCATTCAGATGGTCAAGACAGACATTCGTGTGTATCCGTCGTTTATTTGTTTCGGGTATCCGAATGAATAAAAACAAAAGAGAGGGTGGCAAAGAAGACAAACAAAAAGTAGACACAATCAACAAACTCCTTCTCGCGTTCTTTAACGCGTCAGTCCTGGGCAAAATGCTCACTGCTCCTCCTCGTTCTCCTCGTCCTCCTCATCCTGCTCCTCTTCCGGTTCCTGTAACTCTACGGTTTCCGCGGCAGCCCTCACGGCCGCTGTAAGGACCTTTTTTTCCTTGTCCTTCTCAGTATACGACTCCAGCAATTTCTCAATATCCTTCTGCCTGGACTCCATTCTTGCCAGGCTAGCCAACAGGGACTGCACAACTATGTCCGACAACTGTCCTGAGACTGGGGACAAGCCAGACTCCTGAGCGTTGGAGCCGACGGCCGTTCTGGAAGTTGACTGTCTCGAGCGACCTTCCTCGCCATCATCCTGAGTCTCCTGAGTCGAGAATGCAGGTCGAGTGGTCTTGCCCAGAGCTGCCAAATGGCTGTCAGCTGCCTTGATGGTGGTCTTGGCCTTGGCCTCCTTCTCCATCGCGCGACGCGCCCTGAACTCCTCAAATGTCTCCATGGGTGACAAGGACGATGCAAATGCATCATTCGCTGCTGCTTTGATAACACCCTCCTCTGCTTGAGAAATCGCGGCGGCGGTCTCGCTAGAACCGGCGACCACCTCTTCTTCGTCGTGATCAAATTGCTGGGTTGCCAGCAGGAACATGTCGTCAACGTTGTTATCATCCTCAGTCAAGTGGCGGTACGTGCGTCGGCCTCCCTGAATCTCATTCTCTTCGTTCGAGTTTCTGAGCTTGAGATAACGTCTGCGCTCCGTGCGCGCAATGAACAGAATGGGAACGCAAAAGAGAACGCTCATCACACAGCGGTTAAGCGACTCGTAGGCCTTTCGGGACACGACTAGACTCCAGGGAATGATGAAGAAAACCTCAATCAGGTTAAAGGGAGCGGCAAACGGAAATTGGTCCGGGGACTTGAGGTACGAGAACACTTTGAACGTGAACAATGCCATGTATTCCTTCTCGGCAGAGTCGGTGATGTTGGTGTATGACGAGTTGAAAAGCGCAATCAACAAGTTGAGCAGAATAATTCCGGTCAGGAAGAGATACAAAGCAAAGACCCAGCTGCCATAATCGCGGTCAAGGCTCTGGGCCAGTTCCCAGTCGGGGTCTTGCAGGAAACCGCGGATAAGAAGCATGTACGTGTTCTGGAAACTTTTGACCTCATCCTTCTGCAATGCATAGAAAGTTTGAAGGAACCCGATGAAGACCCAGGTCAGAAGCCAGAAGAACATGATGCCGTCCTTCAGCATCTTTTGCAACACCATGACCATAGTTCCTATAAAATGACAATGTCAACGGCACCAAATGGAATGGGGGATAGACGTCAGTGGAAGTGCCCTTTCATGACGGAGAATCTCATTCATAAGACAACATTTCGAGTTGAAAAGGCGTATTGTCATCTTACCAAAGTACTGGAACCCATCCAGCAGTGAAAGGGGTTTGAACCAGAAAAAGATGGCGAGCAATCCCAAGAGATCGTAAGCGATGTTGCTGTAATATCCATCCGAGGCCGCATCACCACCCAAGAAGCAGCCCGTGAATCGAAAGGCAAACGAGACTAGGAAAATACCATACGAAATGATATTGATCCAATGCCAAAGACTGCCGAGGAAGAACGCCGTTCCTCCTTCGAATATCTAAAAGAAATGTGGACAATGGCGTGAGAAGATTATGAAGACATGCAAGGCCAAATCCAAGCGCGATCCGTTCTTCTCTTTCTTACCAGTCTAAACTCCTCAAAGATATACCCACAGACAAAAATATTAACGGCCCATTCGACAGGTGTAGGGTAAGCCGTACGATCGTTCACGACAATTGTGTACATGATCAGGAACAAAACAAACATTGCAATCTTCATGTTGTTCTGGTACCTACACATCCACACAAACAGAAAAAGAGAAAGAAAAAGAGCAGAGTAAGTAACAACATATGCTGCAGCAAACAATACCTTGCTGCTCCCTTGGATACTTACTTTGGCACGTTCAATCGACCGACATCAATCCATTCCCACAGCAGATGGCGAGATCGTCTCACGCCGCTGTATTCAACAAAGCGAACACGGCACTCCTCGTCCTCTGTCTGAAGGATCAATCCGTTCCAGAGCGCCTGCACACAGCGCTGGACCTCGACATCCGCCAAGAAGTCCGTCGCGTGAAGGCGAACCGCGAGCTCGATTGCGCCCTCCGCCGTGTTACGTTCCTCACCCGCCGCATAGTACGGACGAGTCAAGACGTGGCAGTAGGTCGCCATCATGTCCTTATCTACAAAGACCTTGGTCACGCCCGCTGCCGCAAGCTGGGCGATTTCTGAACGGCGCTCCATCAGTTTCTTGCGGCCCACGTTACGCTGGCCTTCTTCCATGAAGCCCTCGACACAGCGGAGGAGGCCATAGATAACCTCCTTGCCTAGACCGGCCAGGAACTCAATAACCTCATCCGTCACTATATCGTCGTCGACATTGACAGAGTCCACCAATGCATTAATCAGGCCAAAGAGCCTGGGCAGTAGTGCGTAGATCTTCTTGGGGGATGAGGGTGGCGTAGGGTGTTGATGGCCATTCGGAATCTGATTCTCAAAGACGTTGCGGATGTTGTTTACGAAATCTTGAGCGCGGTCGGAGAGGTCTTCGCTTTGGGCTTGGACCTGGTCTTGAGCTTGGTCTTGGTCTTGGTCTTGCACTTGTGTGGTGGTTTCAGTGCTATGGTCGTACTCGTCCTGGTCCTGGAGCAGCGGCGTCTGCTCGTGGTCGTCCTGTGCCATTGCGATACTTAATTGGGAGCAGGGATTCCGACCGTTGGAGTGTGCGGAGGATAGTGGGGAATGAAAGAGAAAAGAGGGAGGGTCAGCAAGTCTAAATGACCGCACGGAATTTGAAGCTCCCTTTCCTCGGGGCCCAGATCCACAGTACCGCAACTCGAAAGTATTCCCTACATAAAAAAGCTTCACGTAAGCACTGCCCCTTCCTCTACTCAGATGCCCTTTCAGGTCTTCAATTGCTTCATTCTCCTGGCTCCTGACTCTAGCCTCCCGGTTCCCTCTGGACACCTTGCCTAGTGTCGACGTTATCGTCGTAGTCGATGTTGTCATTGTAGTCGTCGTTACGTTGTCGTCTTCTTACTTTTCTTTTTGTTAACGCCAGATCTCCCCCATCGTCATATTATCCGTGTGTTTGGACACTGTGGCAACTCGCGTGATAAGATTACAGGAACTGAACGTACTCTGGGGTATATATGTATTTTTTTTTTCTTGTTGCACTGCAACCTGCCAACACTATTCTAGTCTAGCCCTCTACAGAAGACCAGCAAGGACCTTGTGTCCTCCACCAAGCTTGCCCACACGCTCCTCCCAGCCCACAACAGCGTCCTGCTCAAGCGGCCTTCGTCGACCATCGACACCGACGCGGAGATAACTCTTGTTCGGAATATCCTTGCCGCCTAGAGTGACATTTCGAATGAACTCTCCCGCGGCCTCAAGACAATCGCCAGCACTGACCAAAAAGTCGAACATGGCGAACACATGGGGCATATCGTCGTACATGAGCAGATGCAACGTGGGCGAAGCATTCGCGTTCTTTAGTCCAAACACAATCGACTCGTCTCGCAACATCTCTCCGTTTCCAGCAATCTATCATAACAGAAAAAAATTCCATTTTTTTTATTAGTTACTGTGCTCATTTGTCCATTGCGTACATCCTATTCAGAACAAAATAATTTGTACGTTACCACTAGCATGGGACATGCTCCTTCGAGACTCTTCTCCATCAAAGGACTGACATAAGGACAATCCAGGAGCGCATTGGTCGCATAATATTGAATTTCCGGCATTTCCGCATGATGCAGGAGAATACTCTCATCGATCGCAGAAGCGAGCTTCGCCAACTTCTTGACCGAGCCCTGACCGCCCTGTGTGAATCCCTCGGCTGGAATGTAGTCCGAGTGTGCATTGGTCAGGACCGAAGGCATCGAATGCAGCAAATCCAGCCACGGACTGAGACCAACGACGCCAGCCGGCATAGGAAGACCTGCATCTCGAATCGCCAACATGGCACCGAATGCCAATCCTAGATCGTATGATAAACCACTCACAACCGTCAATCGGTCCGTTGCAAAGAAACAAAAAAAAAAAAAAAAAAAAAAAATCACCCCATTTGTAATATACCGACTCCAGGCTAGAAAACTCACCTCCGCCGGCAGAGTCGCCCATAATGACCAGGTTCTTGGGATCCACAGGAGCAAAGCCCGAGTCGGCAGGCGGATGAAGCAAGTACAGATACGCAGCCAATGAGTCCACAATAGCTGCTGGGAAAGGAGAATCCGGCGCGAGCCGGTAGTCAATCGCAAAGACCTTGGCTCCACCCAGACGTGCCATGCTGGCAGAAGCCCATCGGTGCGTGAGAATGGATCCCAGAATGTACCCTCCTCCATGAAGATAAAGAACCGTCCGTCCCTCCGCGTGCTTCTCGTCCTTGGTGACAGTCTCGGTCCATTCAGCCATCAGCGGACCATCTGCAGCAGGATCGTTCTTCCAGTCCCAACCCAGATTGGCGGAATCGATTCCCTTCAGATCAAACAGCCGTGCAACGTGCTCTGCAGCCTTGTCCCTGTATGACTTTGAGATAGTGGCCCCGGATGCAATGGCCCCTGGTTTGACGGGTGCGTCTTCTTCTGTCATCATGGACATAGCCTGCGATTGCTTGATGGGCGCGAGATTCATGTGAGCGATAAAGGACCGCAGAAGGGTCACGGTGAGGGTGAAGCGGTAGGACCACGAGGGCATGGGTGGGCCATAGACATAGTGACTGAAAGTGGTGGAGATTATCAAGGGGATCCTTGGAAGCATCAGCTTCAAGAAGCCGATAGCTTTTTGAGCCATTTTTGATAGTGTGCTTTTCTCCTTTTCTTCTTTTTTTTTTTTTTGGTCCTAATGTCAAGAAATAGGAATGAAAGAAATGAAGGAAAGAGAGGGATGCAAATGAATGGAGTGAGCACTACAAGTTCAAGGTGGAATAGGGGGGAATGGACAAATAGCGGGGCGTATGTCCCAAAACCTGTTTGGAGGTTTGCTGTGGACTCTCTCTCCTTTAGAAGCCGGTTAATTAGCTTCCGTCCAATGGATGGCCTTTGAGGACTAAGGAGTGATCGGCGGCGCTGATTTTCTCCGCTATCGCTATTCTCCTCGCCAACTGCGACAGATGTAGTGCGTCTCCATGGCCCGTTTTTTTCTTTTATTGCGTAAGCGCTAGACGCGAATGCTAACGCGTGATATTATCAAGGAAAATGATGAGCGTGGATCTGAATGCGTAGAATGAATTATGCAAGAAGTTAGAGCGCTGCATCATTAGGTCGGCTATGGCTGGCGAGATGAAGCTGTGATCGAAGGCTCTGCAATGTCATCCGAGAGATCGTGCTTGCACAGCGGGCACTGCGTCGACTTGTTTGTTAGCCAGATATCTACACAACACCATAGGACAATACAATTCATCGCACCATTAGTACTATCCATGGAGCCGTGTAACACCATATCTCGATTCCATTTATATTCTGTTGTAACCCTTACCGACGCACTCCGCGTGGTACTCGTGCTCACAGGGTAGAATGCGGACTCGATCGCCGTCCAGATACTCCATTAGACAGATCGTGCAACACCTATCATCAGTGGACGTGTCTGGGCTGGAATCTACCGCTGCTATCCGCGTCTCAGTTGTTTCTGTGTTCATTGGCGTTAACGATGGACCGTGTGAAGTGGACTCAATTGTGGAGAGAGGGATCACTGCGGTACTGGCGGTATCCGTGTTGGCGTTAGTACTGGTACTGCCGTTGCTGCCACTTGAACGACTATAAAGTCGCTCCATGAACTCCAGACTCTTGAGTAATGGCCACGGCCGCTGCTGTTCTTTCGAATCCGTTCCAGACTCTCTTTCCTGTCTCTGCAGATTGACGTTGGTCTTCGGCCTGTCCGGGGCATGATAGACACCCACCACGCGATGGTGATCATCGATAAGAAGGAGCTCCTGGGACGGCCAGATACGGATCGGAAGCGCACGATTGACTGTACTCTGTGTAAGGACTGACGTCTTTTTGAATTCTATCCTTTGAAGCGTTTGCTGCCGTGAATGTCGATTGAACCTCAAAAGTATTGCAAACGCGCAACCTACGAATCGGGATTGCTCTAGCTGTAAGCTATGCGATGAAAAGTTCGTCTTTGTTCTTCAAGGTGCATCATTAGAAAAACTTACACAGCCCCATTACTAGTAGTATAACGCCTCCGATTGTCAAAACCTTAGCAGAGAGATAGGCGGCAGTCTGAAGGTCATTGCGGTCGTCAGTCCTGGATACTATCAAAACGGCATAAAAAATCACTCCTACTGATGGTGAAATGTTCTTCCTTCTTACCTCGCTATAGCTGGGCGTGTCTTCCCCTTCATCCCCTCCGGTAGCCGAAAATTCAGGCGTAGTGGTAGTGTTTTGCATTAGCCACGGCGGTTGTATAAGAGGCACCATGATGGTTACTACAGTTAGGGTGAGAGTGGAGTCAACTAAAAGAGAAAGGGATAAAACTGCAAAGATAACGAAAAGAATGACATCGCGAATCCTGCTGACGGCTACAGGTATCATCCAATAAGGCGAAACCTGCCATCCTTCGTCGTTACGCTATTGCTTGTGTTCTGCGTTTGCCTGGTGATAATGTGAGTGGAGCTTCTGGCTCGATCCTCTCAGACATATCTCACCTGCAAGATTTATTTTTTATTTTTATTTTTTCGTACGGAACCGGAGCGGTTCCAGGCGCAACATATTCTTAAAGCTTATTACGCTCAAGGTCACCTGCAGGTTTCTGCGCCAAAAACGTCGACGCCTGGAAGGACTTGTAGCAGATGACGCATAGATCAGCAAGTATACACCAGACAAAAAGAGCAACGCACCTCTGGACCTGGACCATGGCCCGTGTGATACGAGACAGAGATATTGGGTGCATTGCTAGAGAAATAGGGCGCCCAGTCTTCGCATGCGCAAGATGCGAACTCGTAATATTTGGCAAAACGGGCGAAGCACATTGGATAAGGTTAGAGATACCGCCAAAATGTGCTTAATTTGCAATGATACTTTCGATCAACCATAAGCGCCGTTTTCTCTGACAACAGACAAATGCACACAGGAACAGGAAAATGAGATCTTCTTTTATTTCCGAAAAAAAAACAAAAAAATAAAAATCACTCTGGGATTTAAGCGCCCCACGAGTCGGTGGCGGGGGCCTCGGACCAGTCAGCGGTGGCAGCATCGGCAGCCCAGTCACCGGTGGCAGGGACGGGGGCAGAGACCTCGCCAGTCCACTCGCCGGTAGGGTTAGCCTCACCAGGAGCCCAGGTGCCAGCAACATCAGCGACGGTACCCTCGGCAGCAGCGGCGGCAGCGGCCTCCTCCTCAGCCTTCTCTTCGGGATCACGGTAGAAGAACATGTCGACCATGATATCCCAAGGAGCAGAGCGGGAGATGGTGCCACGGAGGCGAAGGACCTCACGAGCCAACAACCAGTAGGCAAGACCGATGGCGTGCTTGGAGCGGTTGTTGGTGGGGATGGCAACATCGACGTACTTGAGGGGAGACTCAGTATCGGCAAAAGCGATGACGGGGATGTTGACGTACGAGGCCTCCTTGATGGCCTGGTGGTCGGTCAAGGGGTCGGTGACGATGATCAAACGGGGCTCCTTGAAGGCACGGGTGATATAGTTGGTGAAGGTACCGGGGGTGAAGCGACCGGCAATGGCCTGGGCACCGGTGTGCGAGGCGAACTTCAAAGCGGCACGCTGACCGTAAGGGCGGGCAGAGATAACGCAAATGTCGGCGGGGTTCTCGATGGCGACGATGATACGGGCAGCGAGGACAATCTTCTCCCAGGTCTTGCCGATGTTGATGATGTGGACACCTTTGTATCGTTGAACGTAAAAAAATAATGGCTGGTCAGCATGTGTTCGAATTCTTAAATCAGTTTAGCTCGCACGCGCGTCAGCGACCAATTATTCGCTGTTCTGTAAACTTGTTTCTTGAGCTCGCGTCAGCGTCACTTTGTCGTCTGGTTTTGCAGAAAAGTGATCCCGGAAATAAAGATAATACCGGTCATTGTACGCGCCAATCTCTTCCAAAATTGCTATGCTGTACTTAAAGATGTCGGCAGTACGGAGCAACAGTTCCTCCAGAGAAAGACGGCCGATATTGCTGCTGACATACACTCCGTGTTACCGATAGGGTATTGAATAACTGTTCCCTAGGTTTCCTGTCAAAATATCGTCTTCCTGACTGTCCCGAACGCGAAGTGCGCTGATAGGGTCCTTACCATCAGCGCGGCGCTTCCAGACGTAGGGCTCCATGTGAACATCGCAGTTCTTGGTTCCCAAGTGAGACTGGGCAGAGAGGAGGAGCTTGATGTCCTCCTCAGTAGCTTTGAGAATAGTAGGCAATCCAGACATGGCTATCGTTGTTATGGTGATAGCTATGATGGCGATGAGAGATGGAGAGCGAGCTGAAGGTCAGTTGCTATGTCCTTGTTTGGAGAACAGAGAGTTGTGCTGCTGAGACTGCCTGGGCGAGGTCAATGGAGGATCCGCGATTCCTACGAGAAAATCGACTAGATCATTCGAAAGATCCCTTTTGTCCAGCTGTGTAGCAGTATCCATCCATTGAACCGAATATGCATCCGATACAGCGCGCTGTCTATCCGTGTTTCCTTCAATCCTCTTGTTGCCGTATCAATTAAGTCGATCGAGCCATCCATGTCGCCTTGATCCTCCATCGCTCCTTCAACGCCACATCCATCGATTAGCATTCCACCGTATCATACAAGGGGATCCGGAAATATGGCCGAAAGAGAGGAAGAACCAACTACGCCTGCGGACTGCACTTTTGATTTCAGGTTTGAGGTAGATGCACGTGATGTATTCATCAGTTTGCCTTTCACCATTTCCAAGATGAAGCGTCAATGCAGCCTGTGGCACGCCTGCGCGTCTGAGGGGATCTGGCGTCAATAAAAAAAAAAAAAAAATCCAAGATATTCTCCAGCTATGGCCCTATGCGATTTGAGTGCAATGATATTCGTATTTATTTTTTTACTTTTGCCAATTGCTAATGCCTTGTCTAAAAATGCCTTTTTTTTTTCCCCTTTTTTTTTTTCGTTCTTTCATAATCACACTGTTACTTCTTGGAGACGCTCCACGCTGCTCCTGGTGGTTTAGCATGGGTTCCATTTGTCATTGATTTGGGGGTGCTTGCTCCCGGTGTTGGCGTTGTCGAGCCCGAAGTGGGGGCTGAGTTCTTTTGGTCGGATCGGATATAGAATAGAACATAGGCCACGCCATCGCTCGATCGACTTGCTGGTATTGATGAGGCTGAAATGGCAGCCGCAAGCGCTGTCGATTCTGATACACCACCGTTGGTCAATGTGTCATTGGCAACTGGCTTGGGAGAATGGGACTCGTCTGATCCTTCATAGTCCAGAGTTACATCTGCTTCGCTGATGACTGTGATGTTGGTATCGTCAATGTGGAGCCACTCGTCGTTTTGTCGCAACACATCGCAAGTATAGTGGCCTCCTGCTGCAGTTCGGCCATGGTGGTAAACAACGCCAAACAGCTTGTATGGGATAGCATTTGAAGGGCGACGCGTGGGCGAAATAATATCTAGAGTTGTCAAACGATGCACGGGCATTAATAAAGGGGCAAATGAGGTGGGCAGGTCAGAATGAACAGAGCCAGACCAAGAAATTACCTGGTTGAAGGTTGAGTACCGTCTTGTAGCCGACCTCTTTGTGCAATTTTTGCGTCCGTCCATCCTTGTAGATAAATCGCTTGAGGTGGAGCACCAGCACAGGTGGGACATGCTCGATAAAGATTTTCTTGGTCGCCTCTACTGCGATGCCGCCCTTTTCCGAACTCGTGAATCCATCGAGGACCTCAGGAATAGTCGAGTTGCGAAGTGCGTCTTCGATCGTATGTACGTTCTCAGGCGTCAGGTCCAGCTGCATCGACTGAAATGGCTCTAGCGTAACCGAATCCTTTTGAGACGGGATGCGAAGGATGGACCGAAGCTGGCCTGAGAAAATGCTAGAGATCGGCGTCTCCGAGAACTGTGTCGATCGCGTGTACGAAGCCTTGTTCTTCGGTCCTGTGACTTCCATCCACTCGTCTTCACTGACGCCGCTCTCGCTGTCTTCATGCTCCATGTTGCCGTTGATGTCCAATCCCATGGGCTTTTCTTTCATGGCCGCGTAGAACTCCTCGTGAAGCCCGTCCAGTAAGAATCCCAAAAACTCCTGGCAATCTTCCTGACGACCTCTCATTGAGTCGAACCGCTTGAGTCCGCGAAGAGCGTCGTACACATACTCGGGCACAAAAGGCGTGCCATAATCAGGTTGGTTCTTTTTCGCGACATGAAACTCGTTCAGAAACATAATGCTTTGAAGGGGAATAATGGAATAATTAAGTGTGAGTATACAATCGCGACTGGAAACGCTAGCCAGGTTGCTGGTTCCTGAATAAATCAATGATTGCGGATAAAACTCGGTACCGAGAACACGTACAGAGAATCGACGAGCGGGGTGGTGCTCTTGAACTTGTGGACGACGTGCTTTCCGATTTGCATGAGAAGGTTGTAGAACGGAGGGCAGTGCAGAAGAGGTTGAAGGATCTATGACAAGCACATATCAGGTAACAATCAGCTTCATGAGCATGTTGTAATAATAGTATCAATGCTTACTGGACATCTGTGGTACATGCGGGTATACTTACCGCATTCATGAAGCACATGTTTCCATTGTTGACAAGACCACGAGGCTGGATCAGAAGCGACGAGTACGTGGGCTTGAAATTGTGGAGAACATCAGCAATTCCGTCAAATTTGACGCCGTTCGCTCCTGATGCCTTGTTGTTCGTATCGTTCGATTTCTCTCCAGATGTGCCGTTTGGTGTTGAGGGAGTCAAGGATGGAGTAGGGTGCTTGGGTCGAACAAGTTCTGCCCAGCTTTTGGGCTTGAGTGGAGCAGCGGGCGCTGTAGGAATGGATATCTCGTCCTGTACCTTCACTCCTTCGGTAGCTACTTCGGCTCCGTCCACAGCTGGTAAAAATGTGTCTCCTGTACTAACGGATAAACCGAGTGTTGAATTGACTGCGCCATCCTGGTGCTGAGAGTGCCCATTCGGAATAGCGTGAGCGGGCGCAAAGGCCTGTTTCTTTGCAGGAAATCCAGCTGAGGTGATTTGTGGTGCGCAAATATCACAAAAGAACATGAGCAAAACGTTAGCAGCCATGGTCAAAGCACCTCAAAAGTATTGACCGTGCTTTACAAACACACCTTTAGGTCGTTTTCCAATGGACCAGATCACCTATAGCAACAGAAAAAGCAATGACAGCAAGCAAGTGTTAATAAGATGGTTTGGGTGTCAAGGATCTAGTGCTCCATCAGGTCCAGTGCAATCGTGCTGACAAACAGTCGGATTTGTAATGAGTCACATACCAGATCAACGTCCTCCTTCTTGACGACTTTACTGATGTCCTCCCTTGAGAGTTGTCCGAAAGCCGGCCCTTGCTGTGGGTCGTAAGACTACAGGTAGTGGAAGTGGTGCGAAAGAGAGAGAAAGAGGGTAAAGTGCATCATGAGTTTAACGGTTTCATAATCCTCTTGTGTTCATAATGAATAGAACCGCCTGAACGATCGCGTACCTTGGCCAGGCTTTTCATGGAAGAGCGGAGGGGAGAAAAGGGTCGGTGGGTGAACAGATCTGTCCGGGATGTAGCCTCCTGTTGTTGGTGAGGGTGGATGCCTTATGTGATCAAGAAAACAAGAGAAATAAACACAAGGGAAAAAAAAAATAGGCAGGCAGTGGTTGGTTTACAACAAAGGGTAAGTGCAGAATCGTGATGGTAATGATAGCGATAATAGTGGTAATAATAAAAAGAAAAGGAAAAGAGAGTGATACGATATGATACAAGGAATTAACGACGAGGAAAGAACGGAGGAGTGGAGAGTAATGAATGCGATGAATAGCAAAGAACGGATCGATTCAAGGTCGAAGTGTGTGGTGGTGTGCTGCGAAAATAGAAAATATATCCCCGTTTGGATGGAAGTGTGAGGGGGAGGGGAGGCAAAGATTGGAGTGTCTATAATACAAGGCCGAGCAAAGGATGATCCTCCCGTGTCTTTAAGAAGAGGATGCGGTGGAGTTGTTTTAGTTGTGAGAGTGATGAGAAGTGCGATGAGAGGGAGGAGGGAAAGGATCAGTCAAGGCAGTGAGGGAGGAAAAAAGACATTCATCCCTCGCACCTTTTCTATGCCTCCCCGCAGTCCAACCCCCAGCGTGCAACGTCACCCTCTTTTTTTTTTTTTCTGGTTTCGATCCGACCACCATCATCCCCGTCCGAATCATTCTCTTCTCATTCATACAACCCACCCCTCAATCATCACCATGATTCGCACTCTTGTCCGCCCTGCTGTCCGTGCCACCCAGCGCCGTTGCGCCTCTACTACCGCAGCCTCGCCCGCCACTCTCCAGAACTTGGAGACGCGCTGGTCGACTCTGTCCTCCCTGGAGCAGAGCACCCTCGCCAAGCAGCTTGAGCAGGTCCAGGCTGGCGACTGGACCAAAATGACCTTGGAGCAGAAGAAGGCCGGTAAGGATACACGCGCTTTCTATCCATCATCTGTCCTCAGTATTCAGTGGGAGCAAATGTCATCCGAAAGTAGAAGCCGACCAGCAAACTTCTCAATTCGATACGGATTTCGGAGCCGAATTGAGACCTCACAACAAAAGTATCGGCAGTACAGTGGCGCAATCGAACGCAGGATCCAATCCAATGGATGATTTGGAGATGTAGAGCAAGCACAGGACCTCACGCGCTACAACTACAGTTATGTCAGCCGAAGTAATTGCTGAGCTGATCGCAATCTGTTTCCTTTAATAACTAGCTTACTGGGTTGCTTTCGGACCCCACGGTGCCCGCACTCCTCTCACCGGCCCCAACCACGGCGCCAAGGTCTTTGTCGGTACTACCGCTGTTGTCGGTGCTGCTGGCGCTCTCTTCCTCTGGATGCGTGCTGGTATGTGCATGGACCACAATCAATACAAACAGAAGTTCACCACGCGTCTTCCTCCCGTTGGACAAAGTTGAGCTGACATGGATTTTTATTCTTTGCGACATTTTAGGCAAGGAGAAGCCTTCGACCACCACCAAGGAGTGGCAGGAGGCCTCGAACGAGTATGCCCGTGAGAACAAGATCAATCCTATCACCGGTATCTCTTCCGATAACTACAAGGGTCCCGGTTTCGTTTCTCTCACCAAGAATTAAATGTACCCAGCAAGCATCGCGTCCTTCTATGATTGACATTGCTTCCGAACCCCGTATCAGCGCTAGTCGACATAGCATATGCCGACATTCGCTTCCATCCCTCCCCTCTCCGTTCTCCCTACTTTGGGCTACGAATAAACATCATGATTTGAACCCTCTAATGCGCACGCACAGTCACTATTGAATCCATTGAGGCAATTGAGCTAGATGCACTTGGAAACGCACCTCCTTGACTCAACGCGATAAAGCACATTCATCCGCAACAACGCATTCAGCATGCTCGGTGACCAGGATTCCGCCCCAGCTCCTGCTACCATTCAGCCAGTGCAGCCCGTGGAGCAGCGAAAGTTCGAGCGTGAAATGCACATTCAATACTTTAAACGCAATCTACAGATGCTACCAGAGCCATATACATCCAATGACACCCACCGGTAAGGAGCGATCGCGCATCCAACTTTGTCTACTTTTAGGACCCCGCCAGCTTCCTCCGTGTTGTCTTCATTTGCTGACCCTGGTCCTGGGGACGTTTTGTGTCCTGCGGAAACACTGCGCGGATAGGATGACCCTGGCCATGTTCACGTTAGGGGGCCTTGAGTTGCTGGGCGTTTTAGAAGAAACCGTGTCAGAGGACAACCGCAAGGACTGGATCGAATGGATTTACTCACAGCAACGTGTCCCTGCTAGCGATGGATCTTCACGTACGCATAACCCATGCCTTTCTCGAGTCAATGCTTGTTTAATGGGTGTAGGAAACGTCGCGTCTTCCTGCAATAAAGAAAGGCGCTCACTCGCTCCCATGGTCATTGACCCATGCTATCTTTTCGACCATAGATTCGCACGATGCACTTTACGGATTCGGAGGCGGTCCTTTCTCGGGCCTCCCATTTCAGCAACACAGCGAAGGAATCGAGAACCTGGGCTGCGAATGTGGACCCAACACTACGGTCCATGATACAGCCCATACCACCATGACTTACACTGCGCTCGCCATGCTGGTGCTTCTCGGCGACGACTTGTCCAGGGTAGCCAAGGAACCAATCCTCAGGTCACTAAGGAAACTTCAACAACCCGACGGCTGCTTCATCCCGTGCATCACCGATTACGAACAGGATATGCGATTTGTCTACTGTGCGGCCGCCATCTCCTATTTTTTGAACGACTGGTCCGGCTTCAATCGTTCAACAGCACTTCATTTCATCCGATCTTGTCAAGGCTACGACCATGGAATCTCGCAGAATTTGCATCAAGAATCTCACGGAGGATCGATATACTGTGGTATTGCGACACTGGGGCTCATGGGTGAGGAGGCCCTGCAGGATCAAAAGACAATGACTCGGGATGTGCAGGGCCGAGAGGACGAAGTAGCGTTCGAAGAGCGCAAGTCGCGTGCAGGATTTGTCGACCTAGAGGGAACACGAAGATGGTGTCTCCAGCGGCAGACGACTGGATTCCAGGGCCGAGTGAACAAGCCCACAGACACATGCTATTCGTTTTGGATAGGCGGGGCCTTGAAGACGATCGGGAGCTTTGAGCTTGTAGATTTCGACTGCAACCGCGGGTTTTTGATGGAGACACAACATAAATTTTTTGGTGGATTCGGAAAGTGGGTCGGCACCTATCCTGGTGAGTCGTGTCATGTTTATTGTGCCATTAACCTCCAAGTTGCATTTCTCGGTGCTAATTTGCGATTTTGAAACCACAACTGCTTAGATGCGATGCATTCATACATGGGTATCGCCTCGCTCGCGCTTATGGGCGAACCAGGTATTCGACCACTAGATCCGCTTTTGAACATCTCTGAGCGCATGAAGGAGCGCTTGCATACACAGACAGTATTTTGGAAAGATGCAGCTTGAGAGTCAAGACGCCATCTCCTTTAAACTATAGGCGTGATATTGAATGTGAGAGTGATCCGGAGACGCTGCATTCTGTACACGTATTTACCCTTCAGAACATCTTTATAGGCAATAAATATCTTTATTTTCATGTCCTCTTTTGCGTCCGCAATTCGCTCTCGCCGTGGTCCCAAAACTGTGGCAGGACTTTCGGGAGATCGACCACGGAATGGATCTGAAAATGGCCCACAGGAGGCAACTCGGATAGGCACTCGTCCACATGAACTGCTGTCCAGCCCATCTTGATGGCCATCGCGATGTTTGGGGCGGAGTCATCCACGAAGTAGCAAAACGCAGGATTCTGCACGCGTGCTTCTTTCATAGCCTTTTCGAATGCCTTACGGTCTGGTTTGCAGACGAAATGAGGCTCCAGATAATTACAAAATGTCATCCCATCGAACAGCCCTTGAAGGCCGAGGATTTTGATCACTCGATTGGCGTGCTGGCAAAGGAATAGTCATTATGCATGGTCAGGCAGGTTTTTTTTTTTTTTTTTTTTTTTAATAGAATTAGGCGTCAACGCGTCAGCAACTGAGACTTTCTGCATCGTTGGGTATACGTACATATTTGCCCGCGTTTGTGAAGAGCCATTTCTTGCCAACCTTCATCGATCGGATCATGTCTCGAAGCGGCGGCTTCGGCTTCAGGATATTCTCGAGCGGAAGCCCTCCATCCACTTTGTCATCATAGTCGCTAATATCGATCTAGCCGTTGCGATAACATACAGAAACAAAATATCGCCGTTAGTGGTCAATCCTAGTGCACCGAAATAAACGACATAAGACACGCAGTTCAAATCCATATAAAAAACCTTACATCTGATCATGTAAAAGAAATGCGCAGAAAGAACAAGAATCATCAGTAGCTTGTTCTCAGTAGGGATTGTATCTTTAATAGAAGCACGCGAGGTGATCTTACCTGGGTGCTTCTCGATCAGACCTCGGATAGCCAATCCATAGTCCACATAATAGCGATGCGCCAGGGTCTCAACTATAGTTCGCGATTTCGTCAGCATAGGATCAGCAAGGGCCTCCATTGAATTCGCGGTATACGAAGCGCGGGGAAAGGTAGAAGGCAAGCGTACCTTCGTGATGTGGGATACCAGAATCCCTAAAGTATTGCTCAATCCTTACAGATTGCGAGCAAATGTACACACACGACAGTTATTAAACAGAGCTCATAGAAGATAATCATAGAGTCATCTCTTCAGCGTATCGCGTATCAATGTAATACCTCTGCTTCATCAGATATGGGATACCAGAGGACTTTGGATAGAGGCAATTGTCAATATCGAAGAAGAAGACGCGCTCATCTTGGACACCATGTGTGGCAGAGCCATGGTCCGTGCCACAACTGCTTTTGATTCCCCGATGAAATTGAAGTATGTGTGGACGACGATCAGTATCTCGATTCTGCGCTGCTAGACAGCTCAGGGAGGTCGTAGATAGGGCACCACGACAGATATCCCATCGATGTCTGATATTTGTGGTGATGGACCTCTGTCGACAATTGCTCATCGTCAGAAATTGGGACGGACTAGAGACCGGTGACGCTATCACGGAGTGATTCGATAATGCGCCTTGCTGATGATAAAAGCGGTGGGGATACAAGCATTTGGACACATGGTGACTCGAAGGAATGCTTGCTACAGAATTGAGAGGCAATATCCTGGAGAATGTCCATGGCGGAGAGGACACGGTGGCCTTGAAAACAGAGTGGGAAATCGCTGTGGACATGGTTGAGTAAATGACACAGACCAAGGCGGCAGAAGAGGACGGAGAAGTGGAAAAAGGTATGCTTGTAGAGAGGCGTGGGGCTCAAGGAGAGTGCCTGCTTGTCTGGTTATCCAGAGACGCAGCTGAAGGTGAGCAAGAGCAAGGCTGATTGGGATGACGGGATGACGAGATGTCAGATGGAGAGATTGATCAGGACGACAAGGAATCCCTCTGGACGTTGTCTCCCAGCGACCCCTGATTGGCCGGAACTCAATTGGTACTACAAACCCACAAACCTTATTTCGTGTCGCGTCTGTTCCTGTCCTTGAGCAGAGGGTCTGAGATCTGCGCTTCAGCCGTTTGCTCACTCATTCACAAAGACCGACTCTCAGCGCGACCAACGTAACTTCCCGCTTTCATTACCACGGCAAGGAGCTAGCGATATAGAACCCTCGAAGGTGGGATGTCACGTCGCTCAGTTCCTTAACGCCTCCCAGCTCGCAGCAGCAGCAGCCCTGATCTGAATGAGCTGGCATAACATCTACAATCCTCACAAGGGAACGGTTAACCGCGATGAACAATTTTTATCACTAGTTTGTATGCTAGGAAGTTCCTCACTTAACCGGGCTTTATTGTATTTCCACACGCGGAAAGAAGAACGTGAGCATTAATGCTAACCATAATCGCAATCGGGCCATTCCAGCCTCTCCAACTATTACTGCGGCCCATGCAGTCCCTGCTGATCCTGCTGATCCTGCTGATCCTGCTGCTTCTGCCATGAAGGTCCTGTCAATTCCGCCACTGCGACTTCGCCCATCGCTTCCACCTTTGCCGCTTCAATCATGATTCTCTTCCACATCGCCTCCGCTGCCTTCGCTGCCGCTTTCGCTTTCTTTCTGGCTTCTTTCATATTCGTTCCTCTTGACGCGCTATTGACCTCCTTCCTTTTTTCTCGTATGTTTTCCACGCTAGACTCTGACTTGTCCATTGGCCCTCCCTCCTCCACTGATCTCTCTGTCTCTGTCGCTTTCTCTCCTGTGGCACATGCTGCTTCGCCGGCAAGCTCTCCTGCTTTGGAGTTACATCCACTACCTTCTTGTGCCATTGCTGTTGCCTCTTGTGCCGCTGCCGCGTATTCGTTTGCTGCTTCCATCGCTGAAATATATTTCTCTGCTGCGGTCTGCACTATCACCCTCAAATCCGCCATTGCATCCTCTGCCGCTGTTAGTGCTGTGTCTGTTGGAAGGGGAAACCGCTGCTGGCTCTGAAGATGCAGGTACTGTTGGCGAAGGCGCCCCAAGAATGCTTCCACGGGGTCAGTTATTTTTCTAGAGTTGGTTGCGAATGCTTTCACGACTTCTGCTTGATCTTTGGCGTTTACTGCTATTTCATGTGGTGGCGTTTCTCGTGGGCGTGGTTGTGGCGTTTGTGATTCGTATTGCAGTTCAAGGTACGGCTGCCTTTTACGCTGACGTTTCCGGGCCCTGCTTTGGGTAAGATATAACCGTATAGTCAGTGAGTGCGTAGGATACGCTGCAAGAGGGGGTATGTAACCAAATCGATGCTGAATGGTTTTTACCGTGCACTGGGGTTCATGACTTCATTGTACTTGTGTCTGTGCATTCGTCCGTAGTTGCCCATGGTTGTGTTTGTCGGTGCTCCGTATGTGCGTGAGGGTCAAGCCAGAGGGCAGAGAAGGGAAGCGAGAGGGGTGACGGGAGTACGAAGTGAAGAAAGGACGTGGCGGAAGTGGAAAGTAAAGAAGGAAGGTACGGAAGCAAAGCCAAGAGGCGTCATGCACAGCATAGATGTCACTGACTGGTGTTTCATCACTGTGTCTCACATCGCTCGCTGGACCCTGGACTGGATACTCCCTGCCCTACAAGCTTAGGCGGGTCGATCTGCCCATGCCTTATCCAGACCATATCCTACACTGCCACTTCTTCTACCATTCCTCAACCCTTCTCGGATGGAGCTATAAACCCGGCCAGCTACCATGTAAGATCCTCCCTTGGCAAATTCTACGTCCTTGAGCCAATAGAGACCATGTCCGCGGAGTGGTGTCATCGTCCTTGAAAACACACGGATCATATAGGCGCTCCCTAGCTAAATCTATCAGCATCATACACGCTGTATTAGTGTACAGAAGACGCACCCTAGATATCATTTTTCGAAGAGCTGAAAGAGAACAATACTGCTCGTGCTGCACAGGCCAGACAATGACCACGTTTTGGTACGAAGCATAGACAGGCCATGGCGCTGCGGGAAGCCTTTCGGTAACATGAGGATGGGTGTCATTGCTCCTTGCAACCGCGCCTTCGTGCGCCCGAGATACCGCCTCCTTCACAAGACAGAGAAGCGACGGTCAGCTTTCTACATCCTTACGTCCTAACATCCAGCATCCTCACATCTAACCTCCTCACATCTAACCTCCTCACATCCAACGCCCTCACATCCTTACATCCGTAGAATGACGCCATGCATATTCGTGGAGGCACACGAACATATTGTACGAGGATGCGACTCGGTGAGGCGTCGTTTTTCATTCTTTTGTTTTGTAAACAAACTTTGGGAGACGCGTCGAATTGCGCGCTATCTGATCCGCTCGTGCTGGTGGTACTTCTCCTTTCCTCTTCCCTCCACTTTTCATCCTCCACCGTCCGCTTTCCTCCTCCAAGACCGCCAAAGGTATACAAAGAATCCCCTCATCTATCCATCCATCGATCTGTCGATGATACAAATGGCACCACAGTGTCCCTCGGGTATGCTACTGTGCGAATGGATGTGCCCATTCTCCTTTTGTGAATTGCGTTGTGTACCCATGGCTGAATCGCGCTCTTGTTCAGCGGCAGTGTCTGTGCTGTGCCCTGTGCCTGAGACCACTCTTTGATTTCTAATAGAGTCCGCGTCAAAAAGTGCCAACACCATATGATAAATTTTAATTCAGTCGATTGCGGCTCTCACGTGAGAAATGGTTCCTCGTACGTACAAGAGAGGCCGGTTGACATGGCTGCATGCACAATGTAAAGAGTAACGAAGATACGAGGAAAAAAAGTACTGTATTAAAGTCTTTGCGACTCCATTTTTATCTATATCTGAGGACTGCTAGTGCTGATACACACAAAGAAGAGGCCATGCTACCAAGTGCAGGGGATGGTCATCATCATCTTATTTCTTCAAGACGCGTCCAGCAAAAGCAGAGGCAGAGAAAGCGCCACAAAAATGATTCGATTCTTTCGCACAATGGCCATACAATCGACTGAATTAAAATTTATTATTGTAAAAATATAGGTGTCGACACTTTTTGACGCGAACCCCCTATATCGGTCGTGCCCATCTTCAGAACCACCACTTCACTCATCTCGCCTGGTCCTTGAGCCCCTCTTCCTAACCCTGCATTCCCGACGGTGGTTAAGCCCCCATCCATCCCTTCATCCTCTTCTAGGGGGTGCCTACCTGTTCTTCTTGCAAAGGTCACTCAGCCCCTTTGTGCAAGACAGGGACGTGACCCAAAGGGTTCCTCAGGGGCACGTTCACCGATGTGTCCAAAACCGTCTGCAAAAGACCCGAACCGAGTGAACAAGACAAGTGGACAAAGACGAGTGTGTGAAGACAATAGTTTATTGACTGGACTGTTGTGAGTATATGATTGAGTGTCAACTACATCGTCTGGCCTGCCTTATATATCTTCGGAATAAAGGTCCTGACTACCAATCAGAGCTAAACTCTGACACCCCTCATAGCTTGCAACTCCTTTTCCTTCGCCGCGAGGGCCCTCTGTTGCTCGAGCATTCTAGCAATTACGGTGAAAACCATATCTGATTGCATCGGGGATGTTGATGCCGCCACAGAGGCTACCACGGTTCGAACTGTCGAAGCCGAGACAACTGAAACTGGCGCGACCGCCCCTATATCCTTCGCCTTCACCCGTTCAATCACTTCCATGCTCAAATCTCCCAGACTAGGGAACCCCTTCTTGTACTTGGCCTTGAGCTCAGTCCTCAGAGGTTCAGGGGTGCAGTCGAGGATGTTTCGGCAGATGAAAGTATCCCTCTCAACACCAAGCTTTCAGAGGCAGTACTCCAACACTGCGACGTCGCCATCAATCCTGTCAGGATTGAAGCCCTCTCGCCTCAGTTTATCAAACTGCTGCTCGGCTCTTTCGATTACATTAGGAACCTTCTTGTTGCCTAGGTACTCGTCGATAAGGGATCTCATATCTGACCAGTTCTTGGCATTGAAAGCAGCGGTCCAAAAGTATGTCACGACTGCTTCGTCCACGTACTCGGCGACCTTGGAGGGCCACATCCTTCGGCTCCACTGCCTCTGGTCGGCATATTCCTCAAAATCATCCAGGAACGTCTCCAGATCCGTGGCAGCAGCATCCAACTTGGGAGCCTTCTTCCTCTGCACGCGGCAAACCCCCCTGTGTTGGGCGCCATTGTGGGAGTTTTGGGCTTCATCGGTTAGATTGGGGGAGTTGCTGGGCGAAGGAAGGTGGTTATCCGTCTGGATCGCCCGATCCTGCTTATTCCCCATACTGATTGGTCGAAAGGAGCGGTTGAAAGTTTCGTACATAGTTGATGGAAAAGAGACAAGGTTCGAATTCTACAGACAAACCTCTTTCTTAACCATACCCTATTAAGGGCCCCCTGCGCTCGATACCTCATATAAACCGTTATAAAAACCCTAAGAGCTATCAAAAAACCCTAACAGCCCCCATTTAGGGTTTTTGCAATAGCTGTTAGGGCTTTGTAGGGGTTTATATATTCATTCATTCTTGCGGTGGGGGAGTGGAGATAAAGAGAATGCAGCAGAGGCCGGAGCCGAAGGAAGCCAGTAGAGGATCATTTAAATTAGTCCCATCCCCGAGGTTGCCTCTTCTTTTTCTCAAATGCTCAATTGGGGGTCGTGAACCAGGGGCGCTTGCGTAGCTGATGTTTGTCGCCGTACGGCATAGTCCCCTCCCACGGCCATATTTAAGATATCAAACCATTGCAAAAAACTTCACGCAGCCAGGTATGACATGCAGCGAAAAAAAAAAAAAAAAAAAAAAAGAAGCCGACGAGGTCAGTCCGCTGTTCCTGCTTATCATGGCTGCCAAAAACTCAAAAACTGCACAGAGCCCCGTACATGGCTGAGGACACCTTTTATTGAATTGCTCTCGCCACTCTTTCCCTTACTTCGTCTCTCATCCCCTACCCTCTCTTCTTTGTCTTCTCTCTTTTTCTCTTCTCTTCAACACACTCTCCGCTATGACAACCGCTAATAATAACGCCACTGATTTAACAAACAAAATAATCGTGGTTTTTTACAAATGTTCGAAAATATTTGCACAGAAATACACGCTCCTGGAGATGGAGGTAGTGAGGGTCAGGGTGGAGCGTCGGCTTCGGGACGTGAGCTACGGGCTTTCTCTCGTAAATAATAACCCACATTAAACCCAAATAATCCGACAAAGTCGTTCTTGTAGCGCACGGCAGCAAAGAAGTTGTTGCTACATTAAAAAAAACTGCTGTGCTTGACGCGTTTTTGTTCTGAAAAAGGGAGTGTCGCGTTACACGCGTTCTTTTTTTTTTTTTTTTTTAAATTGTATTTACAGTGTTTAAGGTACTACATATATTCAAGCAAGCAAGGCTATTCTCTCGTCCAGTTCTCCGCCCTCGTTTTCAGGCGCTACTGCTGTGGTTTCTGCGACAGCTCCGGTGTAGACGAATACGCCGTCGAACTAAAAAACGACCTCGCCGCCGCCCGGCTCGAAACGCCCATTCCTGGCCCCATCGAACTCTTATTCGACCTTCGACGCAGTCGCCTCTCTCGCTCCTTCTGCTCCAGCTCATCCTGTCGCATCAACAACTCCGCTATCGTCAACTCCTCCCCATCGTCTCCCTCTTGCCTCTCGCTTCCGTGCTCGCCGCCACCGCCATCGTTATGGCCATAACCGCTCATGCGTGCCGTCGGAATAGTACCATCGATTCGCATATTCGACCTTATAGCCCCACCACTGCTTTTCTCAGCCGAGTTCAAAACAGTAGGGACCGGCTCCTTGTCTTCCTTCATGATGCTGTTCTTCAGGTATGTTGCCGACAACCGAATGCTCTTTGTCAGACTCGCCTTCACCTTCTGAGTCCTACTAGGCGGATGACTCATCCGACTCTCCACTGCCCCTGAACCGATACCGGAAGTGATGGAACGATGGCCCTCCGGAAACGACAATATTCCGTTCGCCGAAAGTGGCTGTGGTACCAGTGGTGGTGGCGGCGAATCCGCATGAAGACTACTCGAGTCTGACAGCAGCGAGAGGGACCTAGTCGAGCCTGGTCGGAACATTGAGAAATCGCCCGATCGCCTTGCCTGTGCCTTTGCAGCCGCACGTTCCTTGTCCTTGGGCGTCGATGTCCTCAACGTCGCAAAGAGACCTGTACCGACACCACTATCGCTATCGCGCCTCTTCTGAAAGAGAGATGAGATATCCTGAGTAGACGACGATGGTGGGTGCTGAGGACGCGTTGACCCAGCCGCTCCATCTAAAGTATTTGACAAGGGCGGAAACGATACTGTCGTCGGAATAGCCATAGCGGATTTCGATGGCTGCAGTCGCGGCGAAAGTGTCAACTTGTTGATCAGGGGGCTTGACACCGAAGACACAGGCACGCTCGTGAGGTTTATATCCTCCGCACTACTCGGACGAAGTCTGGCCCCATCTTGCCAAGATTGAGGTCTGCTCATTGATGCGTTATTCAGGCCCGACATCATCGAAGACGGCATAAATGACAAAGTTGGCATCGCCTCTCCTCGAGCAATACTCTTCGATCGAAGATACTCCATGGCGGTTGCACCATCCTCGCCCCGTAGCTCAACAATCTGACCAACACTCCGCCTGTTTGCGACCTTGTCAATCTCTGCATCGTTAGAACTCGAACTCCTTAGAGATGCCCTGCTGGAGTTGGCAGCCCCCAGACTACTCGATGCTGTACCGGCTGACAGTCGGGAGCCGATCGAACTCGATGGCAGAAGAATTGTGTCTCGCTCAATCAGGCCCTCCGTTAGCTCCTCAGACCGCACCCTGGGCACCTTCTTCGATCCAGCTTGTTTGGTGTCCGTCACCGCAGTCAAAATGTCGCCATTCAACAACTTGACCTCCATGCTCATGTTGCTCGCCGCTCCGTTCAGCATCAAAAACTCTGCAAGTGGGTACACTTCATATTGGCTGTCAAGAGAGAAGGGCACGCCATGGCGGAGAGCAATCAATAGCGGCGTAGTCTGGAGGACCATGACAGATGAGATAGGACGGCCTCCTCCAGGTCGCGGACGGATTTCCAAGCTTGCCAACAGCTTCTGCTCTATCTCCGTGACATCGTCCTTCCGCTCTGTGGCAGATACTGGATTGGACCCCATAGTCGATGTTGAAAACTGCGACGAGGTGTCCGAGATTGTCTTCTCTCCACGGAAGGACGGTTGCAGCAGGTTGTCATCACGTATCGGGAAAGTTCTAGTATTTAAAATGTCGCTAAACCCGAAAGAGTCCTCACTCTTCCTCGGTGGAAGTAGTGGTAGAGTAAATGGTTGATCCTGCAACTCAAAGAACGGTCCAGAATCACTCTGATCATCCGCTTTTTGAACCGCGTTGAGGTTGGCGCCAGCTGCGAAAGCGACGAGCGCGGCTGGAATGTCGTTTGCGGATACAGCGCGGAAGAGAGCCTCCGTAGCAGTTGCCCTCGCATCGGCGGAATCAAAAGACGGAGGTCGAACGATAAATGCCTTATCCGAGTACTTTTTGCGAATAAAGCTGACCTTGTACTCTCGTGCGTCGTTCGCAGTCGGCTTTCTGAAGATAATCTTTGAGATTTCCCGATCGCTTATGGGCCCTTGCAGCTGAGTTTTCGGCTGAACAAGGTTGGCCTCCCAGATCTGGTTTGCGACATTGTTGCCGACTGACCGGATAAAGTCAAAAAGGTCCTTTGTGTACGAGGTCGTGTCGAGCGTCAGAGATCGTACTTTCGAGATATGTGTGCCGAGGCTTCTATGGATACCGGAGCATTCTAGCACATCAAACAGTGTAGAAAACGTTAGGTTATTTCTTTACGCAATCAAAACATAAGGCCAAAAAAAAAAAAAAAAAAAAAAAAAAAGAGAGAGAGATGCGCCTTACCTATGCAAACCAAGATGCCCAGATTAATGACACACCATTCTGGATTCTTCGCCCCACAGTCCACGCAGGCCGTGTTGTCCGGATGCGACTCACGCATAGCCTTCAAAAGCTTTGTCCCGAGCTGGTTTAGGTCATTTGGTATATCGTCGGATGAACCCATTTGAGCAGCCATTGGAGTCATAATCTGTCCCAGTTCGCTCAGCCCATCCGCAGTGTTCCCTCCACGCTTTCTTCCGACAGCTTGACCAGGTAGCACACGATCCTGAAGCGAAGTCGGTAATGCTGTCGCATTCAAGACGTGCTCCATGCTGGGACGACCCATACCGCCGTAAAGTCCTGCCATCAGACCCTTACCATCCGACTGTCCCGAGTTCCTGTATCCGCTGTTCATGAACTCATGATGCAGGTTCCGGCAACTACTCGTCCCGTTCAAAAGTCCATGGATCGCGTTCGAGATCACATTGATCCACGAGTTCATGTCCTCGGTACTCGTCGCCTGATAGACTCTCCTAAACTTCGGCGTAATCACCTCGAAGCAGAATCGTCGATCCTGATCGCGGCAAGAGCGAACAGTCGCGATTCGGAGGTTGATCGGGTCATTGTGAGGTTGGGTGACGCCCTTTCTCCACTGCGAATATTCATAGAGCTGGCCTTCGGAGAGCACGCACCAGTACTTGTGCCAGTTGATGCTGGGCTTCTCCAGTACAACCAAGCTGTGTGAGCTCGGCCGACTGGTTGCAAACAAGAAGCCCTCCTTGCGTCTTCCCATAGCGACTCCTGCGTCGACATCATGATGCTCTAAATCACGGATACCGGTGATGCTTAGCGAGCTACCGCTCTTCACTCGTGGGTTGCCATACACGGCAGACGAAGCGACTGACTCAATGTCGCGTTGAAGATCGGTCGAGTCCCGTAGGAAATTAGGAGTTTTGGGAGAATCTTGTCGGAAATCAGGCGTCCTTGGCGAATCCAGGCTGAAATTCGACGAGTTCGAAGTAACCATAGATTGGGTCAACACGGAGCTGGCAACGCTTTTGTTGTAGTTCGCAGAAAAGCCCAGGATCGTGGCTTGAGCATCGTTGATAAGCTGCTGCTCTTTATTACGTTCCCGGCGTTGCTTGGTGGTCGTAACAATCGCGGACAGATCTGGCTGGAGTTCCTTAGCGATGACCCCCATGTCAGTCACATGCTGGCAATGCTCCTCCGCGTACTTTGTCAGATAATAAGACAGCTCATCGTCCTTTGCCCCGTTCGCCCTCATCTCGATCAGGAAGTTCCAATATTCCAATCGCTTAAGTTCAAAGTGCCGTCGTTTCTTGTCTCGCTTGGCATCTGCGTCCTGCTTCCTCTGAGTTTTATCCTGCTTCATGCTCATGTACCGTGAGAGGTAGCTGTAGTAATCCTTGCTCTCTTCTTCAAACGTCTTTCGATGGAGCTCTGCCGCCTTGATATCGATTCCATAGAAGCGCGAAAACGGCTCAATCAGGAACTCTTGCATCTGCCGCGACAGCATTTCCGAATGCTCTATCAGGTTTTCTGTGAATGGGCGCAGATACTGCCCGACGAGCGTTTCTGCCGATTTCACCCCATGCAGCTCCTTGATAAGCGCCTCCTCAGCCGCGACCCATGCCTTTTGAGTATCTAGGACAGCATGTGCGGCCTTCAGGACCCTTTTGGAGACCGCCTTCATGCCTCGGATATGCCGCTCACATTCCGCCACCGTTGCCCGGAAAAGCGGTCCGTCCTCTGTATCGTTGGCCAGGGGTAAGGAAAAGGCTTGGGAAATCGACGAGGATAACTCCGGCGTAGATTTTCCTGCGCCCAATCCAGATGATGTATCTTGAAAATTAGGCACCGATTTGTGGGTTGACGGGTACGCTGGCGATGATTTGTTCCAAAATGATGATAGCCGACTGGCGTTGGGGCCCTTCTCAGGAGTCGTGCTCCTCCTCCAATGACGCATGCTCTTCTTTGTCGTGTATGGTGGTGACGAGGAAGTAAACCGCACAGCGCTGCTAATTGTTGGAGGTGGTTCATCTAAAATTTGAAAGATAGTAATGATAAGAATCACTGAACCCACAAGAAATCTCGCTGCACGCATTCAAACAGAGCCGAATAGAACTTACGCTGAATCCAAAGTGAAAACATAGACAGTATCTCCAATGCACCGGTCAACTTGTTTCGTGTTAAGAACTAGGTATAAAACGTATGTCAGCCATTCCGTATCGGTCACATCAAATAAAAAAAATGAAACCCTTCGCAAAATATAAAATGTCCTTCGCCCTAAACTTACAGCAAATACTGCTTTATGGCTCTGCAGTTGCTGACCAGCCCGATCTTCCGTATGGTAATTCCAGTCCCATGTGTACGTCTTGGCTGAAAGCTCTTCCTCAAAAGACCTGATCGTCTTAACAATGGATATCGATTCTGGGTTCTCAACAAGCTAACAGAGGAGAATAATGATAACAGGGACAGTTCAGAAGGAAAGCACGACTGTTGGATCGAAAGAAGCTCTCTTTCGCCCGAACCAATTCAGGATCTCCACAGCAGACACATCCAACTCGTACCTGTTGCTGGAAAGCAGCCTCGCTACACAAGTCATGCATGGCTTTTTCCGTCGATGTTTCCGCGAAATAGATCCTCGGCGCATACACTCCGGTTGCAGTTCCATCCTCCACGTCTTCCGCCTCGTCCTCTTCAGAGGCTGTCGTCGCACATGCACTGTCATTTGAATTCGTGATTGTGCTCTCCGAGAATATTCCCATTGACATCATCTTGTAATCCCCCGAAACGGTACTACCGCTCCGCGAAGACTTGCCACCCAGTGTTTGCTCCGCTGTCAATGGTACTGCCGCTGTCAGTGCTCGACCAATATCCCCAAGCTGATAGCGCCGTCCCGACTCTGGATTCGTCTGTGACGCCGTTGTGGCTGAGGGATTTCCTGCCCGTGTCCGAGGCTCTGTCCGTGTTCTCCTCGGCCTTGGTCGCACAGGGTCCAGTAGATCGCCCTTGAGCTCAATTGACAGACGTAGGCTCTCTCTCGCATGAACCTTGAGCAACAGTGACGACAATTCTTTCGTCATGGACGTGGGCGTAGGCGTGTCGGCTGTCGTGGACGCGGACGTGAGTGTGGATGCAAGGTTCAATGACGCGGGTCGTTTACGCTGCTGCCAAAGCGCCTCTGGATCCTGGGTATATTCTAGCGTGCCCTGGAGAGGGTGTTGAATTGAGGTTCCCGAGGAGGTCGGGTCCATGGTCATGATGAGGACAGGAGTCGTTGAAGCATCGTGGATAGCAATCTTGGAGACAGCGACTATAGCCATGAAACCGTGAGAGAAAAAGACAAGCATAAGGTAAGTGCATAGAGTTAGGATACTGCCCCTGAATGACCTTCACCTTTATCAGGAAAGTAGTTTGGCGATGTATCTTTCGCCTATTGGCTCACGGAAAGGAATAATACCAGCGATAGAACGTACAGCTAGCTGGGTCTGGCTGGAATAAGAATGAGGGCCCTTGGGTTGTCGTTAGGGTTGTCATGGCCGAGGTCTGCCTGAGAGGTTAGGGTTGATTCTCCTGGCTGCCGCTACTGTGTCTCTGGCTGCTGCTACCGTATCCCTGGCGCTGAGTTTCCGTCTCGTCTTATTCGTTGACAGGGGTTGTTGCTGGGTGCAAGAAGAAAGTGGGAAATAAAATATTATATACTCAAAGCGTGTGGAGTGGAGGTGAAGGAAGAAAGCAAACAGGGAGGAAAGGAATCCGGAATGGCAATTGCAATGCAGTCTCTTTCGCAGTTGCAATGGGAGTAGAGATGCGGAACAGGAAGCTTGGCGTAAGTGCAGGGAACGGACGATGAGGTTCCTTAGGAAAAAGGAAGGTCAAGAAGAAGAAGAAGTGTGCAAGTCTATTTTTTTTCCTTCCAGGGCAACAGGGAATTCGTTAGGTCATCGAAGGGTCATTTTCGTGCGCCGTCCTTTGTCTGTTTAGACTACAACCAACCCCTTTTGTGCCTATTTGCTGCATACGGGGCCGTTTGCGTGTCAATGATGTATCTGTATCCAGGAACAAAACAATAAACAGCCAACAATGACGGGTTTGTTTGCTGGGAGTAGGCAGCCCGTCCCTTTCTCCCCCATGTTTTTTTCCTCCTTGCGCCATATGACCCCTTTAACGCCTTGGTCTGTGTGACCCATCGTATCCTTGGCCCAACTCCACTCAGCTCAGCCCGGGTTGTCGCATGCCAACACCTCAAGGCCAAAGCTTCAAAAGGCAAACGCAGGTCATCGATTGTTAAGATCTTTAATATGCCATCTCGATCTTGAAGTGATATGGTACACTACTTGTTCCAACGATTCTCTCTGTCGTGATTAAATTCACGATCCCCTCCCCCTCCTCCCCCTCCCCCTCCTCCTCCTCCTCCTCCTCCTCCTCCTCCTCCGCGGTACCCGCCTCGTCCACGTCGATCTTGATTAAATCCTCCGCGCCCTCTTCCTCGACCACCGCCCTCGAAATGGTGTCCAAAATTATTGTTCCCATCTCGATCGCCGCCCCAATTGCCACGCTGCTGTCGATCCTGCCCGCCCTGCCACTGTCCCGGACCAGCGTTTCCAAATGGAGGTCCACCCGGCCCTCCTGGACCTCCCTGCCGTTGCATACCGCCCATACCAAACCCACCAGGCGGTCCTTGACCCATCCCATTCGGACGTGGAGGTGGAGGTCCACCCATGCCAAGTCCCGGCAACATTCCTGAATGACTATCCAGTCCCGGAATTGATCCCATGGACGGACCTCCAGCACCAGGCCCTGCAGAACCGCCACCAAGACCAGGGATCCCAGCCATCGGCGACATATCAAACCCTCCACTGGCACTATGGTTGTAGTTTCCAAGTCCTGGAACAAACTCATTATCATCATCCTGCGCAGATCCGCTATCAGTGAGTCCCAGCTCCGCTGCCTTCTGGATCCCAACATTGAACTTGTCCTGCATCGACTCTCCAGGACGATTCCTGGTCCAGAACCGGGTCGTATGGTCATTAGATCCAGAAACGAGGATGTGTCCGACAGGATGCCAGTCTAGCGACCAAACATTCGAATCGTGCGCATTCTCCATGCATCCCGACGGCTCCGACTGTCCCATAGTCCAGAACATGATCGAACCCTCCGAACCTCCTGTCGCTAGAAGGGACTCGTGCTGTGGGTGCCATGCGACCGAACAGACCTCTTTCTTATGACCCCTGAAAGTCTGCAAATCCTTCATCATCCTAATATCGTAAATCTTCACGAGTTGATCGCGCGCCGCGGTCGCCAACCAGTTGCCGTTTTTGTTCCACTGCAGTCCTAGAATCGTGTTTTTGTGACCATGCCTATCGAATACAAAAGAATAAAAATATATCATTAAGTAGTTATACTTTCTGCGAGAAAGGTGTAACGTACATCAAAGCATGTCCTTTAGTACTTACAGCGTCGTCAATGTCCTTCCGGTCTTTGGATCCCACAGCTTTACCAGGTTGTCTTTACTTCCTGATGCGAGCAACGACTTCTGTGGGTGCCAATCTACGCACTTTACATCCCATCCGTGTCCTGTTAGCGTTCTTTCTTCGATCCCCTCATGAAAGTTCCAGATCTTAATCGTTCCATCGTCCGAGCATGTCGCAAACCGAGCATCGCTTGGCGAAAAACTAAGTTACCATGCAGGGCCGAGTTTTGTACAAGCGAATGTGCCGGTTAGCGTTAAACTGCATTGCTGCAATAGAAACCGAAAGATCTTGCATATCAAACACCCACGTACCTGAGATCCCTAATGGCCTCTTTGTGGCCTTGAAAGACTTTGAGCGGGTTCATATTCGACTGCCAGTATTTGATAAATCCATTATGATCCGCTGTAACCATCCAGTCGTCATTATGGCTCCATTTCATCGCTCGGACTGCAGTGTCGTGAGCCTTTTTTTTTTTAAAAAAAAAAAAGGGTTCCAATAAGTAACAAGCAAGATCAACCTCAAAAGACATGTTGTCGAATGTCGTTCATGTACCTGAAGAATGGTCTCGAAGTTGAAGGTCAAGCCATTCCAGAGTGTGAACTCGCCACTCGACGATCCAGTAACCAGACGTCGTCCTTCGGGTGTCCACTGTTACGTTTATGGGAATGAAATTAATCGGATCAGTTTCGAATGGTTTCTAGAGAAAGCGCTTGCATGAACATTGGAGCTGCTCCACGATTCACTTACTCGAATGACATTAACAGGGCATCGGTTCTTATTAATTGAGGTATGTACAAACTTGGTGGTGACAGCGTTCATAGGGTTGTTGGTGTAGGCAGATGGCGGCAAAAGCTAGAGTAGCAAATAGATCATGGGCACTGACCAATGTCAGACATGCAGACCTTCGCATAATAACGCAACTGCCTTGAGCAAGCAACACGATCGGCCTTACATCGACAATAAAGTTGGGATCCGGCCGAAGAAAGGGAAGATCCCTCTTGTTCTTGATATAAGGCGATATCTATATCGGTGTTAATGAAAACGATCCTGAGTGGTTACCGAGATGCCGATGAATTCCCTCCCTGATACCGTTGTTGTCCAATGCGTATGATGATCGAATCGTAATAGCCTTACTTGCATCCAACGTGCTATGCTATGGTTGTAATCAACGGTTCTTCTCTGGATCGATTTCCGCATACGTTTTCCATCTATACGATGTGTACGAAAATACACAGCAATTGCATGCGCATTGTAGATGCATATGTTAATAAATTGTGTCG